TTTTGACTATGCACTGCGTGAAATATACACGCACATTAAAAGCATGTGCTGTCGTGGGTACCGTTAGCCCCAAGATGGAAGGAGGAAGCAGTCCCAAACCAAAGAAGACTGGCAAACCAAGTTAAAGGACTATGCTGAAATGGAGAAACTAACTGGAAAGCCCAGAAATCAAGATGAAATTTTAAAAAAGAATGAGAGTGTTTTAAACAGGCGAATACATTGGCCGGATTTTAAGAACAAGACCAAGAGTGGGTCCAATGGTCAAGAAGGCAGTTTTTGCACGTGATGTAGAAGGAAGTGAGGCACAGATGGGGAACTATCAACCTTTGGAGGTAGCCCATCTAGGTGAAGGAAAACTCTCATCCTAAACCTCCACTGCCTTGAAGGACATCTTCAGGAGAAGGAAAGGCTGAGGAGTAAATGCTACACAAATTTGGAGTGGAGTCCCTGAGGCGGTTGGATGGTGCCTTGCAAGTCTCCTTCTGACAACTCCTGCAGCTGGGCTGGTGCCAAACATCTTTCTCTGCTTTCCTTTGGGCCCCAATCACTGAGGCCAAGAGGGGGGTCTTGTCTTCAGGGCAGCCCAGGACCTCCATCCACACTGCCCAGGCTTGTGCCCCAGGGAGGTCACTTCAGTGCTGCTAACGAAGCGGTTTGACTTCACCCCTAGAGGTGCACCCCATTGTCTCTCGAGACTGACGGATGCCAACAGCAACTCAAAGTCATGGTCCACAGAACAGTACCGGTTCACAAACCATCAGCTGACCATTCATCATGATTCCACCACAGTCCAGGTTGAGTGGGACACTCCAGGGATCTGATATGGTGCCTTTCTGTGGAACATTGGGGTGGGAATAACTGCCGTCCCACCACACCAGAGAGCTGAGAAGCTCTGCTTTAGAGCGCACGGCAAAATGCGCACAGGAACAGCATCACTTTTCCCCCTTCTATGTTGTTCTTGTTCCTCATCCAAAACCTGTAACGTTATATCCCAGGCAAGGACTTGCCCTCCGCCTTTGTCTCTGCTTACTTCTTTGTGAAATCACGCCTATCAGATGAACGCCTTGGCACATCAAATAAATGCCAGCACATTCGCAGGTGGGAAATAGCAGGCCTTTCCAAATTTGCACTCGTTTGATTGCTTCGTGGGACCTGCCACGTCCTTCAAAAATTCTGGCATTGGCTGCAAACCTCAATCTGCTCTTTCCAGAGCATTGCACTTTTGCAACTGGCTCTCAGGGCTGGTTTTGGAGGAGGGAGATTGGAGGACAAGAAACTAACCCTATTGCAATCAGGCAAGGCATTGTCTTGCGAGCAACAATAGAGTTGGCCTAGACACTCGATCTTGCTTGCGCAGTAATTCAAAGAGCACACAGACCGCAGCGGAAAGAATGGACTCGAGTCACGTAACTGCGATGCTTTTTGTGCCCATTACATAACATATTGCAATCGTGCGCAAGCTTTACTTTGTGTTTACCATGTCAATTTAACAAAGAAATGAACTTGGAAAATTTAAGCAAACTTTTTGTTTTCAGTGCTTCCTTCCCTGCCTTGCAGCGCATGATGCTACCTAAACAGAGGACAGGATGCATGCATTGCTAGGTGTGCAACAGCAAGGATCATTCAGTTTGTAACTTGAGGGTTAATTCTGCTATTACTAAGTCAGCCAACCAGGTGTGGGGGGCGGGAAGTGTTGCTTAGCAGCAAGAGTGGCATGATCTCTATTGAGGTAGCATATGCCTTGTTGCCTTGATTGACTGAGTAGTTCTGAGCGAGTTTTCTTCTGTGTTTGGTTGAATGTTTCCTTGCTACATACAAGGCCTCAAGTAAGAAAGACAAAGTCTTTCTGTTTACAATTTCTCCCAAAATTATATAGTCAAACCTCGGTTGTCGAACGTAATTCGTTCCGGAAGCCCATTTGAAAACCGAGGTGTGGCTTCTGATGGATTGCAAGAGATTACAAGGTTGTCGAACATTTGGCTTCAGAAAAACATCCAAAAACCGGAATACTTACTTCCGGGTTTTCGGCGTTCAGGAACCAAAACATACGATAACAGAAGCGTTTGGGAACCGAGGTTTGACTGTACACAGCTTTTGTTCAGTTTCCATTCCTAACTCCTTTTTCTACACCCCACCTGTGTTATTTAAGTGATTTTACTAACCTGCACAACTTTGATCTCAAAATCCAATGGTCTTAAGGGTATAAATGTTGACATGTAACAAGCAACCACCCTCTTTTGACTCAATTTTTTAAAAAAAAGATTCTGAAATTTGTTCCAACAAAACATGCCATCACTGTTTTGGAGCTGGGTAGGAGAGGAATGGAATCGATATTGTGAATTTTTTGCTTCTGGAACCTTTAAGAGTTGTTGCCAAATAGCAACCCACACAAGACTGCTTACAGGATTTATTAACAACCCTTAATAAATTGTTCCCCGACCTTTTCCCTTGCTGCATATCCCCTGTGACAGTAAATGCACAGTCCAGGTTGCAAGGTCAAGAGACTCTTCCAATAAGCCGTTGGGTCAGCGTCAGCATCTGTCAGTCGATCGTCATCCCGATCAATCAAGCCCTTGCTCTGAGCAACCTCCATCGATTGCAAGTCCCTGTTCTGAGCAATTCCCTACAAAAGCAAAAGCAATGGCTGGCTTTTTTGCGAAGGAATGAGAAAGGGTGCCAAATCTTTTAGTCAGGGGTAGATTGGGGAACCTCAAGTCCAGGTTCCTGAGGGATAGCTGTGTTGGGTAGAACATACGAGTGCCAGATTTACGTATAAGCTAAACAAGCTATAGCTTAGGGCCCCACTCTCTTGGGGGCCCCCAAAAAAATTAAAGGGGAAAAAACTGGATGTACATTTCTAAAATATAAGATAAAAAACAAACAAACAAAAACCTACATAAAGCAACAGTGTTTTGTGTTGTGTAGGCTCCTGTGAGGATGTGGGTGACACTGTGGGTTAAACCACAGAGCCTAGGGCTTGCTGATCAGAAGGTTGGTGGTTCGAATCCCTGCGATGGGGTGAGCTCCCGTTGTTCGGTCCCTGCTCCTGCCAACCTAGCAGTTCAAAAGCACGAAGTGCAAGTAGATAAATAGGTACCACTCTGGTGGGAAGGTAAATGGCGTTTCTGTGCTCTGCTCGGATTTGCCAGAAGCGGCCTAGTCATGCTGGCCACATGACCCGGAAGCTGTACGCCGGCTCCCTCGGCCAATAAAGCGAGATGAGCGCCGCAACCCCAGGGTCGGCCACAACTGGACCTAATGGTCAGGGGTCCCTTTACCTTTACCTTTAGGCTCCTATGATGTAAGTCATGGGCCCCACCTGCTAGCCTGCTCCCTAAAATATCACTGGTTTGCTCATTTCTATATACAGTGGTACCTTGGTTCTCAAACTTAATCCGTTCCAGTAGTCTGTTCCAAAACCAAAGCGTTCCAAAACCAAAGCGTTCTTTCCCATAGAAAGTAATGCAAAACGGTTTCATCTGTTCCAGACTTTTAAAAACAACCCATAAAACATTGTATTTCACTATTAATATACTTCTTCTTAATTGTATTTCAGTTCAACAATTACTTTGACAAAAAACATATTTTGTTATGTGCAAATTGCTTTAATAATAATAATAATAATAATAATAATAATAAAATTTTATTTATACCCTGCCCTCCCCAGCCAGAGCCAGGCTCAAGGCAGCTAACACCAGTAAAATTACAATAAAAGCATAATGCGGGGGGGGGGGGGGGACTAATTTAAAATACAGGTTAAAATACAATTTAAAAAGCAGCTTCATTTTAATAGTAGCCCATAGATCAAAACCGTAAGGGGAGGGAAACAGAAGGGTCAGACTGAGTCAAAACCAAAGGCCAGGCGGAACAGCTCTGTCTTGCAGGCCCTGCGGAAAGATGTCAAGTCCCGCAGGGCCCTGGTCTCTTGTGACAGAGCGTTCCACCACGTCAGGGCCAATGCTGAAAAGGCCCTGGTCCTAGGTGAGACCAATTCAAAAGTGTTGTTGCTTCTGATTAGGAAGTCAAGGAATAGCCAGCCTGGCTAATAGCCATCAATAGCCCTCTCCTCCTCCATGAATATATCTAACCCTCTTTTAAAGCCATCCAGACTGGTGGCCATAGCTGCCTACTGTGGCAAGGAGTTCCATAGTTTAACTATGCCCTGAATGAAGGAAGACTTTATTTTGGCTTAATGCAGTTTGTTTCCTATGATTCCCTAATAAGTGTGTGCTTAATTCTCCAGCTGAAATCAACGTAAAATAAAACACGCCTCACTCTTGCTGTCGATATTTTGGTAAGGCTGCCTACAAACGTGTGTTTAAAATAACTACTTTGTCTAAAAAGAAAAAGTCCGGCGGGAGTCTGGCGAAGAGCAAAGCATGGACAGCACCTACCTGCTTGCAGCTGGAGAATAAATCTCTTCCTTCTGCACATTCAACATTCCTTACAGATTGGGACTTTGTAAAACAGAAAAGGAAGGGAGGGAGGAAAAATACTTATCATGGTACTTCAGATCCAAACATGATGCTTGTCTCCTTTTGACTGACAGTTGTACGACAAAAGACTGTGAAACTGGAACATTGAAAGACCTTGGTGATGTTCCAAGGCCGTTTCTTAAACAATGATCGATGCAGAATAAAACAGACTAGAGAACATGGTACGTCTTTTGTCTTCTAAATATTACATATGGAAATCTTTGCAAATCTTGCCATTATGCGGCAAAGAGACCTGCAGAACATTCAGCTCTGGGCTTTGTGACGTATTATCAAGCAAAAGACCTTTCATCCCTTTAATTAAATGCCTTTATATTCCCCGCCCCGCACCCCATTCTTTGATTTAGTCTCGCTCCAGCTCTCTGCATTGTGGAGCTATAAGAGATATCATCAAGATCTAAACCTCTATTTTAAAATTTAAAGAAGAAGAAGCAGAGAGTCGATAAAACAGCTTGTTGTTCCCTTGAAAGGTGATCGGCACTGATGGCATTAGGATAAGTTAGGAGCGTGGTCGCTCAGTCGGCAGAGCATGAGGCTCATAATCTCGGGGTTCTGGGTTCGAATCCTATGTTGGGTGAAACATTCCTGCACTTCAGGAATTGGATTAGGTGACCCCCTCTCTTTCATGAGTTATTCCAATCCTCTTTTAAATCCATCCAGGCTGATGGCCATCATAACCTCTTGTGCGAGAAATCAGGTCCTCCCTTAAAGAGGGCACGTATTGCGGTGAGACCTGGAAAACCGACACCCTGTGTTGCGGGTGGGTACGATTGGTCAGCCACAACAGCCGATTGGTAGGTCCCTCGAAGCTGTGTGCAATCTGGCCAATGGGACGCAGTCCAAATGGTTCAAGGGACCTATTTATGCCCATGCACGTGACCCAGAGCTTCCTCTTTTGGTGTGTGCATTTGGAACACCCGCCCACCTCTCCCTACTGTTAGGGCTATGCGCTTGACCTTGCTATGCCGTGGTGTGTCGTCAGTCGTCGGGACAGGGGCACAGCAGGGATTTCCCCCACTTGGATGATTGACTGTTGCCATTTGGGTTTCGCCTGCCGCGTAGCAAATCATCACAACTTGTCAAATTGTGGATAGGCTCTGGTCCAGGTGATAGGGATGGGAGAACGCTCTCGCCATCCCTATGTGAAGGGCATTCCATTAAAGGAATCCAGGGACTTGATGGTTTGGTCAACCCCTGAGAGGGGGTTGTGCCCGTGCCTGAGTCCAGGGGGATATTTGGGTGGCAGAGTTAGCCCGTTCCTGTCTTTCCGCTTATCCAGGTGTTCACCCATGGCTAACCTATGCTGGAACCCTGGGTCAGCGCTACCTGCATGGCAGGGAGCTAGTTGAACCAGAGCCCATGCAACCAGTCACTTTCTGTAATCAATAAAATTGTGGCCTAAATTCTGCCAAAAACCAAACCAAAATTTGAGTCATGTGTGAATTTATTTAGGGGGGAGGTTTTTGGGTCTGAACATGCAAAACTCCATAACCCAACCGGGAGCTGCCCAGAGTGGCTGCTGAAACCCAGCCAGATGGGCGGGCTATTGGGTCATCTAGTCCAACCCCCTTGGAATGCAGGAATCTCCGCTAAAGCTAAATCTCTTCCTGCACAAGCCTGCAGATCTTTTCTTGTCGTTTTTCTGAACACTTTGACCACTGCAGAATGAGGTTGGGTTGAAGAGAGGTGCTTTGCCTGTTATTGTTGGGAGACCAGGATCTGAGTGTTGCAAGCTTTTCTTCTGCGAAATGGGCATTTGGTGGTGCCTAAGAAAATCCTTTAGATATTCAGATGTACCCCGCCCCCCAGGCCCCCCAAAAGTTCAAAGACTACTGCTCCATACATTGGTGTCATGTCCTAAGCCCAGCAACAACCCTTAGAAAGAATGATTGATTGACAGATCCGGCCGTTTTCTTAACTGGGACTCAAGGCGGCTTGCACAAATCAAAACAACTAAAAGCTAGAAACATATCAGAGGCAATTGTTTTTAAAAAATCAACTTTAATAAAATCAAAGGTCTATATAGTTAAAGCTATGGTTTTCCCAGTAGTGATGTATGGAAGTGAGAGCTGGACCATAAAGAAGGCTGATCGCTGAAGAATGGATGCTTTTGAATTATGGTGCTGGAGGAGACTCTTGAGAGTCCCATGGACTGCAAGAAGATCAAACCTCTCCATTCTGAAGGAAATCAGCCCTGAGTGTTCACTGGAAGGACAGATCCTGAAGCTGAGGCTCCAAGACTTTGGCCACCTCATGAGAAGAGAAGACTCCCTGGGAAAGACCCTGATGTTGGGAAAGATGGAGGGCACAAGGAGAAGGAGATGACGGAGGACAAGATGGTGGGACAGTGTTCTCTAAGCTACAGCATGAGTTTGACCAAACTGCGGGAGGCAGTGGAAGACAGGAGTGCCTGGCGTGCTCTGGTCCAGGGGGTCACGAAGAGTCGGACACGACTAAACGGCTAAACAACAACAAATAGAATCAAAGCAGATCTATTAAAGTGCAGATATTAAAAACAGCACAGCACTATTTAAAACCCTCTCCTTTAAAAAACAAACAAACACAGTCAGTTGCCAGAAGCCTGTTGGAACAAGAAAGTCTTCAACTGAGGACAGAAGGACGAGGAGGGAACCAGTCTGGCTTCTCTAGGGAGGGAGTTCCAAAATCTGGGAGCAACCACCAAAAAGGCCCTCACCTGGGTCCATATCAAGGATGCCTGGCAGAGGGGCAGGACCCAGAGAACAGCCTCCCCTGAGGATCTCAGAGCCTGGGCACATCCATATGGGGAAATACAGTCCTTCAGGTGGCCTGGACCTACGCTTAACCCTATTTTGACCTTTTGTTGCGGGGATAGGAGTTGGTGTAGCCAGTCCTGGATCCCCGACGCGTCCCTAGACTTTGCTCCTTCTTAGATTCTGAGCAGAAACACCTTGCAGTTTCGATTCACTTTGCGAATGAGCTGGCGCTTTAGGAGCCATGCAAACCTCCCTTGTTCTGCCCAACTTGTCCTTCACAAAGGCTTTCCTTTTCCTCCCCTCGGCTTGTTTGCACAGCTTTCCAGGCCTGCCTGTCAGGTGTGGGGATTGTTCTGAGGCAACTCAATCCTGCTACACACCCTGCCAGGGCTTCTGGCTCCAAATACTGACAGGCGGCTGGGTGGAGGGTTTTGCTATTCCAGGAAAGTCAACAGGGAGGAATCGGCCTTCCATTTAGCAGTCCTTGATTGGGATTCATTTTATTTATGGTGCTTTTAAATGCTTTTAAGTGTTTCTGATAGGGTTACTGATTAAACTGTTTTGTTGTTGTTTTTTAAAAAAACCCACTTATATTTATTCCATGTTTTCTGTCGTCTCTGTTTTCATTTGTGCTGTGAGCCATCTTGGGTCCTTCAGTAGCTTAAAGGCAGGGCAGTGTAAACATTTCAGCAAAAGCGGGACGTTTTCTGGAAGAGACTTAACTTGTGGCAACAATTCATTTATTTTCGTAACTACCTCCAGTGACAGGGAATAGCAGGTGAGCTGTTTCGTTCAAGTCTTGCTTGCAGGATTCCCCCAGGCATCTGTCTGGATGCTGGACTAGATGGGCCATTGGCCTGATCCTGCAACAGGGATCTGCTTATGTCTTGTTGGAGATGAGAACATAGATCTGTGTGAAAAGAATATAGTTGTGAGGAGAGAATCTGCAAACAAGAGGCAGCCGAGGCAATGGAAAGCCCGGGTATTATTCACATCAAATGTCTAAGATAGTATGGTGCAGTATGTTATAAGAATTTTAAGGTAACAACAACAACAACAACAGCAACAACAACAACAACAACAACAACAACAATTTATTTATACCCCGCCCATCTGGCTGGGTTTCCCCAGCCACTCTGGGCAGCTTCCAACCAAATATTAAAAACAATACAGCATCAGACATTAAAAACTTCCCTAAACAGGTCCGCCTTCAGTTGTCTTTTAAAAGTAAAATAGTTGTTTATTGCTTTGTCATCTGCGTTCCACAGGACAGGCGCCACTACCAAGAAGGCCCTCTGCCTGGTTCCCTGCAGCCTCACTTCTCAAATATAGAATACATATTCATAAATGTACACATATCTAAATATATGAACCATGTGTCTGAAATAGTATGGGAGAGAAATTCTGAAGCCATTTTGGCTCTCCCATTGACCTCAAATATTCCTCTGCAGTCAGGGAGGCAAATGGGGAAAGCCTTCCCATTGTCTTTTTGCTTGCAGATCCTGTCTTAAGGACTAAAGTATGAACCATCACAAAAGAATGGCCAGGCTGCCCAGGTAGAGCAATCAGTGACCACTATCAGGTATCCTGGCAGACAGGATTTCTGCTATAGACCGCCTCCTTCTGTGATGTATGTATGATGTTTTAGAGGGTGGTCTTGGGCTACAGGGTGGACAATTTCAAAAGTCTATATAAGGGCTTGCACACCATTGTTCAGGGTTATCCTCCCTCCTGCGCGTGGTGAGGGGGACCCCGTTGCAACAGTTCCTTTAATAAAGATCAGGCCTATTAGCGGCTTTGCTTCTCAATATACCCTGGTTGGCCTCTGTTTTCTCCTACTGATAGGGAACCCACTTAAGGACTCTATACGGGCGCCAGAATACCCCATAAGGGAAAGGGAGCCGTCTTCTTATAACACTTGTTGTTGTTGTTCAGTCATGTCTGACTCTTCGTGGCCCCCTGGACCAGAGCACGCCAGGCACTTCTGTCTTCCACTGCCTCCCGCAGTTTGGTCAAACTCATGCTGGTAGCTTCGAGAACACTGTCCAACCATCTCGTCCTCCGTTGTTCCCTTCTCCTTCTGCCCTCCATCTTTCCCAACATCAGGGTCTTTTCCAGGGAGCCTTCTCTTCTCATGAGGTGGCCAAAGTACTGGAGCCTCAGCTTCAGGATCTGTCCTTCCAGTGAGCACTCAGGGCTGATTTCCTTAAGAATGGAGAGGTTTGATCTTCTTGCAGTCCATGGGACTCGCAAGAGTCTCCTCCAGCACCACACAGTAGGAACCAAATCATGAGTTTTAGGGTAGGAGTGTGGAATCATAGAAAACCGAGTCCGCCACCTTCAAAGGGAGACCATTCCACTGTTGAGCCGCTCTTACGATCAGAAAGTTCTTCCTGAAGTTAAGTCACAATCTCCTTTCTTGTAATTTGAATCCATTGGTTCGAGTCCAACCAATGCACAGCAGAAAAGCTTACTCCATCTTCTGCGTAACTGTGCAAGGATTACATGCAGCAAGCGCTTTTGAATTGCAACCAGGACAAGGGGTGGCACTGACTATGAGCTTCCTCAGCGTTGCCCTCCTGTGGCAGGGAGGATAATGAAGAGAAAATTAGAATTACCGTATTTTTCGCTCCATAAGAAGCACCAGACCATAGGGCGCACCTAGTTTTGGGAGGAGGAAAACAAGAAAAAATTATTCTGAATCCCAGAAGCCAGAACAGCAAGAGGGATCTGGCTTCTGGGATAGCCGCACCAAGCCTCTTCAGGGCAGCGGGATGAAGGCTCCCCCTGCCCGGAAGAGGCTGCGCACGGCTAAGGCAGAAGGCAGGACAGCAAGCGGGATCGCTGCGCAGCGATCACTCTTGCTGTCCTGGCTTATGGGATAGCCACGCGCAACCTATCCCAGGCAGCAGGATGAAGGCTCCCCCTGCCCGAAGAGGCTGCGTGCGGCTAAGGCAGAAGCCAGGACAGGTGCATCGCTGAAGGGGCGCTGCGCATAGAGGGAGAGCTGCGCAGTGCCCCTTTGGTGAAGCAGGAGGAGGAACAGAAGGAGCCCCTTCTGTTCCTCCTCTGGCTTCTCAGTACAGGCGCTTCGCTGAAGGGGCACTGCGCAGTTCTCTCTCTCTGCGTAGCGCCATTTGCTCCATAAGACGCACTCACATTTCCCCTTACTTTTTAGGAGGAAAAAAGTGTGTCTCATGGAGCAAAAAATATGGTAGTTGTCTGGGCCTTATCATTGGCCATCTGCCCTACAAGTCTCTCCAGCCATAACTGGTCACAGGAGATTTTTCTCCTGAATTGTGGCCTACTGAGTTTTATTTGCATTTTTTTAAAAAAGAGATGATGATTTCAGCTTCCATTTTAATGGGAGCTCCCCATGAATGGTTCTCTCCTTTTTCTTTTGGGGGGGTGGGAAGGGGAGAGAGAGGAGGAGGAAATAAATAATAATAATAATAATAATAATAATTTATACCCCACTCATCTGGCTGGGTTTCCCCAGCCACTCTGGGCGGCTTCCAACAAAATATTAAAATACAATAGTCTGTTAAACATTACAAGCTTCCCTAAACAGGGCTGCCTTCAGATGTCTTCTAAAAAATAAACCCAAACAATTGAAATAATTCCTTCAAAAATTGCAAGTGGAAGAAGGAGTTTAAATCCTCTTCCTGATACAGGACATTTTGCAAACTTCTGAGTAAGAAGAATGGCCGGAAGTCTCCCTGGAGCAGAAAGCAATGAAAAATTACTAGGAACATCCCCAGAAGATGGAAGTAGATTAACGAGAGTCACACAGGAGGAACCCACAAGATAAAAGCAACGGGAGCAAGGCTGCTTCTGGTTCCTAAAGAGGATGCTGCTGTTGCCTTGGCAACAAAAGGATACAGTGATTTGCACACTCAAGAGGACTGGTACCAGGGGGAGGAATCTTGACAGGCAGTACAACCTGCAGGTCTGCAAACACCTTGAGGATTCGCAAGAGGTTCTGCTTCGGGGTTCAAACATGTGCCGCAAAAAGTTAAATGCGTCGGCATTCGAATAATAGAATCAGAGAGTTAGAAGGGCCCTGAATGTCATATAACTTAACCCAGTGCCCATTTCAGGTGTATAGAATGTAATTTTTGCCTTTGGTACAGTAGATTAATTTCTAGACACACAAACCTATCTAACCTCTATCCAGGGATTCACAGAACCATAGAATTTGTGGAGTTGGAAGGGACCACGAGGGTCGACCAACCGTCCGCAATGCAGGAATCTTTTGCCCAGGGTGGGGCTCAAACCCAGGACCCTGAGATAATTATTATTATTATTAATTATTATTATTATTATTGAATTTCTATACCGCCCTATATCTGGGGGTCTCAGGGCAGTTCACAGAACAAAATCAAAATATAAAACCACAAAATATATAGTCAGAATATAAACAACCCAATAACCCCCGCAACACCCCCCCACACATTTTCAAGGGCATGGGAGATTTTTTTTAAAAAAAATATTGAGTATTTTTACACAACAAATTATTCCAACAATTGTGTTTTCCCCCATTTCCCTCCTCCCATTTCCCCCTCATACCCCTCCCTCCCCCCTACGACTTCCCTCAGTTCCTCTTTCTGATTTATTAACACATATTATTTTCTGCATGTTATAAAAATGTTAAAATCTCTGAGTTATCTATCTATTATATTAACAAATAAATTTGTGTAAGTTTATTCAAAACCTGCCACGGAGTCCCGTTCATTTTGTTGTTTCTTTAAGTATTTTGTAAAGAGTTCCCATTCTTCTTTATAGTCACAGTTGTCCTTGCCCCATAGTTTATGCATCAATTTAGCCAGTTCCGCATAGTCCATCAACTTCTCTTGCCACTGGTCTTTTGTCGGGGTTTCTTCATTCTTCCATCCTTGTGCTATTAAGACTCTTCACGCCATTGTCACGTACATAAATATGTTCTTCCTTGGGAGGTCTTTTCCTACAATCCCTAACAGAAATGATTCTGGCTTTTTATACAAATGTTAATTTGAACATTTTCTTCAACTCATTATATATCATTTCCCAATTTTTTAATAAAATTCTCTGCAATCCCACCACATATGATAAAGGGCATAAGAGATTAAGTTTCTCGTGCTCTACCAATGGAGCCATCGAAGCTAGATAAGCAAAAGGCATAATGACAATCCAATGATACTTTGCAGGGAAGCAAAAACTCTCCAGGAGGATGTGAAGTTAGGCTGGTGAGGTTTGTGAGTTAGTCACCTGGAGAGGGTTGTGAGGGCCAAAAACAGAGGCCTGGATTTGGGAGAGAAAGTGATTAGAACCATCTCATTGATCACGTCTTCTACTTTGCCCTTAGACTCGCCTAACACACTTATGGGGCTATTTGAGTCAAAGGGTTAAGCCTCAGGAGCTAATAGGGAAGGTAATAGTCCCTGCTCGCCTGCCAGTTGCACAAAATTCGGAAAATAGGTCAGCGCCAACAACGAAAGAATAGCTGGCAAAGATTTGAACGGGAGCGGTAAGGTATAAAATTACAGGATTAATAAGACTGAGGGGTGGTAAACAAGAGGGAGGAGGAATTAGACAAATGGAATCCCTTAATCGAATATGTGAAGAAAGAGATACAAGATAAATATTGATGAGTACAGCAGTTTTCCTATGTGGTAAATGAATAATATTTTACAATTATTGCATTATAGTATTGGTAATAATGGTATTTACATCTATGAGATATAGATAGAAAGATAGAAAGAGAGAGAGATGGTAGGTAGATGATAGATAGATGATAGATAGATAGATAGATAGATAGATAGATAGATGATAGAACACGAATCTGGACCTATATTTGTATTTATTATGTCATTGCAATGATTGAAATTTCTAAATTAAAGAAAAGAGGCCCCAGCCCTGACTTGCAACAAGCAAACCATAGAAAGGAAGACTCCATGCTCCCTTTCTCAAGCCTCCAAATCCTATAAAATAATGCACTGGAATGAGCAAGGCGAATCCCCGGAGGCTTCCCTTTTCACCTCACTGCTGAGGATAAGCTTCTCTCCAGAGAGAAATTCACGGAGGCACTTGTGGGTTCAAGCAAGGATGTGTCCGCATGGATTAAGCTGCACAGCCTGCTTTCTGCCGCGCCATTTGCTCTGCCGGCAACTGCCGACCCATCAAGCAGCCGTTCTCTCCTCCCCCTAAAACATTTTGCAAGGTATCTTTCCTGGATACCTGGAGCCCCAGAGTCTCGTCTTTCCACCTCCTTTAGCTGAGAGTTTGCCCCGAACTCTATCCCATACTGTCTGCATGCCCCACAAAAACTCAGGGCTTGATGGAAGAAGCTGTGTTTGCTCCTGTTGCAGGAATTTATGTATAGGTTGGGGGGGGGGGTTTCCCCTACAGCAGATATCATGCACATGCAGCCCACTACCAAAATCAGCACAATCGCTTTTGTGACTTTTGTGATTTGTCCCCACGAAACACTTCATCACAATTTCTTCCTATCTATTCAAAGGGCCTTTGCTGCACGATACCAAATGTAAGAATTCACTGATAGATGTATCAATGTACGGGCTCAGTGGGAAAACTTCAGAAATTCATCTAGACATGTGAGCTCAGCTCCTCAGCAGCCCCTCTGCCTGAGTGATAATTCCTGGCATCCTGATACCTGAGTGCCAGACAGGTAGCCATTCCAGAATATCCGCCCTCCCTTCCCCACAGGTGGGCGGGGTTTGCGGCACCGAGCGGGGCTCACCTGGGCGGGTGCCACCCAGCTGCTTGAGCTGGCCTTTGACCCGCCCTTGGCCAGGGAGGACAATGGACGGCCGGCCAGGGGTGGGCCTAAGGCCGAAAGAAAAGAGGCTGACCCCTTGGCTCAAGCCTCTTTTGCTGTTCTTCCTTCCAGGGTCACCCACTCACCTCCCTCAAATTAATAATTTCTTGCCTTATTAATTTCAGACTAGGTCAGCGATCTTCAATTTAATGATTCTTTCTTTACAGGCTAATATTTTGCATTCCAGGTCAGTGGGCACTGAGCGGCGGCATGTAGGCTGGTGGAAGGGCATGCTGTGTAAGTTTGCGCTTTGCAGTCCCCTCTCACTGGGCTTCAACTGCCTGCATATCCTCAGCCAGGCGGGCTGAGAGGGTTACCTGCCAAGGCCTGTGCCAAGTTTCCCACTTCTGAAGTTCAATAAAGTTGTGGCCAATTTGAACCCATACTCTGGTCTCTTGTGTTATCATTTGGGATAAAGGGGTAGGCACCACAGACAGGGTTTAGCCCGTGTGCCCGCAAATAACAAACCCAGATAAAGACAAAAGGGTGTGATTAACTTGGGTGGGAAACAGGGAAATGTAAATATCTCTTTTGTTACACTTGATGGGTGTTTGGTGGAGGGCAAGGAGAACCATGGGGCAGGGTCCAGGATGCTCAGATTACGGCCACCAGACCTCCCCTTTCATGATGTAACCATGATGTATTAGTGATGTAGTTTGGGGGGTGTAACATGGGGATTAGCAGCTAATAAAAGTTTGGGTTCTCTTTTGTTCGGGGCTTCCATCTTGTTCCACCTTGTGGCAGGTGGGAGTCCTGTCGCGACAGTCTTCAATAAAGACCAAGCCGACTGGCTGCTGTTTTGCTCTGGTATTCCTGGGAGCCCTCAGATTTCTCCGTTAACACACCTGAGGTCTACACAGTACACTACAGCCGGTATGGGTGAACCTTTTTGGGCTTCCAGATGTTAGCCCCAGCCAGCAAGGGAGACGGTTGGAGCTCCACAACATCTGGAGGGCAACAGAATGGAAGAGCAGGGAGGCAGAATAGCTTTTGGGGACTTACTATAATAGTTTCATATGACGGTAGCTCAACTGGTTAGAGCGAGGTGCTGATAATGCCAAGGTTGCAGGTTTGATTCCCGTATGGGACAACTGCATATTCCAGCATTGCAGGGGGTTGGACTAGAATTTAGGGTTTCCCAAACTTGGGTCTTCAGTTGTTTTTGAACTACAGTTCCCATCATCCCTGACCACTGGTCCTGCTAGCTAGGGATGATGGGAGTTGTAGTCCAAAAAAAACAGCCGGAGAGCCAAGTTTGGGAAACACTGGACTGGATGATCCTCGGTGTAGGATCCCTTCCAAGTCTACAATTCTATGATTCTATGTCTAGAAATCTTGCCATCAATCTGTCATATTCCCAATTAGTAGCGGCTAATGGGAGTAGAATTCATGACGGTTTCCACCCCACCCCACTGACCTGGAAATTATTAACATGGGCCCTGCGCAGATGCTGGGTGGTGGATTTGTCTGCCCAGTTCATAGTATGTCTACACTAAACTGATCATCAAACTCCAGGGATGTAGCAAGCATGGCCTTTATTGTTGTGGCCCCCACCTTGAAAAGACTATATGTGATGATGATGATATCACTTTGTATATCGCCTTGAACACTTTCCGAGGGAGAAGGTGACTCAAAAGCCTATCATAATGATCACACATCCTTATGCAACTTATATGAAATAAAGCAATAGTCAACAATCTGTTAAAATATAATAGCACATAATAAAATAAAATAAAATATCAGCAAATAATTACACAGAAATTCACTCTTAACAGTTGTGATAAATAATTACTAAGCTACAATCAGTAAAAATAACAGCAAGTCACAGTGCACTAAATACCACAATGCATGCGAAAAACCATGTAAAAGGTTATTTTTTTAATATATATATATATGTATATATATATATATATATTTGTTGTTGTTGTTTGGTCATTTAGTCGTGTCTGACTCTTCGTGACCCCCTGGACCAGAGCACGCCAGGCACTTCTGTCCTCCACTGCCTCCCGCAGTTTGGTCAATATATATATATATATATATATATATATATATATATATAAAACAAGTCCTGGACTCCTCATTTCTCCTTCTTAAATTCACGGTCTTGGAAAAACTCCTGGGGCTGGAGGGTGGAGCAAGGCAGGTGGAAAAAGCCATTGCCCGTTGGCCAGCACAAATCTGTCTCCCTTCCCCTTAGCCTGAGGTTCCCCAACCTCAGGACTTCTGATTGGCCATGGCAATGGATCATTGTGATTGGTCAATGTCACAGGTCATTCTGATTGGGCTGACCCTGCATGGAGGAGTGGCTAGAGTGCTGGACTAGGACCTGGGAGACCCGGGTTCAAATCCCTGTTCAGTCATGAAGTCCATTAGGTGACTTCTGGCCAGTCAGTCTCTCTCAGCCTAATCTACCTCGCAGGGTTGTGGTGGGGATTAAATGAAGCGGGGGAGAAAGATGAATGTTACCCAGAGCTCCTTGGAGGAAAAGGTGGGGTGGAAATTAGTAATAAATAATTATATGATCTATGTAACCCCAAATGGGAGTGCCTGATCACCTCATCTGTCTCCTGAGAAAGAAGCTACAGTTAGAACTGGATATGAAACAACTGATTGGTTCAAAATTGGGAAAGGAGTACGGCAAGGCTGTATATTGTCTCCCTGCTTATTTAACTTATATACAGAATTCATCATGCGAAAGGCTGGGCTAGTCTGTATAGTTAAAGCCATGGTTTTCCCAGTAGTAATGTATGGAAGTGAGAGCTGACCATAAAGAATCGCCGAAGAATTGATGCTTTTGAATTATGGTGCTGGAGGAGACTCTTGAGAGTCCCATGGACTGCAAGAAGATCAAACCTCTCCATTCTGAAGGAAATCAGCCCTGAGTGCTCACTGGAAGGACAGATCGTGAAGCTGAGGCTCCAATACTTTGGCCAGCTCATGAGAAGAGAAGACTCCCTGGAAAAGACCCTGATGTTGGGGAAGATGGAGGGAACAAGGAGAAGGGGACGATGGAGGACGAGATGGTTGGACAGTGTTCTCGAAGCTACCAGCATGAGTTTGACCAAACTGCGGGAGGCAGTGGAAGACAACAGGAGGGCCTGGCGTGCTCTGGTCCAGGGGGTCACAAAGAGTCGGACACGACTAAATGACTAAACAACAACATGTAACCCCAACTTTTTTGCCAGGGAGAATGAAATGTACACCTACCCACAACAGCACATGTAGAGTTTGAGAACCACTGTCTCTTTCTCTCTCTCTCTCCCCCCCCCTCCCCCCGTGGTTTCTGAGCAGGTCTTAAGATCCATGGCTCTTTTTTACTGTATTTCCCCCCCCATACAATATTTTATTGGTTTTTTCCACATTACATCACAATATAAACCAAAGCCATCACCACATCCTCCCCATTCCCCCATATATCCATCAATCAAACCTAATATTCTTTTGTCCCTCCCCCCACTTCTCTCCGCCCCCACTCAATTTCCTCTACATTCTGAGATTACACTTATCTTTGCATTTACAATCTTCTCAAATCTTCTATATATTCTAATTATCTTTCCTTACTAATTTACCTTCCCTCAGATACTTTACATTTTAATCTAGGCATATTAGCATATCTTTTTTTGAGCAATATTTTACCATATATTCATCAAAACATTCCCACTCCTTTTAAAAAATTTTGATTCGATTGGTTTCTTATAATAGCTGTTAGTTTTGCCAGAGTTAAGTATTCATTTAGTTTACAAATTCCATTCCTCCCTTAAGGGTAGAATTTGTGACTTCCACTTAGCAGCAATCTACTCTAGCTGCTGTACTTGCATATAAGAAGATTCTTTGTCCCCCCCCCCCCGGGGTATCTCTTACCCTATCAATCCAAAGAGATATATCTCTGGGTTTTTTTATTATTGATATTTTCAACATCTTCTTTAATTCTTCATGTATTACTGTCCAAAATTTCTTAATTTCCTCACACCTCCACCACATATGTATCGTTGTTCCTATTTCTTTACCACATCTCTAACAAAGGCTGGATTTCAATTTGTATATCTTTGCCGGCTTAACTGGTGTTAAATACCACCTATGGAATATCTTAACAAAGTTTTCTTTGATGTATATGAGGCGGTAAATCATATATCTTCTCGCCAGAATTTCACCCGTTGCTCTAGATAGATAATGTGACCAACATCCTGGGCCCTTTTAATCATCATTTATTTCACTTCTTCATCCATCAATTCCCAGTCCATTAAAAGATTATATGTTTTTGATAGCAATTTCTTATTGTTCTGAATTATTGTAGCATTGAATTTTGAATCCTCTTTTGCAAAGCCTTTCTTTTGATCAGAGATGGCTCTTTTTAATGAGCTCATTAACCTTGTCCCCCCACCCCACCCCACTTTAATTCTCTTTCCCCTCAAGACAGGCTTCCATTAACCATACCTAAATTTGGAAGAGTTTGATGTTCTTTCGAGAGAGACAGCCATGACTCGCTGTAATTCGATTTGTCTTTGGACTGAACGCAATAGGATACAGGGCTGAAAGTATAAACTTGCAACAGCAACAGGAAACCAGATCCAATAAGAGTTAATCTCCATATAGGGTTACATGGACGCTCTCTCGAGATCTACTTCAAATGCATTCCCAGAACGTCTCCAGGTTGGCCAGTCTCAAATGCTGGAAGCGCTGTGCGTTTCAGGTACCGGTCGCACACACACCTACCTGGGAGTAAGTTCCATTGAACTCTATGGGATTTGCTTCTAAGCAGGCACAGAACTATAGATGCCTGTGCGTAAATTTGTTTTATGTGTGTAGATCAGTGCATGCTGACCAACACAGAGTCTTCACAGAAAGGCTCTGTTCCGATGGCATGAGTATCACGACAATTGGTAGATTCTTATCTGCTGCAGCCTTCACAGCCGTTGTTAGAAACCGCTTGTTATCATCTGCCTGCTCTGCTGTTGAGGACTTCTTGGATCATCCTTTGTCTAGCTCCTTCCCTTTGATCTTACAGCCTTGGGTGACCCTGATGGGAGTACGAGATTTCATGGTGAGTTCCACCCCCCCCAGTGGAAATAAAGACACATGACACAATTATTAAGGTTAATGGGCTAAATATGGCCACAACTTTATTGGTTACAGGTGATGAGTGGTATTGGCTTAGGCATTGGTCCTAACCGACTATCCAACTCCAGCCTGTCCACTTGAAGTCCGGGAAGGGTTAACCTCCAGAAGGGAGAGTCCTGCTGATGCACATCAACTAGGAACTCCCCCAGGGTCACCGCTCGGGGGCGTGCCTTAGGCCCTCACCTCCCCAGGCTTCAGACAGGGCCACGCCCTCCGGAATCCTCTATTGGACTACTCTTCAATATGCGGAGGAGGTGATGGCACTACCTCCCCTCTTCCATCTACAGAACTATACCAATGCCTAACCGCCAATACCAGGAAAGTTGTGATGATTTGCTGCGAGGTAGGCAAAAAACCAAGTGGCTGGTGCCAATTTGCCAAGTGGAAAAAAATCCTACCAGGCCCCTCAACGGCGACCAACCGAGGTCCATAGCAGGTCAAGGAATGAAAACCTTAAAGGGCGGGAGGATGGGAAACTGGAGCAGCTGGAGGCAGCAAAAGAGGGAGATCCCCGGCAGTGTCTGCATTAAATAGGGCAGACCATGCCCCCTGAGCCAGCTGATTGGCTGTCCAGGGGATGACGCAGCCGGGATTCCCTCGATCGCGCGGAGGCCGAGAGCCAGCCACCGCGCGCATGGTGGGGGCATGAAGCCCGCAACACGACCTCCTCTGAAGGCGGAAGTGGCTTTCCCAACGGCTTTGCTCACAAGGGTCATAGGAACGTGTAAGCCCACTCACCACGACAAGGTGATGATCCAGCGACTGAGTAATGCTGGTGGCTGGTGGTCAACAAAAAAGGTCCAAAGACTCTCTCAAGGCAAAGTTTAAAAAATGTAGTATAAACACAAACAATTGGGAAACACTTGCCTGCGAGCGCTCCAATTGGTGAACATCCTTTACCAAAGGTGTCCTGGGCTTTGAAGACACTCGAACTCAGGACAAAAGGGAGAAACGTGCTAACAGGAAGGCACGCTTGGCAAATCCACACCGTGATCAACTTCCGCCTGGAAACCAAATTCCCCACTGTGGAAGGATGTGTAGATCCCTGTTCAGGGAAGTTTTGAATGTTTGATGTTTTCTTGTGTTTTTAATATTCTGTTAGGAGCCACCTGGAGTGGCTAGGGAAACCCAGCCAGATGGGTGGGGTATAAATAATAAATTATTATTAGATGTGTTGGAAGCTCCCCAGAGTGGCCAGGGGCAACCCAGCCAGATGGGCAAGGTATAAATAATAAAATTATTATTATTATACTGAATCAGACCATTGGTTAGAATCATAGAATCATAGAATCATAGAGTTGGAAGAGACCACAAGGGCCATCGAGTCCAACCCCCTGCCAAGCAGGAAACACCATCAGAGCACTCCTGACATATGGTTGTCAAGCCTCTGCTTAAAGACCTCCAAAGAAGGAGACTCCACCACACTCCTTGGCAGCAAATTCCACTGTCGAACAGCTCTTACTGTCAGGAAGTTCTTCCTATTGTTTAGGTGGAATCTTCTTTCTTGTAGTTTGGATCCATTGCTCCGTGTCCGCTTCTCTGGAGCAGCAGAAAACAACCTTTCTCCCTCCTCTATGTGACATCCTTTTATATATTTGAACATGGCTATCATATCACCCCTTAACCTCCTCTTCTCCAGGCTAAACATGCCCAGCTCCCTTAGCCGTTCCTCATAAGGCATCGTTTCCAGGCCTTTGACCATTTTGGTTGCCCTCCTCTGGACACGTTCCAGTTTGTCAGTGTCCTTCTTGAACTGTGGTGCCCAGAACTGGACACAGTACTCCAGGTGAGGTCTGACCAGAGCAGAATACAGTGGCACTATTACTTCCCTTGATCTAGATGCTATACTCCTATTGATGCAGCCCAGAATTGCATTGGCTTTTTAGCTGCCGCGTCGCACTGTTGGCTCATGTCAAGTTTGTGGTCAACCAAGACTCCTAGATCCTTTTCACATGTACTGCTCTCAAGCCAGGTGTCCCCCATCTTGTATTTGTGCCTCTCATTTTTTTGCCCAAGTGCAATACTTTACATTTCTCCCTGTTAAAATTCATCTTGTTTGTTTTGGCCCAGTTCTCTAATCTGTCAAGGTCGTTTTGAAGTGTGATCCTGTCCTCTGGGCTGTTAGCCACCCTCCCAGTTTGGTGTCATCTGCAAATTTGATCAGGATGCCCTTGAGTCCATCATCCAAGTCGTTGATAAAGATGTTGAATAAGACTGGGCCCAAGACAGAACCCTGTGGCACCCCACTAGTCACTCTTCTCCAGGATGAAGAGGAACCATTGATGAGCACCCTTTGGGTTCGGTCAGTCAGCCAGTTACAAATCCACTGAGTGGTAGCATAGTCAAGACCGCATTTTACCAGCTTCTTTACAAGAATATCATGGGGCACCTTGTCACATGCCTTGCTGAAATCAAGGTAGGCTACATCCACTGCGTTCCCTTCATCTACCAGGTTCATCTAGCTCAGTGTTGTCTGCCCTGATCTCTCTTTCCAATGGGGCATCTCTCAGCCCTATCTGAAGATTCTGTGCATTGAGTTGGAATAGTTGGGTCCATTGACCTGATGCTGGAGGCTCTTCCTAAGTTCTTGGCTGTACATTGTGAGTGCCTGGCCTTTTTGAAATGTGCTTCCTACAAGGGCACCCAACCAAGAGCTTGGACTGGCTGCGGATCTCTCACGGGATCCTCTCAGAACCAACCCAGGATCTACTGTGGGTGAAATAGCCCTTATGAAAAGCTTCACCTGGTGAGGGTACACAGATTCAATTTCTTCATTGCTGAGAAAAAAATGTATTTGTTCCTTTGGGCCTCCTGCAAAGTTTTCTTTTTTTGGCAAGGCTTCAGCTAATCAGACATTGGTTTGTGAGCTGCTGGAAACAATTTGGTTGAGAGCCTTGAGGGCGGCAAAGGTGGTGGCGGTGGGGAGGGAATGGCAGCACGGGTGCTGATGCTGTTTCCACGGCAACCGGCTAAAAAGGATGTCAACATCTCTCTTTAAAGAACCTCCATTCAGAAATTGGGAAGGCGTCCAAATGGCCAAGCCAAGGAGTGTCTACAAGCACGCCTCCTTTTCGGTGAGCTGTCTGGGTGCGATTACTTTAACTCCGACTTGATTGGAAATTAATTATCGCAGGAATCAAGTAACTGGAGTAAATCTCTCCCCCTTTTCAAGAAATGAATTAAATCAAAGCGAGAGGCAGCAGGCTCCAGTCTGGGCTTCATTAAAAATGGACGGCAATATTCTAGGCTGCCAGCGGGCACCGTGCCATCTGCCAGCAGAGCATGAGCTTGTAACTTGCCCAGGAACACATCCCAGTTGCAAGTGCCATCTTCAAAGCCAGCCTGCTGTGCCAGAGAGCCGTCCTGAGTTGGCCGAGGATGACACAGAGACAACAGAGCCTCGTGGCACTCTAAAGACTAACAAACCTACCCTGTTTTCCCGGAAATAAGACAGCGTCTTATATTAATTTTTGCTCCCAAAAGTGCGCTAGGTCTTATTTTCAGGGGATGTCTTATTTTTCCATGAAGAAGAATACGGTACGCATATGCTGGGGAGGCCTTATGTTCGGGGGAGGCCTTATTATCAGGGACGTCTTATTTTTGGGGGATGCCTAATATTACAGCGAGAGGCAAAACTGGAAGTAGGTCTTATTTTGGGGGGATGTCTTACTTTCAGGGAAACAGGGTATTACTGGACAAGGCTTTTCTGAACTCCAGCTCACTTCCTCAGATGCACAAAGGGAGGAGGAGGAGGAGGATGAGAAGGAGAAGAAGAAGAAGAAGAAGAAGAAGAAGAAGAAGAAGAAGAAGAAGAAGAAGAATTTATTATTTATACCCCGCCCATCTGGCTGGGTTTGCCCAGCCACTCTGGTGGCTCCCAACAGATTAAAAACAGAATAAAACATCAAACATTAAAAACTTCCCTAAACAGGGCTGCCTTCAGATGTCTTCTAAAAGTCAGATAGTTGTTTATTTCCTTGACATCTGATGGGAGGGTGTTCCACAGGGTGGGCACCACCACCGAGAAGGCCCTCTGCCTGGTTCCCTGTAACTTCACTTCTTGCAGTGAGGGAATCGTCAGAAGGCCCTCAGAGGAGGACCTCATTGTCCAGGCTGAATGATGGGGTGGAGACGCTCCTTCAGGTATATAGGGCTAAGGCCGTTTAGGGCTTTAAAGATCATAGAATCATCGAGTTGGAAGCTACTTCCAAGGGCCATCTAGTCCAACCCCCCTGGTAATGCAGGAATCTCAACTAAAGCATCCACAACAGGTGGCCATCAAAGCTGTGCTTTAAAATCTCCAAGGAAGGAGAGTCCACCACCTTCCGAGGGAGACCGTTCAGCTCTCAAACAGCTCTGCAAAGGCTTGTTTTCTCCTGCTCTGGAGGCAGGACCCAAACCAATGGATTCAAGTTACAAGAAGGGAGATTCCGACTTAATATCAGCAATAACTTTCTGTTTGACTGTGGAACAGACTCCCTTGGGAGGTAGAGGGCTGGGCTCTCATTCCTTGGAGATTTTTAAGCAGAGGTTGGGTGGTCATCTGCCAGGGATTCCTCAGCTGTGATTTCTGCATTTACAGAGGGTTGCGTTAGATAAGCCTTGGGGTCCCTCCCAACTCCATGATTCACCCAATCTTTTTGGAAACGTTATCTGTGGGCAGAAAGCAACACTCCCTGACACAGGCAGCTTCTCCCTAAAGAATTTCTCCAGAAAACTGCCCCTAAATTCTTGTGGCAGGCAGTGTTATCTGTCCTCCTGAGCCCAACATGTCCTGAAATCAATTTGGATCTTTCAGGGCTGCTTCTCATTTTTATTCCTGCCTGTGCACAGGATTGGATGTGGGAAGGCCAAAGGAGTTAAAAGATACCTCAGAGGCAGGCTAATGAATTGCTTTGTGGCAACGGCCGAGTCTTGCTTTCAGAATCCATTTCCAAGGCTCCAAAGCAAAGCAGCCATCTTTGCCCCAGCGCTGAAGACTTCGCTGAAATGAAAAGAAGGCGATGTCCAGATAACACGGCTTATTACTTGCCATGGAAACTCGAGAGAGGCTAATTTTGCCTGCCTTCCGAACTGCGAGCAGCTGGGGAATGGGGGTGTCTGAGAGGCGTGAAAAGGAAGAAGTCGCCCATTGTCTGACCTTGCTGCCACTTCGTTAACGGGTTGCATGAAACGTTTCTCTTATTTAATGAGAGGCAAAGCTCGGAGCTGACTCCATGCCAACGAATGCACACAGGTCAGAAGCAACGAGGGATCGCAGGCAGCAGGCAAGGACTGACTTCGCTTGTTCATTAGTTGGTCTCTTGTGTCGCCAGGCAGAAATTTATCACCTGCAAAAACAGGTCCAGACCTTCAAAGTTTTGCAGGGACAGTCCCGGATTTACAGAAGCCGTCCCAGTTTCTGATTTGATCCCAGAATGCCACGCTTTTCAATGGACGTTCCTATTTTCATCAGAGACGTGTTGAAGGATTTGACTCCCTACCTGTCTGAAGGCAACTCTGTATAGGGAAGTTTTTGAATGTTTACTGTTTTATTATGTTTTTACATATGTTGGAAGCTGCCGACGGTGGCTGGGGCAACCTAGGTAGATGGGCAGGGTATGAAGAAGAAGAGGAAGAAGAAGAAGAAGAAAATTTATTATTTTTACCCCACCCATCTGGCTGGGTTTCCCCAGCCACTCTGGGCAGCTCCCAAGAGAACATTATTATTAATAATAATAAAGCAATAAAACATAAAACATTAAAATCCCCCCTAAACAGGGCTGCCTTCGGATGTCTTCTAAAAGTGGGATAGTTGTTTATTTCATTGACATCTGATGGGAGGGCGTTCCACAGGGCAGGCGCCACTACCGAGAAGGCCCTCTGCCTGGTTCCCTGTAACTTGGCTTCTCGCAGGGAGGGAACTGCCAGAAGGCCCTTGGAGCTGGACCTCAGTGTCCAGGCTGAACGATGGGGGTGGAGACGCTATACTGGGCTGAGGCCATTTAGGGCTTTAAAGCACCAACACTTTGAATTGTGCTAGGAAACATATTGGGAATCAATGCAGATCTCTCAGGACTGGTGTTATATGGTCTCCGTGGCCACTCCCAGTCACCAGTCTAGCTGCCGCATTCTGGATTAGTTGCAGTTTCCAAGTCACCTTCAAAGGTAGCCCCACGTAGAGTGCATTGCAGTAGTCCAAGCGGGAGATAAACAGAGCATGCACCACTCTGGCCAGACAGTCTGTGGGCAGGGAGGGTCTCAGCACATGTACCAGATGGAACTGGTAGAGCCCTGGACACAGAATTGACCTGCACTTCCATGGACAGCTGTGAGTCCAAAATGACCCACAGGATGCACACCTGGTCCTTCAGGGACACTGTTACTACTACTACTAATATCAATAATAATGGAACAGGGCATCCTTATTTTCATTGGAGAAATGTTGGAAGGTATGCAAGTCTCTTGGGTGCTCAGGGTCAGTAAGCAAAAGTGACCCAGAAGTCTTTTCTGTGGATCAAGAAGCATCACTGGACTTGATCAGACGTCGGTGGGTTACTAGACCCATGGGCTGCCTCAGCCTCCCCTGACGCAACCGGTAGTGGAGCAGCTGTAAGTGATGGCCCAGCTGAAGGCAACGAGGTCATTCCCGCAACTGGAGCCAGGGCAGGCTCAGGCCCCTGACTTGGCCCAGCTGGAGTTTGTTGCAGGGGAACCTGTGCAGACTGGGATCAGGCCCCAGACTTGGTTCCGATGATGCCCGAGGCAAAGGATCCGGTGTGGACTGAGACTCCTCTGGTTCCGAGTCCTAGCCTGAGTCCCAGGCCATCACAGGCTCAAACCCACAACCCTGAGATTAAGACTCGCATGCTCTGTTTAAAGAGCTCTTCACTTGCCTTCAGTTTCTTTTCTCCCACATCACAGGTCACATTTGGGAGCAAAAAACAGGCAAATTATTTGGTTGGGAATTGCAGAAGTACAAAAGGAAACATCAGTCTGTGATGTTTTTTTTTTGTGGTTTTTTTTGTGCAGACTCCAGCTATTTGCTATATCCTAACAGGGGCAGAGTTCTCCGGATATTATCTATTATGTATCAACAAAGACATTGCTATGAAGTCGTCTCCCCTCCATAAAGCCGAGGTTGATTATTAGGAAGGAGCCTGGTCTTAATTAGGCACGTTTCCTAACGAGAAACTGGGTTAAGTCAACCCCACTGAGCACTTTCCATAGCTGGCAAGAGGCCTGCCATGGAAACTGCCTATTCTCCTAGGGCGCTTGCTGCTGTAGAGACATGTGAGCCTCAGCAATGAGGCAGAAGTTTGTCCGAGTCATCCTGGCTTTGAGAACAGCCTTGCCACATCCAATCCAAGGCCTGTTTAGTTCGTAAGAACATGAGAAGATCACAGGGCTGCCTTCAGATGTCTTCTAAAAGTCTGGTAGTTGTTTATTTCATTGACATCTGAAGGGCGTTCCACAGGGCGGGTGCCACCACCAAGAAGGCCCTCTGCCTGCTTCCCTGTAGCTTGGCTTCTCGCAGGGAGGGAACCACCAAAAGGCCCTCAGAGCTGGACCTCAGTGTCCGGGCAGAACGATGGAGGTGGAGATGCTCCTTCAGGTATACTGGGCCGGGCCGTTTAGGGCTTTAAAGGTCAGCACCAACATTTTGAATGGTGCTCGGAAATGTACTGGGAGCCAGTGTAGGTCTTTCAAGACTGGTGTTATGTGGTCTTGTTATGTGGTTCAGATCTCTTGAGGGCTGACACATGGAAGATGGAGCAGGCTTGTTTTCTCCTGCTTTGCAGGGAAGGACACGAACCAATGTCTTCAAGTGATGGAGTCTCCTTCTTTGGAGGTCTTTAAGCAGAGGCTTGACAACCATATGTCAGGAGTGCTCTGATGGTGTTTCCTGCTTGGTAGGGGGTTGGACTCGATGGCCCTTGTGGTCTCTTCCAACTCTATGATTCTATGATTCTATGATTCTAAGTTACAAGAAGGCGATTCTGACTAAATACAGTGGTACCTCGGGTTACATACGCTTCAGGTTACAGACTCCGCTAACCCAGAAATAGTGCTTCAGGTTAAGAACTTTGCTTCAGGATGAGAACAGAAATCGTGCTCCTGCGGTGCGGCGGCAGTGGGAGGCCCCATTAGCTAAAGTGGTGCTTCAGGTTAAGAACAGTTTCAGGTTAAGTACAGACCTCCGGAACGAATTAAGTACTTAACCCAAGGTACCACTGTAACAGGAAGAACTTTCTGACGATACGAGCTGTTCAGCAGTGAAATGGACTCCCATGAAAGGTGTTGAGCTCACCTTCACTGGAGGTTATTAAGCAGAGATCAGATGGCCATCTGTCATGGATGATCTAGCTCAGATTCCTGCTTTGCAGGGGGTTGGACTGGATGTCCTTTGGGGTCCCTTCCAACTCTGCGATTCCATGAAATCTATTTTTTCTTCCTTCTAAGTAACAGCCTCTGTCAGTGTGCCTTGGGCAGGAGCCGGGACGCCGTCAGTGTCCTCTGGCTGCTTTGCTCATCCCTGATGACAGACTCTTCTCTGCGCACAGCGCAGGTTGGCTGAGGACAGCAAATGGAAAAGGACAGAAACCCTAGCTGGAAGGCAAGAGAGCATGAGGACACGGGGTGAGATTCTGCTCGGCTCGGGGAAAGTAAAGTAAGCTTGGAAGCTGCGCTGTAGCGGCAGCTGAGCCACGCAGGGTGCCATTTGCCCTGAAGGTGGTCCTTGCTTGAACCACGTGGCCTGGCACTGAGTTTGACGTCTCTGTCGCTGACAACTCCATGGTGAGTCAGTCTTCCCGAGGGTGTGTTTATTGGAGCTCCGCTGCAGGGAGGTGTGTGAATGGTGTGTGAAATAGGTTAAAAGCAGTAAAAGCTAGTGAGCAGGTAGTAGTAATAATAATAATAATTTATTTATACCCCACCCATCTGGCTGGGTTTTACCAGCCACTCTGGGCAGCTCCCAACAGAATATTAAAAACACGATCAAACGTCAAACATTAACGACTTCCCTAAACAGGGCTGCCTTCAGATGTCTTCTAAAAGTCAGATAGTTGTTTATTTCCTTGACATCTGGTGGGAGGGTGTTCCACAGGGCAGGCGCCACTACCGAGAAGGCCCTCTGCCTGGTTCCCTGAAACCTCACTTCTTGCAATGAGGGAACCGCCAGAAGACCCTTGGAGCTGGACCTCAGTGTCTGGGCAGAACAATGGGGGTGGAGACGCCCTTCAGGTATACTGGGCTGAGGCCATTTAGGGCTTTAAAGGCCAGCACCAACACTTTGAATTGTGCACGGAAACGTACTGGGAGCCAATGCAGATCTCTCAGGACCGGTGTTATGTGGTCCCGGCAGCCACTCCCAGTCACCAGTCTAGCTGCTGCATTCTGGATTAATTGCAGTTTCCGGGTCACCTTCAAAGGCACGTAGAAAAACTACCTTATTCTGAGTCAGGTTAAAAGCAGTAAGAGCTAGTGAGCATGTAAAACTACCTTGTTTTGAGTCAGACCCTTAGTCCATGTAGCCCACAATATGAACTTCGACGTAGGGTGGTTCTCTAGGGTAGAGCTGGGGTGTTGGTGTACTGTGAGAAATGGGTTAAATTACACCCTGGGCTCGTATCTTGAGGAGCACATCCCCCACATCTGGATGTTCAGAGATAAGATACCAGGTGCATTGGGTTACCATAGCAACACCGGTGACATCAATATAGGACTTGCTGAGCCTTTCACCCTCCCAAGTTGTTGGCACCCATCTGTCTCGGGAGACAATGGGGGAGTGCGCCCCCTTGTGAAGTCAAACCGCTGCCGTGGCTGTAGAGACTGATGCAGGAGAGACATGTTTTGTTGCAGCTGGGGCAGGTGAGTTAGTCCCACCCCACCCCCGTCCAACAATTTGTACTCTCAGGTAAAGGCACAGTCTGAAACATTCTTACTCCAGAGCTTTTTTTAAAAAAAAATGAGCTAAAGGGAAGCATTTTAAGAGTTAAAGGATTGCAGCGTGGAAATTTGTGCGTGTTCTTCTGCAGATCCCATGAACGTCACCGCACACCGGGCCAAATCCTGGCCAATGTAGATTCATTGGATTCCAATCAAGGTTTGATTTTGTCCACTAGCAACCCCATGGAATAGGGAGAAAAGCTTACACAAGTCTACAGTGCAGAATACAAATACAGAATAAATAATAATAATAATTTATTATTTATACCCCGCCCATCTGGCTGGGGTATAAACAGTAGTCTATTAAACATTAAAAGCTTCCCTAAGCAGGGCTACCTTCAGATGTCTTCTAAAAGTCTGGTAGTTCTTCTCTTTGACATCTGGTGGGAGAGAGTTCCAAAGGACGGGCGCCACCACTGAGCAGGCCCTCTGCCTGGTTCCCTGTAACTTGGCTTCTTGCAGTGAGTGAACCTCCAGAAAGCCCTCGGCGCTGGACCTCAGTGTCCAGGCTGAACAATGGGGATGGAGACGCTCCTTCAGGTATACTGGACTGAATATCTATAGGATGACTCAAGCTGCAGGTTCCCACAGACTGTTGGATAGCTCAGGCAGTAGAGCATGGGACTCTTAATCTCAGTGCTGTGAGTTCGAGCCCCACGTTGGGCAAAAGATTCCTGCATTGCGGGGGTTGGACTAGATGACCCTTGTGGTCCCTTCCAACTCTACAATTCTCTGAAGCAAGAATGCCCAAAGTCTAGAAGACCCTGCAGAATCCAGATGGATCTATCCATTCACCGGGACTTGAGTTTTCTCTGCGACCAGTAGGTGGCAGATGGGAAGCCGGATGAGTAAAGCAAGGAAGGCAACGGAAGGAAGAAGCAAAAAATTATAGATGTGGATGCCCTGTAGTGGATTGTAGGGCCCGTTTATGTTAATTGGGCAAGCAGCCTGGATGTGTTGCGTCCTTTGAGGCTGTCAGGGATCTGTTGCAGAAGATATTTGTGTCCTCCCCATCCCAGTTAGATGGTTTGCACCACCCACTTTACAAATAGTGTAGTTCCATAGCTAAAAGAGGGGACGTGGGTGGCGCTGTGGGTTAAACCACAGAGCCTAGGGCTTGCTGATCAGAAGGTCGGCGGTTCAAATCCCTGTGACGGGGTGAGCTCCCGGTGCTCGGTCCCAGCTCCTGCCAACCTAGCAGTTCGAAAGCACAAAAAGTGCAAGTAGATAAATAGGTACCACTCTGGCGGGAAGGTAAACGGCGTTTCCGTGCACTGCTCTGGTTCGCCAGAAGTGGCTTAGTCATGCTGGCCACATGACCCGGAAGCTGTACGCCGGCTCCCTTGGCCAATAAAGTGAGATGAGCGCCGCAACCCCAGAGTCGGCCACGACTGGACTGAACGGTCGGGGTCCCTTTACCTTTACCTATAGCTAACAGAAATTCTGTGTTCAGAAGCAGCCTGCTACATCTGAATGTCTTTCTTATTTATTTATTTATTTATTTATTTATTTGGTTTTTCAAATTAAAATTTTACAGATATATCAAACATAAATCATAAAAACATAAAAACTTCCATCCTCCCCTTTGTGGGTCCAATTATTAATCATTTCCTCCCACATCTTTTATGATGATCCAAATCTTTTACAGTGGTACCTCGGGTTAAGTACTTAATTCGTTCTGGAGGTCTGTTCTTAACCTGAAACTGTTCTTAACCTGAAGCACCACTTTAGCTAATGGGGCCTCCTGCTGCCACCGCGTGATTTCTGTTCTCATCCTGAAGCAAAGTTCTTAACCTGAAGCACTATTTCTCAGTTAGCGGAGTCTGTAACCTGATGCATATATAACTTGAAGCATATGTAACCTGAGGTACCACTGTACATCTCCATTGTGTCCAGAATTCACCCTTAAACTACCAGGGATATTCCAATCCAACTGACGAGTTTTACGATGGTCTTTAAGATAAGTTATACATTTCCCCATCCTTTATTAAAATTTTGGTCTTCCTGATTTCTGACTCTTCCAGTTATTTTAGCCATTTCAGCATAGTCCATCAAATTCATCTGCCATTCTTCTCTGGTAGCGACTTTATCTTCTTTCCATCTCTGGGCCAGTAACATCCGTGCAGCCATGGTCACATACATAAAAAGTCTTTTCTGCTCCCTGGGGATTTCAGCACCTAGAATTCCTTTAAAAAAGGCTTCAGGGTTTTTTTTAGCAAAGGTTATTTTAAACATTTTTTCCCACTCATTATATATCATTTCCCAAAATCCTTTTGCTACCTTACAGGTAGCGTTCAGAAGGTACTACTTTTGAATATCAATTGCTGCAGACAAACAAGGAGGAAGGGCTTGTGAGCTTCCAAAAACCTCTAGTTGCACCAGGATTATGGGATAGATCAAGACTTTGGTCGGATCCAGCAGGAGTCTGCTGTTTTGCTAAAATAAAACACAGCTCTTTATCCCTAGGCTGGCTTCATCTTCTTCTTTTTAAAGAAGCTTTTAAACTTTTGTTTAAGAATCAAATAGAAATCAGAAGCTGAACGTTCCTCTATTGCATTTTTTTACAAAAGCAAATTATATATGAACCACCGACAGATCTGCAGGTTCTGGGCAGTCAGTATACGACAACCCTGTGAGGTAGCTTAGACTGAGAGCTCAGCCTCTTTTTTAAAACAATACCTACAATACATTTTACAAAAACAAAACACAACAAAACAAAACAATAACAACAAACTGAAACACCAAAAACCTCACATGTTCTCTTGACTTCCATTCAGCCCCTTCATTTTTCACTTCACGTTTTTATATTTCTTCTTTCTAAATATTTTAAATTACTGTATAATTTCTTCCTCTATTGTCTTGCAAGATTCAGTCCAGACCCATCAAAGCATTTAGATTTTTACAGTACTGTTTTATATACTCTCTAAAGCAGGGGTCAGCAAACTTTTTCAGCAGGGGGCCGGTCCACTGTCCCTCAGAACTTGTGGGGGGCCAGACTATATTGGGGGGGGGGGAATGAACGAATTCCTATGCCCCACAAATAACCCAGAGATGCATTTTAAATAAAAGGACACATTCTACTCATGTAAAAACACACTCTCGCCCAGCACTCTAACCACTGTGCCGCACTGCCTCTCCTCGACACACCACTCCCCCCCCCAAATGTTAAAAGTTCAGCTCCTGTTCTGAATCTTGCCGCGTCCGCTGAATGATCACAGGGAGCCGTTGCACCTCTGAATGCCAGCTTCTGATAATATTCGAAAATAATCTCCGATTTCGCCCGCTATCAGGCCCCGTGGAGTGGTCGCTCGGTGGAAAGTCTGTGCTGAGTCCTTCGGGGCTTTGTAATATTTTTAGACCCGTTGGCACCGGGGAGGTGAAGCTCAGGACAGCCGAGGCCCCGGCAGGGAGGGAAGGAAGGAGGCTTGGTACATATAGAGGTTCCTGCAAGGACCTTTTGCTGCCCTGGCAGAAGCACCGTGCCTGGAGATCGCAACGGCAAGAAGAATCAGACCAGACCGGCATCCAGGGACCAGGCAGACGGTTCCCTGAGACATCCAAGGACGAAACCGGGAGGTAAAAGCGAGTGGCGAAGGGCTTAGTCTCAGAGGGCAGGCAGAAGGTCTCTGGTTCAGTCCCTGGCATCTGAGAATGAGAACTCTGGACAGGCACTGCCAATCAGAGTAGACAATACTGAACTCAGTCAGTGGAGGACTTGGGGCTTTCAAATTTCAGCAGTGATGCCAAAATGTGGCGCCTCTCGCCTTCCGGTCTAAGTCATTGCTGCGCCGCCCTCTTGGTTCGATGCCCAGTGCGGGCAAACAGGCCGTGCTCCCCTAAATCCCCTAGACGGGTAGTATAAGGCCACTTCCTATATTCCTGTAGGGCTTTAGCTCAGTGATCAGGGCATATGCTTGGCATACAGAAGGTCCCAACTTCAACTCCAGGTAGGGGCAGGAATCGTCCCTTGTGAAACTCTGGAGAGCAGCTGCCAGTCGGTGTGGACAGTATGGAGGCAGGTGGGCCAATGTTCTGACTCTCTAGAATGGCAATTTCCTCTGATTTTGGGGGTGTAGCTCAGTGGAAGAGCGTCTGCTTTGCATGCCGAAGGTCCCAGGTTCAGCCCCAGACATCTCCAGGTAGAACTGGAATTTGTTCCCCTGGCTGAAACCCTGGAATGCTGCTGCCAGTCCGTGTGGGCAATGCTGAGCCAGTTAGAACTATTGGTCTGCGTACAGCTGAAAACACCGGGAGAAACAGAATGGGTGTGAGTGCCTGCGGAATTTTAAGGGAGCGGCTTATATTCGGGTGCGGCTTATATTCAGGCCAATGCGGTACTTAGTAAGAGGTGCCCTCCATGGGGAAGTTTTCACCTTGGTGGGCAAGAGAAGGAGCTGTGAGCCAGGACCCCAGTTCTGCAAGCTCCACTCTTCCCAGATGCAGCTTCCTCCCTCGGAATAGGGGGACATTGATACTGGCCTGCCTTGCAGTGCTCTCGCTGTAAGGATTGCCATGAAATCGTGCTCTGAACGGTCGGAAGTGCCATGTGCTTTCAGTGGCATCTGAGATCCTTGTAATTGCCTTTGCTGCTCTTTTTTAGTTGCAGTTTTTAATGGCTGGTGCTCTCTCTCTCTCTCTCTCTCTCTCTCTCTCTCTCGCTGTTTTTATTTGCTGCTGGCTCTCTTTTAGCACTTTACATTATAATCTGGCTCCAGGCCATCTGGCGAGAAGGCAGGATAGAAATTCTGCGCTAAGATAACTGCTAAGTATTATTCCTTTCTTTATTTCTCGTAACGATATCCTGCCTTTCTCCTGCGAGGGGCATTTGCAGAAACCATAGGCATTTGCTGGCTCCTCCACAGCTGCCCACTCACTGGCTTTTGCTGACCAATCTCTAACAAGCCCCCAGAGGAGGAAAGTTTAAACACAGACACACCCCACACTTCATTCAGATCAGAGGAATCTGCAGAGATTCTGCTATGTTCTTTTTATAGCTTCAAGAGAAAGCTGAAAAGCTGTCCGTAAATAGGTTGTTGTTGGCATCTGTCTGTCTCGAGAGACAATGGAGCGTGCCTCCGGGGGTGTTTGCAGCACCAAAGTGACTTTCCCAGGGCACAAACCTGGGCAGTGGGTCTGGAGGTCCTGGGCTGCCCAGGTGATAAGACCCCCCTTTGACCTTTCTGATGGGGTCCAAAGGAAAGCAGAGCAAGATATTTGGCACCAGCCTAGCTGCAGGAGCTGCTGGAAGGCGACATACAATGCACCATCCAACAGTCTTAGGGACTCCACTCCCGATTTGTGTAGGTGTTTTTGTGGGATGTGAAACACAGAGCAGTCAAGTGCAACATCCCTAGAGTGGACATAAAAGGGGATGTCTGGACCAGCCAGTCGGAACTTCCTGTTTCTCCCAGGCTGGGACAGACTTCCTCTGCATGTGACTAGAGGTGGGCGTGGCCTCACCTGCCCAGGTAACAAAAGAGCAGGTCAGCCATCTCTCTCTCTCTCTGACCACATTCGTCAAAGAAGCAACATCTGCTTAGCCTAAGATGCTTCCAGCCAAGAGAGGATAGAGGGGCTATCTCCTTATGGGATAGTTTCCACATGTATATTACTTTTGTAACTTAAAGTCTGCCTTCTGGGATCCAGTTGTGAACAAAATGTGTGAGTAAACTCTTTTTATACTTTTATAGAAGACTGTATCGTGTCTATCTTTTTATGAGGGACTAAATGGGGAATTACCAAAAAGGAAAACACATTTTAGAGGTTTTAGTGAGCCTGAGCAAACGCATCCACTGTGCAAGTTTAAAAAGGGGAATGTTACTCTGCTAAATTGTATAACTTGTTAACACAAGTTGGAAAGGATATAATCAAACAATATATCCTCTCCTGCATCCCTGAACATTCCCACAGGGACGACAGGGGGCATTGCAAGCCCTACCGGGAGATGCTGTGAGGGACTGAAACCTTGGACCACGCAAATCAGACGCTATACCCCTAGGGTTTGGTCCCTGATCTGCTTGGAGCAGATTAAGAGGACTGAGGCAATGAGGATGAATCTGTGGCAGCTGATGTGAACAGTCCTTCCCTGAAAGTCATCTAGCCTTTACAGTTTGCATTGTTTTTCTGTTGGCTGTAGGAACCAAGTCTTATTCTGGCCTGAAGCCCATTCTGTAAAACTCTTACCTGTGTTTATTACAGCACAACTCTAGACAAGATCTGAAGGAAGCTCTTCTCAGGCAAGAAAAGTCTCCTGTGAAAAAGGGAGGGCAAACTAACAGGCCATCTCCACTCCACACCAGTCTCAGTTGGCAAGGATGAAGCGAGATGGGCACCAAAGACTTCCCCAAAACACAGAGGACATCATGGTGCCCTTTATCAGCCCATCAGCAACACACCGCAATGCCAACTGGGGCTGTCCTGCTATAAACAAATCAAATATCTCAAATTGCAGAGGGAAAATGGCACAGACCAAGGAAGATGCCATCTCGTCCACTTCTAGAGAGAGTCAAATGACGGACATCTGCAACGGCAACTTTCCCAAGGGAGGAGGACCCTCCGAAGCTCTCTGCAGTTGGTCTTTGGCGACCTCCTGCCAAAAGCCTCCAGGAAGCAATGGAGGGAACAAGCAGCTTCGACACTTTGGCCAGCGGTGCAAAGAAATCCCGCCCCCCAGAATTACCCAGCAAGGTTTCCCCAGAAAGGACGTATTTCTGTTCTGGACAAAGAAAGCTGGCAATGGCAACGAGATGGCCCCATGGAGATCAGGCTGCAAAAAGGCACACCAAGTGCAAGAGATGTTGGACCGATGTGAGGAACAAGAAGCAGAAGACTCAAAGGGAAGATGCTGGTCTCCCCCCACCAGCCCTGAAACAACCCAGAGGAGGAGACGGAGAGATCTTTTCCCAGACTCAGAGGTTTTCAGACAGCTGGACGCCCACGTTCTTCATGTGAGCGAGCAGGTGAGTGGAGAAAAGAACGTCCCAAAGTTCTACCATTTCTCCTTTCCGCTAGAGCTGCAGGTGGTCTTCCATTTGTGTCTCGAGACCCTGAAGCCACCCCTCATTGAGAAATAACACACACAAGGACACAGATCTTAGGTTAATGTTATTGGGCAAATTTTGGCCACAACTTTATTGATTGCAGAATGTGAGCGGTATTGGCTTAGGCATTGAATGGACCCGACCATATCTGACTCCTGCCCATTGCGCAGGAAGTCCGGTAAGGGTAAATCACCGGAAGGGGGAGCCCCGTCGATGCAGACCAACTCGAGCTCCCCCTGGTGTTCCTGTCAGGGTCGTGTCATGGCCCTAGCCCTGCCCCGGGATTCGGACAAGATCCACACACCCGGATTCCTTTAACGGAATACCCTTAAGCTTGGAGGGGCAGGTGATGGCCACACTCCCCTCCCCTTCATAAGGTCAAACAATGCCTAACTGCAACCCTAACAAAGTTGTGATGATTGCTACGAGGTAGGCGAAAACCAAATGGCCTGTGCCAATTTGCCAAGTGGAAAAATTCCTACCTGGCCCCTCAACGGCAACCAACCAAGGGCCATAGCGAGGCCAATGACTAACCTGCAAAATAGGGAGGGAGGGAGGGAGATTGAGGAAGCGAGCCGAAGAGGAAGCCCTCCAGCTCGCGCCTCTGCTTAAATGAAGCCACGCCCCCCCCCCCCCAGGATTGGCTGGCCGGTCGCTGACATGGCCGGGATCCCCCGGGCAATGGGAGACTAAGTCCCCCACCCCCAGAGGAGAGTGGGTGGCCACGTGGTCCACTGCAACTCCTCCCCCAGAGGAGAGTGGGTGGCCACGCGGTCCACTGCAACTCCTCCCCATGGCGAAGTGGAGTGGACTTACACAGTCATTGACTAAAGATTTTAAAGCTCAGATAGAAATCAGCAGGGCTAAGGTTGAAGAGCTCACACCCAGAGGCAGTCTTCCACCGACTCCCAAACGCAAGCTGACAGTGGGGCAGGGAGCTGCCCCCTTCAAGGCCTGCTTGGGGGGCATTTGGCTGGCCATAGTGGGAGAAAGGTGGACCTTTGAGTTGGTCCTGCTACCCGGATGGGTCACGGATGAACAATGTTTGGTCCCCTCCAGGCACTGTTGGACTCTGACATCCATCAGCCCCAGCCAACATGGAAGGTGGATGGGAGGATGATGGGATTTGTAGTCCAGAGACATCTGGAGGGGCCGCAAGCTGCCCAGTTCCTTCTCCAGGCGTTCTTTACAAATGCTGAGCAGAATTCCAACTGGGATGGGACAGAGTAGCCTTCGCCAACCTAGCATCCTCCAGAGATTTTGACTACAACCAGCATGGGCCGGCTGGAGCTGACGGATGTCCTCATCCAAAACACCAGGGTTGGCAATGGCTGGGCTAGACAAATGAATGGCTGCTTATCCTATGAAACAGATTGCTGCTGATTGTCCAAATCCCAACCTATCTTCCCTAGCTGAAAACCAACCAGGAATCCTGGTCCGTCCAGACCATCGTTCCACTGATTACCAAAGGAGCCAATAGCCAGCTGGAGAAGGCGCGAGCCATATGGATCTGGCTGTGCCACAATATCGGTAAGTGTGTTTTCATGCAAACCTCCTTGGGGGTATTTTTAGGGGGGCAGTGATGTATGGATTTCATAAGCCTAACCCACCTTTCTTCCAACAAGCAAGACAGATTGGGTGCTTCCTATCGTAACAACCTCTTGGTAAAGCGGTGTTTTGATTTTGCTCCGCAATAGAGTACGATGTCAACGGCTTCTTGGGGTTCTCTGAGAAGATCCACACCTCTGAGCAGGTCCTTCACACCGGGAGAGGCGTGTGCTCTGGGTATGCCCATCTATACCGTGACATGTGCAGGTATGTGCTGCTGTGGCTTTTAACATGTCCCATCTCAAGGGCTGTCACATGGAAGAGGGAATGGGCTTCTTTTTTCCTGCTCTGGAGGGTAGGATTTGAACCCAAGGCTTCAAGTTACAAGAAAGGAGATTCTGACTAACCACCAGGAAGAACTGGTGTTCAACAGTGGAACGGACTCCCTCGGGAGGTGGTGGACTCTGTCAGGAGTTCAGCCTACACTCGAGTAGGACTCTGGCAGAGACACATGCCGGACTGGCATGTTCTCTCCCTCCTGGTCGATCGTTCGGGAGCTTCATAAGCTTTCTTCAGTCTGAATATCACAGCGACCGATGCCAACCGACACCGGCACACTTAGGGATCCACAGAGTTTGCGCAACTTGTGTGACAGACCTCAGCAACTCAGCATTTTGGCTAATCTACTTTATTTGCATATAAACACACACGGAGCACTGCAACATGGCTCCCTTTCTCTCTAGCATCAGACAGCAAAGAAAATGAACAAAGGACAATAGTCCCACTTCACGGAACACAGGAACACAAACATCCTGTCTCCGTCACTTCCCACTCTGTGGAGACAAAACATATACCGTCATGTGATAGACAACAATCCCATGACTGCAACCATGGACCAGGAATTCTAACAGACTCTCCTTCCTTAGTGGCTTTTAAGCAGAGGTTGGGTGGTCATCTGTCATGGATGCTTTAGCCGAGACTCCTGCATTGCAGGGGGTTGGACTAGATGACCCCTGGGGTCCCTTCGAATTCTAAGGTTCCATGATTCTATGATCCACCTCCTTAAAGCTTAGAGCATCTCCTCAATCTAACCATTTAAATGGAACACATGGCACATACAGGGGATATAGTCCAATATCTATCCTCAGCCATTCATAGCCTGCTTCCAGGCCACTTCCACTATTGTGCAGGCATGATTTCATTGTATAACCAGCAAATTCTGGTTGTGCAATTAAAATGAATTCAGTGCTCTTGAGCACTTGCGCAATCCTCTTCCAAAATAAACCCCCAATGATTATTTATTTTATTTTATCTTTTGGCGGTAATAAGAAAATGCACAGGAAAGCGTGGGGATAATGGCAGATGTCATAATATAAGTGCCAGTTATTATTGAGCAGGGCCAGATATGAAAGCCAGCCAGCCAGCTAAGAAACACAGAACGTAAGAACAGATGAAATGGCCTTATACATGGTTAAACCATCTGGCTTCTGGCTGCAGACTGGCAATGGCTGTCCAGGGATGCAGGTGGGGGTCTCTCCCAGCCCTGTACCTGGAAATACTTCTGGGGATGCTCTGCCACTGAGCCATGCTATGATATGCACCTGGAGTCCAAGTGCAAGGAGCAACTTGGCAGCACCGTAACTCTTGTATCCAGCTGCCCACCGCCTGTACGTTGAGTTTGCCCAGCCTCCATGCCCTCTTGTGAATCCTTACAGGGAAGCGGGCTTGACCTGCGCCGAAGTTTCGGGATATGGCCGAGGGGCCGGGTACAGCCAAGGCCAGAGCTGCCTGCAGAAGAAGTCCGACCACATGTGGAACGCCGTGCAGTTGGGAGCCCAGTGGTTCCTTCTGGACGTCTGCTGGGGAGCAGGCCTCGTGGATGTGGAGAAGAGGCTGTTCATCCCCCGGTGAGATCTCTCGGTGTTTATAAGTTCTAAGCCCTGGTGTGTGGAAGGCAAGAGCAGCCCTGTCTGATCAGACCACTAGCCTGTGGTTCAGAATTTCCTAAAGCAGGCTTCCTCAACCTCGGCCCTCCAGATGTTTTTTTTTATTTAAAAAAATCATTTTTATTGATTTTCCAATAAAAAACACCCAATTAAATACCCAGTCAGAATACTTCAATTAAAATAAAAAAGATCAAATTATAGTCCAAATTGTATTTATTAATTTCTCAGAGCTCCCCACCGTCTGGATCTCTGAAGCATATCTCCACATCTTAGTCCTGCTTCTCTGGCCCTCCAGCTGTTTTGAGACTACCATTCCCATCATCCCTGGCCACTGGTCCTGCTAGCTAGGTATCATGGGAGTTGTAGGCCAAAAACATCTGGAGGGCCAAGGCTGAGGAAGCCAGTCCTAAAGTAAGAAAACCAAAACGCATGTTCTCCTGGCCTAAGGTTAAAAGCAACTGAGAGGCTGCCTTAAGCTTTGTCTTTGCAGGTTGCTAATATTTTAACACTAGGGTTGCCATATTCAAAATCCGGACACAAAAGTTGTGGAGCTTTCTCCCCCAAAATCTCAGTAATAATAATAATAACAAAATTTGAGGGGTTTTTTAGGAAACTCACAAAAAAACCCACTACAGTCATACCTCGGAAGTTGAACGGAATCGGTTTCGGAAGTCCGTTCAACTTCCAAAATGTTCAGAAACCAAAGCACAGTTGCAGCCAATCGGAAGCCCCATCAGACATTCGCAAACCAGAACACTCCTGAGTTTCGATTGTTCATGAGCCGAGTTGTTTGGGAGTCAAGGCGTTTGAGATCCAACGTACGACTGTACTTCCGATATGGGCTGCCATACGCCGGGATTTTCCCGGACATTTTAACCGATTTCTGAAAACTCCAGCCAGACACTATTTTTGGCGGATGAATCCTGGATATATCCAGGAAATTCAGGCGGCCCTTAACTTATTCCCCTTTTAAGAGTGAAACCAGAGTTTTCAGATCATGCAATTGGGGATGGACAAATCTGCAGGGAGCAGCCAATCCGGCCACTAGCCGGCCTCTTATAGTTGCAAATAACTTCGGATCGGATGCTCTGCTTCTTCCCCTTCACTGCTTTAATTAGACACCAGAGCCACCCTTTGATCAAATGATTAATCTCCCGCTCCCCAGCAGGTTTATTAGGTGGCCTGAGATGTAATTACGCGAGCCTCCTCCACACGTTTCAGACCGAGAGTAAATAATGACTTGCCTCAAAAGTTATTAATCGTGTTAAATTATTTTCCGCTAGATGCATTATGCACTTGTCACTTTCCAGCCAATGCAAAATAATAAGAGCCCGTGTGGCATTTGCAACACCTAATCATGTTACGTGGAACAAATTTGCTCTGGTGTGTGTGTGTGTGTGTGTGTGTGTGTGTGTGTGTAAGCATGCATGGGGAAGAGAGATCAATTTGTTGTTTTGAATCTGCAAGGGGAGAGGAGCAAGGCCTTGAAACGTGAAGAGTTAAAATGCGACTCTGTAGATACTTTCCAGGGACCCACATTTTCACGTTTACTCTCAAGCTGAGCCCGCACTTCCCTTTAAACATGCATTTCCTCAATATTTACATTAGGAGATTGCTGCCTCAAGAGGTCCGGAGCGTGGCAACACGAGAACAGGGTCTTCTCTGCAGTGGCTCCCCGTCCGTGGAATGCTCTCTGAAATATACTCAGAGTCGCAAAGTGATTTCATGCTCTTTATTCAGCTCATAGTGGTGAGGAGGAATGAATGAATGTCCCCTCAAAGTATCTGCTTTATATACTTTATTTACACAATGGGCTGCGCATGATTGGCTAATTCTGGAATTCTACTGTAAGCCAATCAGGTTGTGGATTCACTTATATCTGGAGCATGATTGGGTGGTTCCTGCCAACCAATCATACTGCTGCATTGTTCTAGGACCAATCAGACAGCTGCAGTTTGGATCCTATTCAACTCAGTACATAACACTCTCTGTAGGGAAGTTTGCCTGGCGCCTTCATTATACACCTTTAGGCACCAGGCAAAACCATTCCTTTTTAACCAGGCCTTTGGTTGATCTGTTTGGCATCCTATACCCTTTTAAAATGTGGCTCTTTTTTTGGGGGGGGTGTTACTGGGTTGATGTCTTTATTCTGATTATATGGGGTATCCAAGAGCCCGTATAGAGTCCTTAAGTGGGTTCTCCATCGGTCAGAGAAAATAACAGAGGCCAACCAGATAATATTGAGAAGCAAAGCAGCTAGTAAGCCTGATCTTTATTGAACTGTTGCAACAGGGTGCCCCCTTCACACGCAGGAGAAGGAGGAGGACCCCGAAGAAAGGTGTGCCCGCCCTTATACAGTGGTGCCCCGCAAGACGAATGCCTCGCAAGACGGAAAAACCGCTAGACGAAAGGGTTTTCCGTTTTGGAGTTGCTTCGCAGGACGAATTCCCCTATGGGCTTGCTTCGCAAGACGAAAATGTCTTGCGAGTCTTGAATTTTTTCCCCTTCCCCCTTTATCTAATCTGCTAAGCCTTTAATAGCCTTTAATAGCCTTTTAGCAGCTAATCCCTAAGCCTTTAAGCCTTTAATAGCCGCTAAACCGCTAATAGCGCTAATAGCGCTAATCCGTCAATGGGCTTGCTTCGCAAGACGAAAAAACCGCTAGACGAAGACTCTCGCGGAACGGATTAATTTCGTCTTGCGAGGCACCACTGTATAGACATTTTAAATTCCCTGCCCTGGAGCTCAAGACCACCCCTCCATACATCATACATACATCACAGAAGGGGTGTAGCCCAAGATCACCCCCCACAAACGTCATACCTGCATCACAGAAAAGGCTGTCTACAACAGAAATTTGAGTGTTGTTGTTTTTCCTGTCTGCCAGGTTATCTGATAACGCCTTATCTGATTGCCTTTCCTGGTAGTCTGGCCATTCCTTTGAGATGGTGATTACCCAATTCCTGAGACAATGGGGAGGTTCCCTCACCCCCTCCCTCCTTGCAGAGAAAACATTTGGTCAGTTTGGAAGTCAAAATGGTTTCAGGGCCGTCTTCCTGTGCTGCTCCAGACATGTGGTCCACATATCTATGTATGTACTTGGTTGGTACATTTATGAACATTTATTATATATAAAACCTTAAATTTTTTATTACAGTACTCCTTTCCCATCAATCCACCCACTTCTCATCTTTTAACAACAGACAAGCCATTAACCTCCTGTCCCCTTCCTTGTTTGCCATTCTGGAATGTGGTTTGTTTCATGTGATGTCTAAGGCGCCCCCCCCCCATTTCCCCCACTCCCCCAGGCACGAGGATTTTTTCTTCCTAACTGACCCTGAAGATTTCATCGAAAGCCACTGGCCTGATGAGCCAAAATGGCAGCTCACTCAGCCTCCCGTCCCACTGCAGATTTTCGAAGGGAGAGTTTTCAAGACGCCAGAGTTTTTCAAACTTCAGCTTGCCCTCCTCTCTCCAGACACCTCCAGGATTAAAACAGGTATGTTCACAGCAGGATGCTTTGGCACACTCAGAAATTTAATCCCGCTGAAAGGAAGTGGCATGGCGTCAGTGGAGTAGCGTGGGTTTCCAGTGCCCAGGGCTGCGCAGGTTGGGTGGGAGGGAAAGAGAAGGAGTAAGCAAGTAAGCATGTGCGTTCAATTGCCTAATGGCGTCCGTGTCACCCAGGGGATCACAGCTGCATAAATTAAGAAAAGAAGAGTCATTCCGTTGCTGGAGAGGTCACTTCCTGGTTTGCATGGAGAAGCTGCTTTCAGTGGAGCCCAGGGACAGAAATACAGAACTATATTGAGGCAGCAACGGATGTTGAAATTTTGAGCCCCTAACAAAAGCTTTCTAAAATTTCAGGCAACCTTCCTCAAGTTGATGCCCTCCAGATGTTTTGGACTATGACTCCCATCACCCCAGCCAGTCCAAAACATCTGGAGGGCAGTAGGTTGGGGGTGCTGCTGCTTTGGGGGTGTTTGGGGCAAATACACACCCAAGGGAAGAGTTAGGCAATTGTGGGACTGCAGTCAACCCCCCCCCCAAGGTTAACTGCTCTAGTGTGGTGCTCTGCAGTTAAAAACAGGCAAAATCAATCCCTCTCCCCCTTCCTTATCACAGACCGAGGGGAAGCAACCATTTCGTTAGCAAGTGCCCGTTCAACAGAGTTCACTTACCAGCTGTTGAAGCTTTGCCAGGACGACGACAGCAAAGAGGATATGGGCAAGACTCACGGGATGTTAACCATGTCTGACAAAAAGATGGTCCTCAAAGTCTTCCCCCCAACCGAGGGGCTCTTCGAACTGCAAATCTTTGCCCGCCCTTCCGATTCCTCAAAGCCATGCACTTGGGTGTGTTCCCACCAGATCGAGTGCCTGGAGCCCCACCGGCAAGAGGGGTTGCCGGATAATCCTTTCGCTTTCTGGGGGCTCCACCCCAAAGCAAGTGAGTTTGGGATTGAGGAGTGCAACTGGGAAGAAGACCTGATCGTTGCCACCACGGGGACCCTAAGGCTGGCTTTGCAGACCCAGAGGCCTCTCTTGGCCACCTACGAGTTGGTTCATCCAAAGATGGACACCTCTCTGAGCAGGAAGTGTTTGGTGTCCCAAGTGGAAGAGCAGAAACTCAGCTGCCACATCCTCTGTCCTTTCGTGGGCCACTACAGGCTCTCGGTGTTTGTCAAGGAGCTCGACGAAGACAAGTTCAAGAACGCCGTAAACTTCCTCATACGCTGCTCCAGCCCCGTCAACCACAACGAGCTCTTCCCGTCGGGTCTCAGCGCACATTGCGGAGCTGGGATCAGCTCCCAGTGGAGAGGTCTCTCGAACCCCAGCCACACTGCCCCCATCATCAATACCAAAAAGGGACGGTGCACTGTCACTTTTCGTACCCAGCCAGGCTTTGAAGTCACCGCCACTTTGGGCAAGGACAAAATCACCAGCAAAACGTACCCGATGGAAAGGTTCGTCTTGGTTACCCACCTGGAGAACAAGGTGAGCGTCTCCGTCTTGCTCCCTGAATCGGGAGTCTACAGGCTCAGCTTGTATGGGAGGGACGCCGAAAACAAAGAATTTGTCCACGTATGTGATTACATCATCCGCTGCTTCACCAACCCCCAGTGGCTCCCCTTTCCCCGGGTCTACAGCTTGTGGAGGAAGGGGTGTGTTCTCCTAGAACCCAGGTCAGGAGTCCTGCAAGAGAAAAGCTGGGTGAGGTTTCGGATCAAGATGCCCGAGGCCTGCAGCGCTCACGTCGTCGGTCCTTCACGATGGGAGCTGCGGCTGGGCCAGAACAAAGTGTGGGAGGGAGAGGTCTACACTGGCCTCGCTGCGACGATGCTGAAGGTGGCCGTCAAATTCTCCCGGGACTCCCCAAGCATGGACGTCATCCTCTCGTTTGACGTCGAAGGCTGTTCATCAACTCTAAGCGACGCTTCGGGGTAAAATGGTCCGGGGGTCTTTGGACTCTCAGGAAACATAACTCTCTGCCCCATCGCAAGCCTCCAGCTGGATCAGACGGAAGTCCTGGGCCAGGTTCCAGCCAAGCCATGTGCACAAGGGCATCCAAGGTGATCAAGGGTCTGGAAGCCATGCCTTATGAAGAACAGTTGAAGGAGTTGGGACATGTTTAGCCTGGGAAAGAGGAGGCTGGGAGAAGATATGAGAGCCATCTTCTAATAGCTCATGGATGAAATCGATTGTCTTTTCTTGGTAATGGACAGGATGAGAGCTCACAAACTGAAGCTCAATCCAGATAAGACTGAGGCTCTGTTAGTGGGTGGTTCCCTAGACCAGATGGCTGGGAGATCGCCTGCTATTGATGGGGTTACGGTTCCTCTGAAGGAGCAGGTTCATAGCTTGGGGCTACTCCGGGATCCTGTGCTGTTGCTTGAGGCTTAGGTGGCCTCAGTGGACCGGAGTGCCTTCCATCAGCTTTGTCTGGTGGCCCAGCTACGCCCCTATCTGGACAGGGATAGCCTACTGTTGTCTACACTCTGGTAACCTCAAGGTTACTGCAATGCGTTATACGTAGAGCTGCCTCTGAAGACGGTTCGGAAACTTCAGCTAGTGCAGAATTCAGCAGCCAGGTTGCTCACCGGAGTAAGACGGTTTGAGCATCTTACACCGATTCTGGTCCGACTGCACTGGCTGCCAATTAGTTTCTGGGCCCAATTCAAAGTGTTGGTTTTTACCTATAGAGCCTTAAATGGCTCAGGACCACAATACCTCAAGGACCGCCTCCTTCCATATGAACCTACCCAGACCCTGAGATCATCTTCTGAGGCCCTCCTTCGTGTGCCTCCTCCTCAAGAGGTCCAGAGGATGGTAACACGAGAACAGGGCCTTCTCTGCAGTGGCCCCCTGTCTGTGGAATGCTCTCCCCAGGGACGTTTGCCTGACGCCTTCATTATTCACCTTTAGGCACCAGGCAAAACTGTTCCTTTGTAACCAGGCCTTCGGTTGATCTGTTTGGCATCCTATACCCATTTAAAATGTGACTCTTTTGGGGCGGGAGTGTTATTGGGTTGATGTTTTTATTCTGATTATATATGTTGTGATCTTTTCTGTGAACTGCCCTCAGACCTCCAGATATAGGGCAGTATATAAACTCAATTAATGATGATGATGATGATGATGTAGAATTAGCAAATTTAACTAAGAGAATAGGAGATCAGGAAGATTGAGTATTTAAGGAAGTGTGGAAAATGTTTGCAGAATATCTGAAGAACTATGTTAATCAGGTTAAAACGTTAGCAGGGTTAGTGTAAATTCAGCAGTGTAAATAAAGTATTAAAGATATAGGGGGAAGGGAGGAATATGAATATATGGGGAAATTAGAATATGCAGCCTTAACAGATAAATAAATAGAACCACGGAAAGGAGGGAAGCGAAGAAGTCAGTGACTGAATGTATGGTTATAATCAATGAAATGTGAAACATTGTAAGGAAAAATGATAAATAAAATTTTAAATTTTATATACACACAAACACCCCGGGAAAAGTGCTAAGTTTCATGACTGCAGCAGTTCATCCCCGGTAGGTATTGTCCTATGGACCAGTCCCCTCCTCCCCACAGCCATCTAAGGAACAAAATCAAGCCATAAATGGGGCTTTAAATTCTCCCCATCAAATAGTTTTTAGTACACCTTTTCAAGAAGGGTAAGCCCTTATTTGCCAAGCCCTCAAACTTATTCCTCCCCATCCTCTCAAAAGCTGCATAACTTGACTTACCTGTTTGGAGAAACTGGGTCTGCTCTGCAGTTCATTGCAAAGCACCGACTGATGCCATGAGAGGTCAGGATTGCACCTGTTGACCCTCAAAGCTTAGGGGGCAGGTGTGGTATAGTCTTGGCAAGGGTCTGCAAACGTAGACCCTGAGCGTGGGGTCTGCATCATAAGCCTCTGGGCCAGGGGTCAGCAAGCTTTTTCATCAGGGGGCCGGTCCACTGTCCCTCAGACCTTGTGGGGGGCTGGACTATATTTTTTGGGGGGGAGGGGGGAATGAATGAATTTCTATGCCCCACAAATGCATTTTAAATAAAAGCACACATTCTACTCATGTAAAAACACGCTGATTCCTGGACCGTCCGCGGGCCGGATTTAGAAAGCGATTGGGCCACATCCAGCCCCCAGACCTTAGTTTCCCTACCCATGCTCTGGGCAGACTGGAATTGGAAGATTGGGCTTAGGGAGAAAGCTGAGGCAGCAGCAGGTATGATCCTGCTCTCTCCCTCCTCCAATAAATACGTTTTCTGACAGTCAACACAGGGTTTTCCCTCACCCCAACCCATCCCTCTTCAAAATCAGGCACTGGGAGAGAAAACACCCACCAAAACTAGGTTCAAAGACACTCTAGCAAAGGAAACATCATTAGGGAAAAGTGTCAGCACCCATATCTGGTCATTGAGGGCTTATCATATAGAAACATGGAATCGTAGAGTTGGAAGGGACCCGAGGGTCATCTAGCCCAACCCAATCTCAGCTAAAGCATCCATGACAGATGGCCATCCAACCTCTGCTTCAAAACCTCCAAGGAGAGACCGTTCCACTGTCAAACAGCATCTACTGTCATAAAGTTCTTCCTGATGTTTAGTTGGAATCTCCTTTCTTGCAACTTGAAGCCATGGGTTCGAGTCCTGCCCTCCAGAGCAGGAGAAAACAAGCTTCTCCCATGTGAGAGCCTTTGAGACATTTGAATATGGCTCTCCTATCTCCTCTCAGTCTCGTCTTTCCCAGGCTAAAGATACCCAGCTCCTTCAACCACTCCTCATAAGGCTTGGTTTCCAGACAGTTGATCACCTTGGTTGCCCTCCTCTGCACACCTTCCAGCTTGTCAACATCCTTCTTAAACTGTGGCGCCCAGAATTGGACACCACAATTAAGAACTGGCAGCTAATGAGTTGCAATTCCTGCATTGCAGGGGGTTGAAGTGGGTCTCTTGCAACTCTACAATTCTGATTCTGCTAAAGAGGGGGAAACTGAGTGTGTAATGGAGGAGAGAGGTAAAAATCTCTCCTCCCCCCACAAAACAACCCCCCTGCTCTCACCCCAGCTGCTTTATTAGCACCTCGCTATCTCCCTCCGCAACTTAGCAGCAATTGCAGTAGCGGTGTTGCAAAGTCGGCTTTGGCAGTTCATCACTCCCGGGCAGGAGATAAAGGGAGTTCTGGACAAGACAGCTTTCGCCAGCCATTGTGGCAAGCAGCCCGGTCCCCTTGCTAAGGACACATGGCTGAAGGTGTCTCTCCTCCTTCAACCCAAGCAATGGGGACAGGCAGGGGCCTACCTGAGGGGCTGGGGTGGACGGTCGCCAAGAGAGGCTTGTCTTGACCCCGGCGCCTGGTGATCTTGCTGAGTGCCCAAATTGGCAATAAGCACCACCACCCGCTGCCGTTCTCCGTCCTGGACTGCGCAGAAAGCTGTTTGTTGCATCCATTTTTTGGGTGGGAATACCAACTTGGGCAACTGTTTTCACAGCTGGGAAGGCTTCCTCTGCAGCCCTTTTGGCCCAGTGTTGGATGAAGGGATCTTAGTCCAGCTGTGCAAGTTGGGAGAGAACCATTTACCCTGGCTTTTGGCCCCTTGAGCGGGTGGCGCTGTGGGTTAAACCACAGAGCCTAGGGCTTGCCAATCGGAAGGTCAGAAGTTTGAATCCCCGCAATGGGGTGAGCTCCTGTTGGTCTGTCCTGCCAACCTAGCAGTTCGAAAGCACACCAGCGCAAGTAGATAAATAGGTACCGCTCCAGTGGGAAGGTAAACGGCGTTTCTGCGCGCTCTGGTTTCCGTCACAGTGTCCCATTGTGCCAGAAGCAGTTTAGTTCTGCTGGCCACACGACCCAGAAAGCTGTCTGTGCGCAAACACCGGCTCCCTTAGCCTGAAAGCGAGATGAGCGCCACAACCCCATAGTTGGCCTTTGACTGGACTTAACCGTCCAGGGGTCCTTTCCCCTTTTTTAACGTTTTTAGGACCTACCTTATTTTTACGGTTGTAAGTTATTTTGCTTTGTTTATAATTTTGTGATTTAAATGCTGTAGCCTGATTTGGGACCTTCAGGTGAAGGACTAATAGTAATAATAGGTTTACCAAACAGTATAATGCAATAACAAAGAATAAGAATAAAAACATCAGGGAGGGAGGGGTGGGAAGTCAAAAAGCAAAGTGTAAGTGAATGATATATAATGCATATGCAGCAAATTTGCTAAAACCTTGAAAATCTAATAAAATTATTATTATTATTAAATGTGGGCAAGAGTTCAAAGAGGCAGAATCAAAAGTGAATCCACTCGGAGTCGAGAGTGGATTTCATGCTCTTTATTCTGCTCATAGTGGTGAGGAGGAATGGAAGTTACCCCAGAATGTCTGCTTTATATACATTATTTACACAATGGGCCCCATGTGATTGGCTAATTCTGGGATTCTCCTGTAGGCCAATCAGGTTGCGGATTCACTTCCACCCAGAGTTGGATTGGGTGGCTCCTGCGGACCAATCAGTCTTCTGCAATCTGAATCCTATTGTTCTAGGACCAATCAGACTGCTGCAGTTTGGATCCTATTGTTCTAGGACCAATCAGACTGCTTCAGTTTTGATCCTATTCAACTCAGTACATAATACTGCCATAGGCCACCAGCTGCAACCAAGCAGTCGCAACCCACAAGAAGGTTCATGCAGAGAAAACTAGCACAATACAACTCAAGCAAGTGAGCCAATCAGCATTCACACACCCACACATAAATAAACCGATAGAACTGATGGATATAATTTATTGGGCTTTTTTTAGAATCGCATCCAAGTTACAAGTGTAAAAAATAATAATCACAAACAGCAGGTATAAACGTGTAAAACAATACAAAAATAAAGGGAAAGGTACTTTTATATATTTACTGAATCAAGTAGTGTAATAAATACAAATAAGCAAAAAAGCTTCATTCACTCATTTCAGTTTAACTGAAGTTACAGTAGAGTTTGTAAAAATAACATTTTACTGAACGTTGCAAATATTAACGGGTTGAAAACTAGTATGAAAAATTAATTTTGGCACCTGGTAAAAAAAAAAAAGAAGAATTTGTTATGCGAGTCTTTCACAACTAGGTAAAAGGACAAAGCAGTTTCTTACTAGTTTTCTGAGGTACATCTAAAATTAGATTTAGCAACGCAGTTCTAACAACTCACAGTTTACGTTTTTACCTTCCCTCGCTATGCTAGTTACAATTTTCCCTTTTGAGGATACCCGAAACGGTATTCCGGAGCTTATTAGCTGTGCAAAATTCAGGAGTGAGAGAAAAAAAATGATCTCAAAAGAGAAAAAAGAACACGGGGAACACTTTCAGCGCACAAACTGACTCTTGTGCTGCTGACTCCGGTGTCCCAGGCCGACACTGTCGCGTTTCGACCACTGCAGAGGATCCAGAAGGACAGAATCGCAAAAGTCCCACTGGGATGAAAGGCAGACTTGTGCAGGAGCCCCGCGCCCAGGATCCCTAGCTGACGGGAGAAGTAGATTCTGCATATGCAAAAACCCCAATCCCATGCAGGGCTCCCTGCAAAATCTAGATCTGGCGTCTCTGTGTCGCCGCAGGAGGGCGGCTGCCATTTTCAGCGGCAGCCCCTTGTCTCGCCGCAACACCCGCCCCTAGCAGCACAGAGTCTGGATTGCAAATGTACCCCCTCGTTTTTCCAAAGTTTGTTGCAACCCCTCCCCTCCCTCCCCACCCACAATATAACTTCAGCGATTTCTGACCACACTCATTCTCAGGTGATATGAAACCACACAGGCTGCTAATGGGAAGGTCAGCAAAAGCAGAGAGAAACCCCTTGAGGACTCGATTTGTGCATTTCCACGAGAAAAACGCACGTACACAAGGAAAGCTCCGACTCTTGGCACTGCCGCCGTTTTTTTTCCTTTTCTTTTTTTCACCGCAAACGGCCGCAGTGCAAGAACAGTGTTAATGGCACTTTGAATAGTTGCAACTAGAACGGTGCTCTGCGTTTTACAGTAGCTTGAAACATTTCAAAACTAGATTATTTTATTCGGCGATGCAAGTCCCGCGCCCCCCCCTTGTAAAAAAACAAACAAACAAGTTAGCTCCCCAACCCACCCCTTTATAAAAATGTTGCCGGGTCATTGAAGCAATTCCCTAAATAGAATTGCCTTAAAAATGCCGGCAGAATCAAGTATTTCATTCGTTTTCAGTCCTCAAAGAGTTTTCTTTTTAAAAAAAGAAGACACAACAAACCCGAACAACTTAACCATGTGTGCTAAATATTCTCCGCTAGGTGGAGAGTCCTTTCACCAAAATGGTTTTTTCTTCTTCCCTTCAAAAGAGGGAGCGAGCAGCAGGAACCAACGGCGCCCGCCCGCTTGAAAAATTTGTGCCGCGTCGGCAGCGGTGCCGTAAAGCAAGGCACTGATATGTCTTGAACAGAATCCCATTGTCACAGTTTCGATATTTTGGCTATTTTATCCCCCTCCCCAACACTCCCCATCCCCTTTTAATTTCTTTTTTTAAAAAAAAAAAATCACAGTCGAACATTAAGGAAATTGAGGTAATCGAGAAAATTTCGTCAATACCAAAATAGAAGTCATTGCAGTACCAGAATGGTGAAAGGCCTTTGTAGTTATTACAGGGGTATTGTTCTTACTTAGCATGCAGTACAGCGTATACATATAGAGATATATATATGTCTCTCTCTACCATGCCTCTGTTCTGCTAAAACTCTGACTTGTCTGTGCAGTCCCACTGGGATGGGTGGGAGATTCTAGACACACACACCCTGCCCATTCCTGCTTGGTCCCCACAGCTTAGGGGTCCAACTGCAGAAAAGGCCCCTTCGGAAGCTTGCCCAACAGCCGTTGGCAAGTCATGGGATGGAGCCTAGGGCATGGCCCTGTGCCAAAGCCCCAAACAGCCCATTTGGTGCCCCCGGGGGAAAAACGGAGGGGCAAAACAAACCCAGCAGCCTCCTCCTCCTCACAGTCCGCCCTGCGGTCCTCCTCACCGGCTGAGGCAGCCTCCCTGCCTGCGCAGAGGGACTGAACTGCACTGAAATGAGGTGCCTGACCTTAAAGTGAGGATTGCTCTCAAGAGCGTTCCTGGTGCCTCATTGATGCCTGCCCAAAAGGGATATGCCCATTTAAGGCCAGCACATCTTCTGTGGCCGCTACAGAAATCATTCAACACGGCGGATATCGCCAAACCAGGATGCTGTTCGAATGCAGAGGCTCAGCCTAATTTCTGCACACCGCTAGAGGCAGCCAAGGAGCAAGATCTCCAGCAGCTCTTCCTGGTTTGAGGCCTCTGCGTGCTGTGGGATCCCAACTTCCGCCAGCCCCAGCCAAAAGGTCTGGATGGCACGCGGTGGCACAGAGGAAGTTGTGTGTGCCAGATGCTGCTTGCCACACTGTCCCATAAAATGCTGTTGCCAAGTCTACAGCTGCGAGGCATGGGATTGCCCTGAAGGAAATTCTTGGGGCAGCTGGGTGAGTCTCTTGCAAAAGCAGTTCTCATGGCTGAAAAAGGCAATGGTTAGAACCAGCCGCCGGAGGATCTGCTCTTTGGGATCTGCCCAGGCTTCTGTTTTGTAAATTTCAGAGTTCAGCAGAGCTAAGTAAGCTACAATCTCTTCACCTATTTTAATAACAATTGCACTTAAAAACCTACGATCATAATCCACGAAGGTGAGGCAACGCATCCAAGTTGTGTTTGCCTCATCTTCCGAGAAGCTGCGTAGCAAACGCGGTTATCTCTATATATGGCTTTTGCAGATCATTAGACAATCTAAGCTAGAGAGGAGCAATTGGGGTTTGTGCTAAACTATGTTGATTGGGGGGGGGGGAGCTGCTTAACACCCTCTCCACCCATCGGCTTTGGCGCAATCCACCAGGAACCCTCACTGGCATCAATTTGGAGCCTTGCAAGAGGGTTTCCAGTGGATCATGGCCTTTTATCCCTCCAGAAAACTCCAGACATCCCAATTCTTGATTGGCTTATGTGATCGAGCTGTGGCTGATCTGAAGGTGCTTTGCCTTTGGCATGCTTTTAAATATTTGCCACACTTGGCAACAGTTTGGGCCCGATACACGAATGAGCACATGTTAGAAATCTAGAGTTTAAGTGCAGAGAAGCAAGCCAAAGGCAACAGCAGAATTCAGTCCTCTCCTCGGAAAGCCAGGCTTTGCTGCCTGAACTCTTATCACCAGAGAAAGACTTTAAATTTGCCAAACAGCCGCAAGAGGGGCAAATTGTGTGCCACCTCCGGCAACCCATACTTGGCCTCCTTTTGCCGGAACCTCTCTTTGCTAATAAATCTTGGCTCTTGGCAGGACCATATTCAGGACCTGGACTCTGCCATAGACTGGGCACAGACCCACAAACTCGGAGCCCTCCTGGCCCACGACGGCTTCTCGCTGGCTTCCATGGAAGAGGCCAGCTCCAAAGGGGGAGGAAGACAGGAGAGATTGTGTAGCCCCCCAGGAAGGGGCTACGCACCACGCTCTTAATCTGAGCAACAGGATAACACAGGTCCACAGTCACTCAATACACCTATGCCAACCTGTGCAGTAGCTCCTGAGAAGTTGCTTCTCAGTATTGCTCTCTTTTTTTCTGGAGGGATGATTCAGAAATCGGTTTCTGTTTCAAAGCGTATGGAGTAAGGTCAGGCGTGAGTTTCCCCCTGCTCGCTGTGGGAGCCACCTGAAGTGAACACCTTACCTTTTCACATGTTAGCTCAAACGCACCAATTGCCCCTCCAAAATTAATTTGCTAGCTACCATTTATACTACCAGGCACTATCAGTATATTATTCCGAGAGTTAACTAAGGTAACGGTCATGCATAGATAAATCCACAATCCTTAGGAGGATGCCCTGTTACCTGTAGTACGGGCATTTACGACCCCACAGAAAGCTTAAAATAATATTTAGTCAACAAGGAAAAAAAGACGGCCTTCAGTTTTACGGAAACCGCTTCATGCCTGTTCAAGGGCCCATGGAGTGCAACAGTAATTTAGGCTAGGGAGGGGGGGAAAAACTTCAACAGGCATAATGAAAACATATGCAAACATTCAAAATCTAAGCTGCGTCACCTAGAATGCTAAGCTGGGGCTCTTTTTCTAAGGATGAATCCACCAGGAGTGAAAGATGCTCAACTGGGGATACAGAGTACGCTACCCAATGAGGCTCCCTCTCTTTATCATTTACTGGAGATTAAGAATTTTGCATCAAGTTTTTATAGGAAGCCGCAGGCCGGTTCAGCTTTTGGAGTCCAGCCGTATTTCTGTTATTTCCGATGGATAAAGCAGGTTGATTTGACACGCTTGCTTTTCTACTTGAGTTTTAGAAGCGCCTCTCAGGAGGCGGGTCTTTGAATCGCTCCAGCTACCAAGATGCACATATTGCGTCCTGCCCTTCAGCCTTCAGTTCTCAAGAGGCCACGGCAGCCACAAAAAACACAAAGCAACTGCTTTCATGTGGTTTGGACTCCACAGCGGACACACATGCAAACCGTCACTGGGCGGCCAGATTGCGGGGTTCGCACCTCCAGGCCTGTCTTTTGTGCATGCGCTGGGTCTACACAGGAGTCATTTGCACAGGCCAGAACCACGCAGGAATGAGCCCACAGAAGACTCAAGACATGGGGTCTGACTCCAGCGCACACACAGAAACCGTGCCAACACAACAGCCAATGAATCTAACGGGAAACGGTCCCATCCTGCCCAAAAGCGGTAAGCAATTTATCCAAGCTGGCCCTGAATGCGTTGCAACTTTCCCAACACTGCAAAGATGTGCATCTTTGGGCACTTACTGGAAACGCTCTTAAAGGCGTACTCTTAATACTCAAGTAGAACTCTTAACACTCAAGAAGTGACTGCGGCTCTTAGTTCAGCCTGGAACAAACTGACACGTTGCTGTTAATGTACCAAACGGAAGCACAGATGTTCTGTTTTACAGCAAGGGTACAGTCACAGAAACTGCAAGTGTGACACCAACTTTCACTTTAGCATTTGTGTTCCCCTATTTCTCGCCCAAAACCACCATGTTGGTTAAGAGAAGCTCTCAAGAGCTTACGTGTTCCCCCATTTCTCGCTATAGGAACACCCCAAAAACCACCATGCTGGTTAAGAGAAGCTCTCAAGAGCTTACGTGTTCCCCCATTTCTCGCTTTAGGAACACCCCAAAAACCACCATGCTGGTTAAGAGAAGCTCTCAAGAGCTTACGTGTTCCCCCATTTCTCGCTTTAGGAACACCCCAAAAACCACCATGTTGGTTAAGAGAAGCTCTCAAGAAATTAAATGTTCCACCATTTCTCACTTTAGGAACACCCCAAAAACCACCATGTTGGTTAAGAGAAGTCTTCAAGAGCTCACGTGTTCCCCCATTTCTCACTTTAGGAACACCCCAAAAACTACCATGCTGGATAAGAGAAGCTCTCAAGAACTTACGTATTCCCCCATTTCTCGCGATAGGAACACCCCAAAAACCACCATGCTGATTAAGAGAAGCTCTCAAGAGCTTACGTGTTCCCCCATTTCTCGCTTTAGGAACACCCCAAAAACCACCATGTTGGTTAAGAGAAGTCTTCAAGAGCTTACGTGTTCCCCCATTTCTCGCGTTAGGAACACCCCAAAAACCACCATGCTGGTTAAGAGAAGTCTTCAAGAGCTCACGTGTTCCCCCATTTCTCGCGTTAGGAACACCCCAAAAACCACCATGTTGGTTAAGAGAAGCTCTCAAGAACTTACGTGTTCCCCCATTTCTCGCTTTAGGAACACCCCAAAAACCACCATGTTGGTTAAGAGAAGCTCTCAAGAACTTACATGTTCCCCCATTTCTCGCGTTAGGAACACCCCAAAAACCACCATGTTGGTTAAGAGAAGTCTTCAAGAACTTACGTGTTCCCCCATTTCTCGCGTTAGGAACACCCCAAAAACCACCATGTTGGTTAAGAGAAGCTCTCAAGAACTTACGTGTTCCCCCATTTCTCGCGTTAGGAACACCCCAAAAACCACCATGCTGGTTAAGAGAAGCTCTCAAGAGCTTACGTGTTCCCCCATTTCTCGCTTTAGGAACACCCCAAAAACCACCATGCTGGTTAAGAGAAGCTCTCAAGAACTTACGTGTTCCCCCATTTCTCGCTTTAGGAACACCCCAGGGGCAATTTGGACAGGGGCAATTGTGGGACGTCAGAAAACTACGGTCAGGACCAGCTTCATAAACTAGGAAATGCAGCTTTGTAATTTAAAACAAGAAGCAAGCCACACATCTCCTTTCCACTGTAAGCCAAAGAGAATTCAAGGACCGAGAGCTCAACATTAACGTGGAAGTGCATCAGCATTTCTTAAAAAAGAAAAGAAAAAAGGCCAACTTTACATGAATGGAAACTAAATATTAGAAGAATAGTTGAAAAACGGATGATTTCATTTTCCTGTTAGCCAGCAAGGACAAAAAGCGTTTCTTGGTCACTGACGTTTTGCCCCAATCTCATCAAGGGTTGTGTGCCTTGGCACAGGCGGGTCTCGCTTAGGTCTTCTGCTCAAAGAGGTCGTGGTACTCCAGTTCCTCCAGCTCTCGGTTGTACTCTTCAATCTCACGGTTTGCCTCCTCCAGGTAGTCGTTCATGAACTGATCCATCACTGGGGTGAATCGGCTGTTAAGGAGAAGAAATCCTGCCAGGAGCCATTTAAGGTGGGGGGCTTTAAAAATACACAGCAGCTCCTGAAAGATGGTCAGAAGTGTGACACCGCCTGCCCACCCACCCCCTGTTTTAGCACGGGACCCAATCCATTGGGAATTTTTCCTACAGTCCTTGCTAAAGAGATCAAGAGTTGCACAGAGGCCCACAAGCGCTGGAGGGCACATGGATCTGCTTTCACCACCTTCTGCTCAGTGGGGGGGCTCGTTTGCTGGATCCACTGTGGAAGGTTGCTGGTTTGTATCCAGTTAAAAACACCAGTTTGCAGAAGGAAGGGAAAAGGACACACTCTCTCTCTTTTCTCTCTGCCTGAGACCCTGGAGGAAATAAGCTGCCAGATAAGAGTAGACCGGGGGAAAACCAACATGTTGGCTGTCCAACTGAAACTTCCCAGCATCCATTATTATTATTGTCCATGCAGGCAGTTCAAGAGCATATGGATGGCACTGCAGAGGCTTTCTCAGGAGGAGGCAATCCCAGGCAGGAGGAGCAAATAGTGTAACCTTGTATAAGGCAGCTTCCCATATACTGATACTCTATCTCAGGGTTTCCCAAACTTGGGTCTCCAGCTGTTGTTGGACTACAACTCCCATCATCCCAGGCAAGCAGGCCAGGGATGATGGGAACTGTAGTCCAACAACAGCTGGAGACCCAAGTTTGGGAAACCATGCTCTATCTGATCGAAAAGGCCTGCAATTTGCTGACCTGGCTAAAATCTGATCTGAAATCACTGAATCACAGAATTGCAGAGTTGGAAGGGACCCTGCAGATCATCTGGTCCCAACCCCCTGCAATTCTGGAATAGGAATCTGGATCAAACCTGCAACCTTGGTGTTATCAGCACAGCGCTCTAACCAACCGAGCTATCAAGTCAGAAGTTGTCAAGTCTTGCTTGCTGAAAGGTCCACAGCGGGACTCTGGCCTGGCAGAATGTGGCTCTCCAGGCCTATCCGCCCGGCTCGCAGAACTCTTCCCCACCCCCCCAGAAGCCTTGCTTCACTCCTTAAACTGTTTCTGCCAGGCTGGAAGGTGTTCTTGGACTCTGATAATGCCTCGTGCTTGGCCTGGGTGGGGGATGGAGAGGGGCGTGTTTCGCGTGCGCAAGTTAACGTAGAAAGCAAAACTGTGCGTTCGTTATTGCCCTGCCTAATTTTGCTTCTAGCCCTCCCTCCCACCGGCACGTGGCCCTCAGAAGATTGCACACAAGGCAAAGCGGCCCTCAGCCTGGAGACAAATCCCTCACCTCAGTTTACAGCCCACGTTTGAGTTTGTCACAAGCAAACTAGGCTTTCTTTTCTGTAATGAAACAGCCTGCCAGAAACAAGGACCCAGAGCTCAGCACCCCAGAGGAGATTGAATGCGACTATTCGGGGTCTTCTGCACACCTGCCTCCACTTTGTGCCACCCTAGGAAGCTGCCTGGGACGCGGGTGGCGCTGTGGGTTAAACCACAGAGCCTAGGGCTTGCCGATCAGAAGGTCGGCGGTTCGAATCCCCGCGACGGGGTCAGCTCCCGTTGCTCGGTCCCTGCTCCTGCCAACCTAGCAGTTCGAAAGCACGTCAAAGCGCAAGTAGATAAATAGGTAAAGCTCTGGCGGGAAGGTAAACGGCGTTTCCGTGAGCTGCTCTGGTTCGCCAGATGACCCGGAAGCTGTACGCTGGCTCCCTCGGCCAATAAAGCGAGATGAGCGCCGCAACCCCAGAGTCGGCCACGACTGGACCTAACGGTCAGGGGTCCCTTTACCTAGGAAGCTGCCTGCTGTTACCCAGTTGCTTTTAGAGACAGTCCAAAGCTTTACTGGTACAATATGGCTCCAAAGGGTCTGAAGAGCTGAGCAGATTGCAGAGTGCACAGATGCATGCTTTTCTTTTCTTTTTTTAAAAGGATACGTGGATGGTAATCCAACTTGTCGCCAAAGAAATTCACAAACTGCGTCCCGTTGTAGAAGTAGCCAGCTGGAAGAGGATCCAAGTGGCGTTTCACCTGCGTTGGAAGGCAAAGCTATCACTCGCAAGCTCGCAAGAACGCACAGTCATATTTCAGGAGTCTTTTGTCAGAACTGCTGACAGGGCGAGTCTCCGGCGAGAGAGAAAATGTGCACAGCTAAGCAGCTATGCTCAAGGAAGGAAATCTTTTGCAGAGGCTAAAAATAGCTTCGCTTTCTATATGCGGGGCTCTCTGTTTCTTCCGAGTGGTATCCTGCCCTGAGTAGGCCTGCTGAAATTAAGGAACATGACTAAAGGAGGTCCATTAATTTCAGCATAAATCTGAACATCACCCTCTGTGTTTAAAGAGCAGGCAATGTGGCATAGTGGTTAGAGCATTGGCTTCGGGCTTGGGAGACCAGGGTTTGAATCTCCGCTTGGCCAGGAGGCTCACTAGGTGTTCTCGGGCCAGTTGCTGCTTCTCAGCCTAGCCTACAACACAGGGCTGTTGAGGATGAAGTTGGGGAGGGGAAAGATCTGTGCAGGCCACCGTGAGCTCCTTGGAGGAAGGTTGGGATATCAATGTAACAACAACAACAACAGCAACAACAAAAGGTTACAGGAATCGCTGCTTCAGTGGGAGGGACTTTAAGGCTGCCTTGTGTCGACTGGTGGTAAAAGGCTGCCTTCTCTCATCCCCTCAGTAGTCATAGAATCATAGAATTGTGGAGTTGGAAGGGAACCCAAAGGCCATCTAGTCCAACCCGCTGCAATGCAGGAGTTTCAGCTAAAGTCCTGCCCACTGAGCTAAGGTTGCCCCCTGCCCTTGAATAGGAAAGGCGTAGTAAAAAAATTCTGGGAAATGATATATAATGAGATGAAAAAGATGTTGAAATATACATTCTTAAAAAAAAAAACAGAAGCATTTTTACTTGGTATTATAGGCGAGGATATTAACAAGATGTTAAATTGTTCTTATATGCAACAACAGTGGCAAGAGTATTGATAGCCCAGGAATGGAAGCAAGAAGAAATTCTGACGAAAGAAGAATGGCAGACAAAATTAATGGACTACACAGAATTAGATAAAATGACAGGAGGGATTCGAAACCTGTGGGACCAGTGATTTGCAGAAGATTGGGAAAAAAATATACGAACTATTTGAAGAACAATTGTAATCAACAAATTATGCTAGTAGGACTACAAGAAGTTTTGTAAGGAAAAATATATGAAATATTGCAAAATAGAGAAAGAAGAGAGGTTAGTTATAAGATTTAAAGGTAACAGTGAAAGTCAGAAATGTATATTAAGTGATTAGATTGGAAAATTTTCAGATGTGATTGACAGAAGTCCAAAAAAATTGTATAAGATGTAAAAGTGTGTTTAATTATTTGAAAATGATATGTTAAAAAACTAATAATTTAAAAAAAAAAAAACGAATAGGAAAGGCGTATTTGGCTTTGACTTACATGGATGTTCTTGATCTCCTGCGAGGTCAGCATGCCCCGGGTTTTCAGAGCCTTCCTCTGCGGTTTCTGTGTTTGGATAAAGACACCAGAAAAGCCCAGTTCACTGCTTCTGAACGTGACAGTGTGTCATTTATTTGAGCAGGGTTTCCCAGATGTTTGTTGGACGACAGTTCCCATTATCCCTGACCACTGGGGTCCTGCTAGCTAAGGATGATGGAGTTGTGGTCCAACAAAAACAAGCTGGAGACCCAAGTTCGGGGAACCCTGCTTTAGAGGAAGACAAGGGAAGTGCGATTTGAACACGGCCAAAGGGAAACTGCTAAGGCTGCAAACACACAAGGCAAAAGCTTCTCTGGACCAAAGAGCTGTCAGGAGAAGACTTGGAATGACAACTGGGAGAGATCAGGGAAACCAGAGCAGGCTCCCTGGGATACCTGAGGCGGCTTTCCGGTCAGGTGTGCTTGTTAGCAACAGGATTATCGGGGGCACCCCCTTCACATGTTGCCTGGAGAGCCTACTCTTTTGACTGAAAGAGGCTGCTTCTCACAAGACCATCATTTCAAAGAAGCCACACAGTTCCCCATCACTCTGAATATTTATATAGCTCTCCGACACTGCGATGCTGGGCCCTGGAGCCCTGCTCAGCCCAAAGGCTCTTCTGTGTAGGTTTGAAGCCTTTACATACAAATAGCCGCCATCCCAGTGTCCTCGTTCACGTTTTGCAAATGGAGAAAACAAGGCCGGGTGCAGCACCCAGCGCTTCAGGACTGAGCAGTTATAGAAACCCAAGGCCACCCTAGAACCGTAAACCATTTGGGCCAACTGAACCGAGGTCACGGACACAACACTTATATAAAGCACTCTTGGGCAGCCGTGCAAAATCCTGGGAGCTGCGCTTCGCGAGAGGTGCTGGGAAGTCGGAATCCTTAAAGAACTACGGCTCCCAGGATTCTTTTGGGGGCAGAGAGACACAATTGTCGAAGTGCTATAAGAGTGCTTTAAATGTATGCTGCAGATGTGACCAGAATCCCTTAGAATAGCTCAAATGCAATCTATGAACAAGCTATACGGCCTAGGACCCTCGTACCTACGGGACCGCCTCTCCTGGTATGTCCCACAGAGGAACTTATGGTCTTCAAACAAAAACATCTTGGAGATCTCGGGCCACAGGGAGGTTAGGCTGGCCTCAACCAGAGCCAGGGCTTTTTCGGCTGTGGCCCCGATCCGGTGGAACGCTCTGTCACAAGAGACTAGGGCCCTGCGGGACTTGACATCTTTCCGCAGGGCCTGCAAGGCAGAGCTGTGCCACCAGGCCTTTGGCCAGGGCACAGCCTGACTCCCTCCTTTGGCAATCCTCACAGAACTCTAGCCCAATGGTTGCCATTAATCTGATTTGAATTAATTTAATAATGAAATGATTTTAGAATGTTTTATCATTTTACTGTTGTTAGCCGCTCTGAGCCTGGCTTTGGCTGGCGAGAGCGGGATATATAAAATTTTATTTTTATTATTATTTAAAAAATTACAGTGGTACCTTGGGTTAAGTACTTAATTTGTTCTGGAGGTTTGTTCTTAACCTGAAGCATCACTTTAGCTAATGGGGCTTCCTGCTGCCACCGTGCCGCCAGAGCACGATTTCTGTTCTCATCCTGAAGCAAAGTTCTTAACCCGAGGTACTATTTCTGGGTTAGTGGAGTCTGTAACCTGAAGCATATGTAACCCGAGGTACCACTGTACTGTACATAGTGTGCCCTAATGCAGCAAACTCTCAAAAGATTTTATTTTAAAAAAATAAAGACCTGACATGCATCGAGGGCAGAGAAATCTCGCTTTTAACTTGATTAAGGTTGCAGATATTTATTTCCATGCGATATGTGGCACTGACAAACATTAACTATCTGAATCACAGCTGCTGGATTGTGATCTTGTTACAAATGCTGTTTATGAATTTTTTAAATGTCAAGCTTCTAAGGATGTTTTATCTTTTATATGCAAATTGGGTAGATACATAACTTGTGTGTGTGTGTTTAAGGGTGGGGGGAAGGGGGAACAAACCCAACTGTGGAACTAATCCACAAAACAGGAGGAAGGCATTGTGCTTTGAAGCCCTTGCGCTTTGATCCCACCCACTCCTCAACGGCAAGCGGAATTGGAGAGGAATCTATGGTCACCAGAACCCGGCAATCAGACGGTGCTACACAAATAATTCTTCCGGTATTTCAATGCTCCAAGGCTGGAAATCTAACATGAACATCTATGAGACAGTGTGGCGTAATGGTTAGACCAGAGTGCTGGACTACGACCTGGGAGAGCAGGGTTCAAATCCCAGTCACCATCTCTTAGCCTAACCTCCCTCACAGGGTTGTTGAGAGGATGAAGTGGGGAGGAGGAGGAGAACCATGTACACCACCTTGAGATCCTCGGGAAATAAAGGTGGTATATAGATGTAATAAATAATGATAACAGAGAAGTGTTTCTGATTCAATGCATGCACTGTATTAAGTTCAAATGCAAAGAAAAGCAGTTTAATATACCACTGTATATTTAAAAAAAGTCATTAAAAACTTCCCAAAACAGGGCTGCCTTCAGATGTCTTCTAAATGTCATATACAGTGGTACCTCGGGTTAAGTACTTAATTCGTTCTGGAAGTCCGTACTTAACCTGAAACTCTTCTTAACCTGAAGCACCACTTTAGCTAATAGGGCCTCCTGCTGCTGCCGTGCCGCCAAAGCACAATTTCTGTTCTTATCCTGAAGCAAAGTTCTTAACCCGAGGTACTATTTCTGGGTTAGTGGAGTCTGTAACCTGAAGCATATGTAACCAGAGGTACCACTGTAGTTGTTAATTTCTTTGTCCAGTAAGAAAATATTCCATCCCTTCATAGAGTTCAGAGTCTCTTTGCATCCCTGCCCCATTGTCCTGTCTACTTCATCCCTACCACATCCTGCCCAGGTGTCCCAGGGAGCAGGCCATGCTTCACACATGCCTCTTCATGTGCAGGGCCAGGTGATCATCCCTGACCACTGGTCTTACTAGCTAGGGATGATGGGAGATGTAGTCCAGCCGCACCTGGGGACCCAAGTTTGAGAAAAGCTGGTATAAAGGCTGTGTGCTGGTGGAAATGCCCTCAGAGACTCCTTGTTTGGTAATGCATTAATGAAGTCTGACTAATTGGGAATTAGATGTGAGCCTCTGTTGCTGGACTCCCAAAAGGGAATTTTCTCCCAAAAGGAGACGGTCACCCACCTGCTTTGCAGTTTGCCTCAGCCAGTCCTTGATGTCGTCCTCTTTGAGGGAGCAGCCGACGAAGACCAGGAAGTACTCCTGAGGCCCGCTGTGGTCTCGGCTATCGTTTCTTGAATCAGGAGGAGGGAAAGGGGTTGGCCCCTCCTGAACAGGCACCAGGCTTAAGGAGTTGGACGAGGTGTTGTGGCAGACCTCGATTGTCCGATCTGAATCTGACGCAGAAGAGCAGGAGGGGGTGTTATTCCTTAAGCAGCCCAGTTTCATTTAGAGAGGAATGGTGGGCGAATTGTTCCCTTGCGAGTTCCACGTCTCAGCCGGCACAATTTCGATTTGCTGAACTCCCTGCCTCACTTTAATATTTATATATATAAATGTTTCCTAATGCTAGCGGGCAAACCTAGTAATATGACTTCATAAAAGGGAAAGGTAAAGGGACCCCTGACCGTTAGGTCCAGTCGTGACCGACTCTGGGGTTGCGGCGCTCATCTCGCTTTACTGGCCGAGGGAGCCGGTGTACAGCTTCCGGGTCATGTGGCCAGCATGACTAAGCCACTTCTGGCGAACCAGAGTAGCTCACGGAAACGCCATTTTACCTTCCCACCAGAGTGGTACCTATTTATCTACTTGCTCTTTGATGTGCTTCAAACTGCTAGGTTGGCAGGAGCCGGGACCGAGCAACAGTCCCAATATGACTTCATACTTTACACAAAATGCAAAACGCTACTTTTTCTAAGAAAAAAAAGCAAAAATGGGGGGCAGGGTATTAATTCTGTCAACACTCTAATGAAACAAACTTCTTCCATGGCACAATAAAATAAATAAGTAAAGAGAGAGAGAGACAGAGAGGAAGACAGATCTCCCCCACCTTCCAGGGGAGTTTCAGTCAAAGGAACTTCAAAACAATGCTGTAAAAGCCGATATAAAAGCTTGGACGCGAATGAAAGGACTCCTCCTGTAAAAGGAAAGGATCCCAATCCAAGGGAGGCTCCCAGTGATACGGAAACTGGAGGGGGGGTGACCTTCACCGGCTCCCCCTTGCAGTTCCCATCATCACGTCCTCTGCTGTTTGGAAGCATCCCACTTTGGAGCCTGTTTCTTTGGGCGAGGGGGAGGCATAAGAGGCTGCAGGAGGAAAAGGGAATTGGCAGAAACCCCCTCAGCCCCCCACCCCACCCATCCTGCAGCAGGAGCATCCATGAGCGGAGCTTGGGGGGAGGTTGGCAGCAAAGGATCCCACCCATAGCATTCCCTAAGGAGATAAATGGCAACCGATCACTCGCCTGTTACCTGAAAACTTAACTTTCCCCAAAATGTGGTACACGTTTCCGGAGAAAGGACTTGACTTTTTGGAGGACTTCAGGGCTGTTTGAAAACAGAAAGGCACAGAGAAAATGCTGCCAAGTTACTTAATCTTTCTTGACTAAAGAGGGGGTGCAATGGGAAATGAAAAGCATTTGCTTTTTTGGGCCTATTTCACCCTAGAATTAATTCCATGGAGGCTAGAAAATATGTATGGGAGAAATAAGACACCTGCATAGCTTTAGCGTAACCCTTTATTGAGCACCCAGCAGGCCGCAAACATTAAGGCAGTCCTTGACCATATACTGCTCTCTAGACGTTTTGGGGTGCAATTACTATCAGGCCAGGGGCAACACTGGCAAAGCCTGCATTAAACATACAGGAAACAAGAAGGTTTTGCTTTTTTAAAACAATCCCCTTTTAAAACAAGCGTCTTCTAGGATCAGATACATGAGCAACATAACACGAGCAAAGCGGAGATTTAATACATGTTATTGCTAGGCAGAGATTCTGGTATATAAAATGATACAAGGATGTGTGTTGCAATACATACAAACTACTGGGCTTGAGATTTCATGCCAAAATCTGGGACCTGGTGGTGTGGAAACCGAAGCTCCCTCAAATCTCATTTTTGGCTTAAAAGGGTTTCTAGCCCTCATGGTTAAGGGAGCAATTTTTTCAAATGCTCAGGAAATGTTTGTACCTAATCGCAGAAATGTGCGTGCTAAACTGAATTTGGGCAAAAGAAAAACCAAACACCAAGGCATCCCTTTCCTTTGACATACATAATTGAGCACACGACGCAGTAGGAAGGTTTGCGGTTGCAGATTTTCAGGCTTCTGCTTGTGGAAACGATGAACAGGTGCAAGGATGTGAAGTTTTTTCTGGCTATGCTGGGCATAGGTGGGGTGACATAGGGCAAGGACAGCCCAGGACACTTGGCAGCAGGTGGTGAAGAAGCAAAGAGGACCCTTTCCCCAAATCAAGGTACACAAGACCCTCAGCTGGGTCAATATATTTTTGCACTCAAGACAATACCCAGGTCATTAAAAATAAGGCAAATAAAAAATAGCCATTAAATTTCATGACACCTAAAATCAACTGTAAAATTGGGGGGGAGAGATTCTGGCCACAAATGTTATTTGCTAGCAATTTCAGGGAGAAAACGCCGTACTAAAATTAATCTCTGCATACAATTGCTTCTTACCTTTACACTTGGCCACAAATCGTGTTTTCTCCAAAGGACGGTTAAACCACACACAGATCTGAACCATCGGGGGAAAGGTGGAACCTGCACAGAATTTGCCCTCGTACCTGAAGAGGAGGAAGAGAGGAAGAGAAGAAATGAATCATGTCAGTGCGTCAATTTTCCAAATTTCGTCCGGTCCCAAAGCTCTTGCAACCCGCTGTTGGATGAGGTTCAGGTCATGAAGCAGACCTCTTTTGCTGGTTCTTAACAGGCACCCACAGACTCCCTTCACTATGCAGCAGTAGCGATGGCAAAGGTTGCAAAGACAGAACACAGCAAGAGAGCAGGTAAAGGGGAGGGAGGAGCCTGGGGTGTTGCAGGAAGGATTATAGGGAAGGGAAAACACACACACACATCCCTCTCCAGAACTTAGATGAGGAGCAGGATTCAAAATAGTAAAATCATTCAGGATTTTGGCTTCCTTGAAGTTTGAGAGTCACAAACATTTTTAGTGGCACTGAAAAAAATATTGTGTTCAAGACAAAAGAAGGTGGCCAACAGGACTGTGGTTAGGGCTCAGTCCTGAGGTGGCTAAGTCAGCAGAGCATGAGACTCTGGATCTCAGGGTCGTGGGTTCGAGCCCCATGTTGGGCAAAATATCCCTGTATTGCAGGGGGTTGGAGAACCTCGTGATCCCTTCCAACGCTACGAATCTATGATTCAAAGCGCCACAACTAGTCCGGGATGACACAGAAATGCATGCTTCTTAGATTGCTTGCTTTCTCCAGCAAAAGCATGAAAAGTAAGTACAGATTTACATACGCCTCGTCTCACGGATGGTCCAAGTTGCGTCCGTGACAAACCCAGAAGTAAACACTGGATTTGCCGCGATTCATACATGTGCAGAAGTGGCTTCTGCAGTCTGTGCATGCGCAGAAGTAGCTTCTGCCATCTGCGCATGTGCAGAAGAGGCTGCCACCGTCTGCGCACATGCAGAAGCGAGCTACCACCAAATGCGCACGTGCACAAGATGCCTCTTCTAGCATCTCGTTTCGACCAGCTGACGGACCTCCGGAACGGATTATCTCCGTAAGTAGAGGTTCCACTGTATGTGCTGGAGGGAGGGTCAAAGTTTCATGACCTGCGCATGGAAAGTCCTGGATTAGATCTTTGGCATTTTCAGTTAAAGCAAGGGTGGGGAACCACCAGCCCTAATGTTCATGTATGTTCATGAAGTGAGGTTAAAAACCTAAAACTGGAATGTCAAAGGGTTCCAATGTGAAGAGCATAAATAGGTGCATCATTCCTCTCCTTGCAACATACAAGTGATGCCTGTATGTGGACTCCCTCGGGAGGTTGTGGACTCATTGGAGGATTCTAGGCAGAGGTTGGATGGCCATGTGCCATGGACGCTTGAGCTGAGATTCCTGCAAAGGACTTGATAACCCTCAGGGTCCCTTCTGACTCTGATTCTAGGTGAATTTGAGTGTTAGAGGTATTTAAACACAAGGCGCTGCATTCAAACAGGAGATCAAGAGGGGGAAATAAGCGATATGATGTCCAAGATATTTGGCTTCTTGCAATGCATCTGTAAGGAACACCCCACAAAAAACCCTCTTATTTCCCTCTTAGCTCATGAATGCCTCCTAATTGCAAACTGGTTTCCAAGTGTTCAACTCCCTTTTGTTGCCCAAACAGCAAAAACCACACGGGCAACACTGAAAAGAGATGGACTAGGAGACCTTTCAGAGATTCCGTCCCTGTCTGGTGAAATTTCTACAGTGCTCTCCAGTTCGGACAGCCATCTTTTAATCAGAAAATGGAGAAGGAGAACAACAAGACAAGTGAATGGATTTCTCTAAGAAACTAATTGCAGCATTTCATTACTGAAATGATTTATCTGGGCAGATTAAACGGAGGGGGAAATAAATCTAGTAGTGCTTTATAATGCTCATGTTTATTAAAGGATATTGCACTTGAAACGTTTTTACCAAAAGGAGATACTTGCCAGCCAGGGTATGTTAAGTAGCGAGTCGTCAGCATCTGTGGAGCCGAGAAACTGTTTTCGGATAGGATCAGTTCGATGTCTTCATTCCTAGTAGGAGAAAGAGCGAGGTTTTGTTTACAGAAAAACAATCACCTTTAAAGTGCACTTGCCCAGAAGCAAAGGCAACCGGCAGGATTTAAACCTGCATCCTACCCACCAGGTGAGTCAGATCAACCTGGGGGGGTCTTTCCTGCCTTGCCATTTTAATGTAACAGCAGGTGCTTTTTGGCTTCTAGTCTTCCTGATCCTGGAGACAACAAAAAATCGTCTTCAAACCCCTAAGAACCATTTTCTTCTTCAAGATCCAAAGCATTTCAAACCCGTTTTCCCACAACCCTCCGAAAGGGAGCTTGAGTGTAGCTTGCGGCCATGTTAATGTAATGTAAACAAGGATTTAAAACTCTCAGTGAGTCATAGTCTGGGAACATCTGGTTGGAGAGCAGCAGCGGAGGAGGATATGGAAAATGCCAGCTTGCCGCCAGCAGCGGAGGCGTCTCGGCTGCAAAATGGCAGCCCCGGCAACTGAGAGTTCTCACATCTGCTTCATTCCTGTGCAAAGCACCCAAAAAGGACTGGCGTTTCTCTCCTCTTCCGGGATGAGAGGCCCACGTGCCGCAGAGGGCAGGTGGAAACATTCAGGCTTACCTGGTCACGACCCCGTTTTCTGCCAGGATGAACGAAACGGTGGGGTTCGCGGCTCGGATGAGGTTCTGGAGCTGAACAAGGAGTGGGTGTCTCTGCTCGGCTGTATGGCTTGTGAAGACCACGTTGCTCACCAAACCTGGGGGGGAAAGAGAGCAAAAGGGGTCAGCTGTCTTAGGGAATGTCTTCATCAGCCACTGTGTGCTCTTGGGAGACCAAAGCATAAAGGTGGTAAAGCCAAGGTGTTCAGTAAAAGGACAAGACTCTGTTGTGGGTATTTAAAGGTCAGCTCAATGCTCCTCCCTGAAACTGCTGTCACACAGCATGATTGACTACATGGAATTGGCAGAAATGACTGGCAAAATCCGAGACCAGGGAGAAGAGTCGGTGAAAGAGGACTGAAAGAAATTTAAAGACTATTTACAGAAATATTGTAAAATTAATGAATCTTAGAAGGATGCTGGATAGAAACTAAGTGGTTTCCAGCTGTAATGCTTTAAGAGATATGAAAAAAAGGTTCACAAATGGGTAAAAGCGTAATGGTAAGGATTTGCTGAACTAACAAACTGAACTGGAATACAAAAAAGGGAGGTACGAGGAGGTCCGGGGAAATAAGTGTAAGGAGGATATGCTAGGGAAAATTAATGTGTTTTTAACTGTTTTTATTTTGTATGTTCCTTTTTATTTTTCATGGGAAACAAGGATATGAATGTAAGTTATGGAAAGATGGATCTATTTTTCTTTTTCTTTTTCTTTTTAAGGGTTTTTTTTAATTCTTTTTTCTGTATTTTGTATTTTCTTGTATTTTTACTTTTTGTTTTTGTGTAATTCTTGTACTCTTTGAAATTTTAATAAATATTATTTTTTTTAAAAAAAGAAACTGCTGTCACACAGCAATCCAGCTCTCCTGCTTGCTTGTCAACAGAGTCTGCTTGCTAGGCTGCCACCCTCTTGTCCATCAGGACCCACTTTTTAAAGCTTTTCTGGAGCTACCAGACACTTCTGCGAGCGGCTCCCTACGTTGCCATTTGCTACTAAGTTTCAGTGCCTGGTCTCCTGCTGCATCCTAATTCTCGACGTCCGCTAGCCAGATATATGGCTGGCCAACACCACCCCGTACGGCAGCAGTCTCCACAGGACACCTTAAAGGCTTACGGCTTCATTCCTGAAAGGAAATGTGCATCTTACTTTTGCATACAGAGATTTTACCTTGTGAGCACTGGTCCAGGAACTTGGGGAAAAGAAGCCTGTAAAATACAAATGCATTAGCGTTAAGAGCGTTAGGGATACAGGCAGATGTCGTCTGCTAGTCTTCAAAGCCCCCTGAAGCTACCACACCCTCAGGAAGATCACTGGTTCCTCAAGCATAAGGTTATCTACCTCAACTGATCGCAGCGCTCAGGCAAGATCACTTCCCAGGGAAGACACTTTCAAGCCAAGACATTTCTCTGGTTAAGACATGCTGCGACCTTTCTGATCTCATCTAGGAAAGCTCGCAAGGTGCGGCTTCCCTGGCTACAGAAATCTGTGGCTTCTAAGGCAGCTGGCATGACAACGTGCAGGTACACGGGGGAGAAATGTCTGTGCCATGCATGCAGGGGCTTGTAAAGGGGTACCTGTGTTCCATGTAGCAACTCAGCGGCTCAACGCAAGTACTGATGGCTCCAATGACAAAAGCAGCCTTCACGTCAGTGTCTGGGTGAGTCTGGAGGGCCTGCACAATGTCAATCACGTCTGTGTATCTGCAGATGGAATGAAAGCAAAGGGTTGTGATGTGATGGGGAAGCACAAGGACTATGGCTGCTGCCATCCTAGGTGGAAAAAGACCGTGGGTATACGTGAATGGCGCAATGAGCTTCGATTCTGAGAAAGCACTTCTTATCCAAGTCCTGGCGCAGGGAGGTAAAATGGCTCTTCTCTTGTGATTTGCACAAGGGCATCTCTCTGAACATCAGGTGCGCAGCAGGGAACACACAGCAGGGACATTTGCCACCGCCTTAGGTAGCTGGCAGAGAGCAGGATTGTGGCTTAGAGAGACCCTTGACTCCAACCAGCAGGGGTCTTAAGAGCATCATTCTCGAGATGCAGAAAAAGAGAGGAGATGCAGGCAAAAAGAGACAGCAATGAAAAAGGACAAGAGGTCGTGCACCAATTGTGTCCCCCCCCCCAACCCTGGTTTCCATTGTGTTCATCTCTTTCTCAAAATGCCAAAGGTGAATCTGCTGCAAACAGCTTTTTCAAAGGCTTCTTGCCATCCCTTGTTCTGCGTTGGCGGGCAAACTATACTTGACCTCACTTCCGACATTTCTTAATAGAAATGCCTTGGTGCGTTATTGTAAAGGGCTTCTGTGTTGGGTCCATAACTCCCCTCAACCCAGCAGCACTTCCCTTGGAGAGCGATTTCATGATGCTTTGAATCAAGACCAACAATGCTTGCCAACGCTGCTCCTGCCACCCAGTCCGATAAAATGTGCTGCGTGGGAGCTTTTAGGCAGGAAGGAAGACAACGAAGGCCTTTCTACTTGCTATCTTGGGGCTATTTAAAAGTTACAAAAACAGTCTCTCTCGCTCCAAACTTATGCTTGGATAAAGTGTGCGCGTTCACCTGCATTCATGTGTGTTATTTCGGATTTTTCTGGAACATGTAGCTATGTACCAAAGCAAAAGGCTTCTGAACACTCTAAAAGCATCCCTTTATATAAAAAAAGACCATCAAGTGCCTCTCTTTTTGTGTGTGTGTGTGGGTGGGTGAAGGTGTCCTTTGCCTACAATATGTTGGCTATACTTATGAATAGTTTGCTCGGATATTGCTACCATTCTGCAGGGGTAGGCAGGCTTCAGGCTTGTGGGAATTACTTCACTTTTAAATAATAATAATAATAAAACTAGAATCCTAAGATCCACCAGCTGGAGCCTGGTCCGAAAGAGTATCTCAGCTGGGCGGACATACACTAAGAATTAAGTAAGAGGAATGCCTCAGAGTCAAGGTATCTGTGATCAGGATCTTTCACAGAAAAAATCCACTCCTGGTTCCCCGCTCCAAGCATTCATTTTTCAGCAATCCTGGTTTTGTGTGGGGTGGGAGAGGAGCATTTCACTTGCTGCCACTGTAAGACAACTGGGAGCCAGAAACTGTTATCAACCTAGTGCACATCATCCAGAGATCTACCAGAAGATCCCATTCTACCTAAACCCACCTCCCACTTTACAGATCTGAGGTCAAACACATCTCAAAGTGGCAACATGAAGATGGCAGATTGCTAAAAGCTCACGCAGATCTAAAAGCAGTCTCTTACCCTTGCAGAACCACCAGCAGCCTCACTTTCTTCCTACTGTAAGCCGAGAGACGAGCACTTCGGCTGTGCTGGGGTTCAAGGACGCTTGCCAGGAACCGTTGGAAATGAGCTGCGCTGAAACATTCAGGGCTGTCCATGGTCTGGCGATAAACAAGCCACCTAAAAGAGCATAACGAAGTCAGAACAATGCTGCCTGCTTCATTGTCAACACCGTCCGCAGCACCACATATCATTAATACAGTGGTACCTCAGGTTACAAACATTTCGGCTTACAAACTCCGCTAACCCGGAAGTAGTACCTGAGGTTGAGAACTTTGCCCCAGGATGAGAACGGAAATCGCGCGGCAGCAGGAGTCCCCATTAGCTAAAGCGCGCCTCAGGTTAAGAAAGGTTTTGGGTTAAGAACAAACCTCCAGATCGAATTAAGTTCGTAACCCGAGGTACCACTGTATGTTATCATCAGCACATTGTAACTTATTTTGCCCTAGTTTTTTTCACCGGCTCTTTCTTCCTGCAATTTAACAGTGTTGTACACCGCCTTGAGACTTAACATAAGGTAAAGGTAAAGGGACCCCTGACCATTAGGTCCAGTCATGACTGATTCTGGGGTTGTGGTGCTCATCTCGCTCTATTGGCTGAGGGAGCCGGTGTACAGCTTCCAGGTCATGTGGCCAGCATGACTAAGCCGCTTCTGGCGAACCAGAGCAGCGCACGGAAACGCCGTTTACCTTCCCGCCGGAGTGGTACCTATTTATCTACTTGCACTTTGATGTGCTTTCGAACTGCTAGGTTGGCAGGAGCTGGGACTAAACAACGAGAGCTCACCCCATCGCGGGGATTCGAAACGCCAACCTTCTGATCGGCAAACCCTGGGCTCTGTGGTTTAACCCACAGAGCCACCCATGTTCCGAGACTTAACATAGGAGGTGGTAAAACAAATGCCTTTAGAGAATACGTGGTGATAAATAATAATACTTCCCACACACCTCTGCTTTGTCTAAATCAGGACTGGGGGGAAGGAAAAACCACCCTGTGAGTTGCCCTCAGTAAAAGGCCGCAGCTTTGTGGCCACAGGATCCATCCCACGAATCTCCTGGGAGTGCAGGGAAAGACCCCTGCCTGTAACCATGGGGCTGATGGGGGCTAGTTGTAACATCTGGGCAGTGTCAGGTTGGCAAAGACTGGGATAGACCATTCGAGCACCTCAGCAGAACCAGGCTCCAAGGCAGAGAGGTCATACTTGGAGAAGGTCCTGACCACTAATTGCTCCCCTACGAACAGCTTTAGCAGGACATAGTTTCCCATCAGCCACCACTATTTTTTAAAAAGAGGAGGAGGAGGAAAACAGCAACAAAGTAAATCGCAACTAACCTTCCATATTCTTTGTTAAAAGTGACCAGGAAAGAACAGAGATCACTCGAGCGACATCCCGGGAGGCCGGTTAAGATGGTGATCACCACCTCAAAGCAGGAGAAGAACTAGTTAAATCATTGCCATCATTACTGACTGCGCTGCTAGTTTTCAAAGGGGCTAAAATGGGTCTGTGGGCAGGACGAAGTAATCATGTGTGTATGTTATGTTTGAAAGAGGCTATTTTAAGGGCAGGAAAGCCAAATTTGAAAAGAAGTTTTTTTTAAAAATGGCAGACAAGTACGTAAAACCCCTTGCAATCAGGTTGCCAAGATGGGTTACACTGGAGGAAAATGCACGAAAATGAAGTAAAAACACTGTAATGCAAACAGAGGACCTTTAAGAAATGTCGAGGGTCTCAGATTAGCTCTTACCTTATCATTCTCCGCCTCGTTGTCAGGAAGCGCTTTGGACTGCTGCAGCAACGTGGGCAAATGGGCTCTCATCACTGGCTCACGGCTTACGCTGCTGACCGTAAAGTGCTGTAGAAATCTTTGGAGGAAGAAGACAGCGCAGAGTTGTTCGCAGCCATACTTACTTTTTAGGAGGAAGCCCTGGAAGCCTGCATGGCTGCCATTGAGCCCACAAAGATGCTGAGAATCCAGCAAAGGCCCAATTTATATGGAATCATCTCGGTCCAATAAACCTTAGTTTTTTGGACCAAGTGTAAGCCGTGCGCTCCATACCAGCCTCCCTTTCTCCACACACCCCATTATCTCTGTTTCTCGAAGCACATTCCCCCATTAATTCCAAAACCAGCCAATTTGTGGCTTAAGAACTTGCTCCATAACAAGACCCGATTCCCACCCAGAGTTGGAGAGACATGTGCCCAGCTAACAAACAACTGGGGTTCCATGGGGTAACTTGTCCTTTGGTCAGCACAAAACCACTTCCGAACTCGAGAGGAGGTGGAGTTGCGGGCTTCACGCCCTCTCCACGTGCGCGGGGGGCTGGCTCTCAGCCTCCACGCGATTGAGGGGATCCCTGGCCGCGTCATCCCCTGACCAGCCATTCAGCTGGCCTAGGGGGGCATGGCTTGCGTGATATCACACTGGTGCAGCCGGGGAACTCCCTCTTTTGCCGCCTATCGAAGGGTAGAGGATTCCGGGGGGCGTGGCCCTGTCTGAAGCCTATGGAGGTGAGGGCCTAAGGCACGCCCCCGAGCGGTGACCCCGGGGGAGTTCCTAGTTGATGTGCATCAGCAGGACTCCCCCTACTGGTGGTTAACCCTTCCCGGTCTTCAAGCAATCGGGCTGAAGCCAGATATAGTCGATTAGGACCAATGCCCAAGCCAATACCGCTCATTCCTGTAACCAATAAAGTTGTGGCCATTTTTTGCCCATTAACCTAGTATTTGTGCCATGTGTCTTTATTTCCACCCGGGGGAGGCGGGAACTTGCCACGCAAAGGCTCTTTTTGAGAAATCTCACCTGTCCAGATCTGGGAGGCTGACCGATATTCTCAGCTGGCTCCATCTTTCTCCGGGGGGACAGGACAGGACGGTGAAAAGCTTCTGCATGCTGGTATGCCTGGAACAAGGACACACATTTAGAACTAAGGATCTGGCCGTGGGAAAATGCTGTCTCCATTTCCTTCTAGTCAACGTGCATTGCTGCAAAGCTAAACCACCACGCCTCAAACTCACCTTTCAACATGAGGCCAAGAGAATAGTCTGGCAGGGGAGTGAAATACGCCACTCATTCAATGCAGCTTTGTACAAGAGACTTTTGCTCCTGCATTGTGCCCAGGTAATATAATCGCTCTCTCTTCAGCCTCTCTCCCTCCTATAGCGTTCTCCTTTTCACTTCTTCCCTCCCTCTTGCCAAAAGACAGCTGTGGCTCTGCTGGAGCGACCACTCAGGCCAAGCTGCGACCAAGAACACCTCCAGGTACCCTTTGCATTCTACATGCAAGCGGGTTTGTGCTCGTGATGGCACTGGGTGGAAGGATGCAACTCCCCCTCAACACTGTTTTTCCATGCAGAACTTCAGGAGTGGAAATCCTGCTGTGTTCCCAATCAGTGCAAGCCTAGGAGCTTCCGACTGGAAGCCTGTAATGTTCTCCACTGTATCTCCTATGTGGACGGCACAGTATAAATCTGCTGCGAATGCACTATGACTGCATCAGTGTGCATCAGGACAGTTAGCCTTCAAACATTTTGGAGCCAGGACACACATTTTAATGGCAAACTTCAGATTTCTTCATGCACACACTTGTTCCCCCGCCACTTCTTTTTAGGGTGACTGAATGGCAAAGAGCAGCAGAGCGCTGAAATTTTAAGAGCTTTTAACAGATGAGGGAATTGGGGTAGGGGCAGCTTAGAGAAGATGAACCTATAAATGGGCTCCTATTAAACTACTGAGTGACTCTCCTCCATTGCACTGTTACCTGTCTTTCTCTCTCTCTGCATCTGTGCTCCTGTTTAACAAGAAACCCAGGCAAAAGGGAAAATGGCTTTGGCACTCTTGCGACTCACCTTAGGCTGCAGGGAGACTTTCTCGCGGGTCCTGACGCACCAGCTGAAGGACCAGTGGCCTCAAAGGAGGCCAGAGGGACCTCCACTAATATAAGCTGGCAATGCTAACTCCACAAGAGAATAAATGCAACGGATCAGGGGACAGGAGAGGAAAAAGCAACTGCACACACCAAGCAAACCAGGAAACGGCTCGATATTTAGTTTGCGTCAGCGTGAAACACACATTGAGGGACTCCACAGCACACAGAACCTTCTATAGATACACTATGAGTGAATTTGCTCTCTAGTGGGGATCCTTATCTTGCCAAAACAGCACCACTTGCACACAAGGGGGAGGAATGAGCAGAGACAGGAGGAAACCCTTGTCAGCTTCGCCTTTGAGCCAGTGCCAATGACTGGACTCAACCTCTTCAGCCCCGACTGGGCCAGGCGAGCTGGAAAAGCACTCCCAGAGACCTTCCACTGCAGGGAGCAGGTCTAAGTGCTGTGGACTCACAACTTAGAGCTGTGAGCACCAAACTCAGTTCCAAAAGTCACAGAGCACAGCAGAGCATGAACCACACGAACGACAGCTCTGAAGTATAACTTCTTTTATTCTCTACAGCTACTGCATAAACTAACTAAATACTAATCAGAGACACTGGACTGCATGAGTGTTACAGCTGCTTGAGCAGTCACCTTATCTATATACAGATAACACTCAGACTCCCACAGGCTGGAGCGGAAGAAGCGATGAGCAAAATCCGCCCCCTCCTTTCTGAAACATTGTCAGCAGATTCTTGCAATGGGAGGGGTGAAACATCCTCAACCCTAAGGTTTGCAGACGAATGAAAAATCCTCTGGGGCAGGACAAGTGGTGGCTGAGCTCAACAGAGGCTAAATGTGCTCACTGAATGCTGGCTGACTGGTGAAAAATGGAAAAGCTGAGCGGGGAGATGGGATGGAATGGAACTTCCCAGAAAAGGGCACGGCTGGCAGGCAAGCCTCCTGGGACAGGAGCACTCCACCCTGCCCTGTTTTCTTGCGGCTCCCCCCTGTTCCATGCCATTCTATAGAGGGGGGAAGAACCATCTGCTCACAATTTCTCCTGTTCTACAGGCAGGCAGCCATCCTGGGTCATCTTCAAGGTTACTCCCGAATTCCCCCGCTGTTGCCAGACAGAGCAAACCTACAAGGAAGAATACAAAACATTCAAATTACACAGTTTAATGCTGCATTTAATAGTTGCAGTGGAGTTATGAGATGGTATTTGTTTTGGAAGGTGAACCACCACTGATGGCTAACCCAAGAGGATTCCTGGGGTACTACTAGTTATTAACATCTGTAATTAGGAATCCTCTCTGCGGAAGGCGTTTAAAAACCGAACCGGGCTTCCCAGAACAACTGGAGCCTGCTGTCAGCCATGGTAATAAATGCTAACACTAAGAGATGGAAACTGAACAGAGCTGCGGCGCTTTAAATGGTTTATTTAATAAGAGGAAAATGAGCTATTTTTCATGTCAGCATTAATGAGATTATGCTTTGCTTTTCCTCTACCAGTAATCAACAGCAGTTAAATCATTACTCTGGAGAAGAAGGTTAATGTGTCAGCATGGCTCATGCTCATCAAGATATGCTTTTTGGGGGGGAGTTACCGTCCCCCAACAAACAAATGGCACGATCTGTACTATATTAACCAACTTCCCTTTGGATTTCGGGCTTTGGTGGATTAGTAACTCCCAAGATACTTTAAAATCTGATTTTACTTCAATTGACTCATTACCCGTTTTTATTCGGTATTTGCCATGCATTTTGTTTAACAAAACTCTATTAATACAAAACATTGCCTCTTCTCCATAGAGCCAAAGGCAGATTATCTCTCTCACACACACCACACACACACACACACAAAACCACACAAACACTACTCTCTTGCCACACAGTTTACCGCTCAACAATTTTATGATTTGTTCCTCTGCTGAAAAGCCATCGCTCTGAAGACAACGTGAACACGCTGTCAGGGATGTCTAACTTGCAATGACCCTTTCACGTGTGCAAATTATTACTTGCACGTTCATCCATCAGTGAACACAGTATCTTGTGTGACTTCAAAAGACAGTCAACAACAGAGAAGGCAAACAGCAGTGGCAAAGAAGGTTCATCGCTCGCTTGTGTCAGAGTAAACCAGAGGCATTTCGACCAAGCCAAGACCCAGGGTTCAGCCCCGCCCAGACCTCAAACTTGAGGTCTGCACAGAGGAGAAGATGCATTTTCACTGTGACCCTGAAGAGGAATTGCAGTGGTAGCCTTTCAGATGGTGTCAGACACAACAACTTCCATCATCTTTGGGTGCTCACTGATGGAAGATGGAATCCAGCAACATCTTGAGAGAGAGAGCACCACGTTGGTTACCCTCAAGCTAGTGGATCTGGATATGCCAACCCCAAAATTGGAAGTCCCCATGCCAACTGCCCATATTCCTGGCTGCCTCTCGGACCACTCCCATCACCCCCAGGGCCACAGGAGCAGAGCAGGTGGAAAGTCAGGAAAGAAGTTCACAGCCGCAGCTGCCAAAATCCATGGCTAGCTCTCTGTGAGGTTACTTGGGAGAAAGGGGATGTATATGGAAACACCTGCTCGGATCAGGGCCCGGCTGAGAGGCAGGAAGGAGCAGAGCCCCCGATGGCTTCATCCCTCTTCCCGAGCCTTCCTGACCCGGGGAAACCAACCGCAAGGGGGAGTCGGCCGGCAGAACATCGTAATGACACTCTCTCTATGGGGCACCCCTTGCCCACGATATTGAAAAGGGCATTTTTTTACTTCTAGACCAATTTCTTGTTCACGTCACCTGTGAGTAGAAAGCTTTATAAAGCTTTGACTTTGGGAAAAGCGCGATCATCAGAGAGTTGCCTGGAGTGTGGAGCTGGACCGGCAGGTGAGCAAGCAAGGAGCTCTTGTAGTCGATAAGGAGAGCGGCAACAACACTTGTGGAGTCCTAGGGAAAAGGACAGGGAGAGAACCACTTCTGAAAGGAGGCGGGTGGGAAACTGGCTATCCAAGAGCCCCTGCCCACCCCGAAGGATGTCCCCCATATAGAAAAACCCGACATCATGGACATCCTTTTGCATATACTTCCAAGGTTTGAAAACAGCTGGTTAGAAAGAGACTTTGTACAAGAATGCAACACTACTATCTACCTCTGTTTAAAAGGGATGTTGCAGTACAGCATTTGAGTCCATGAAAGACTGAATAGCCTGATCCTGGATTAGCTCCCTGATGGGGGAGATGCATGGGGAGGTAAGCCTCCCATTTAGTTGCCACCAGCCCATTTTACCTTTACCTACGTCTGAACCTGGTCAAGAAGAAAAACCAACATACACTGAACCAAAGTGAAACCGACCAGGAGCTTATTATTGCTTTTGCAAGCAGGTTCTCTGAAACTGTTTTTAGCATCCTGGAGGTTCCCTCTGAAAGTTGGTTTCTGGAACACAGCGGCAATGTGCAAACACTTCAAATATGGCACTGCTGATTCTGAAACACCCCCCTTTTCCCAGATGGTTATCAAGAGAAATGGTCAGCGTAAAGTGGAGGGGAGGCAGCTTATAGAATATGCCGCTAGGGCGCTGATTCATTTAGAGATGAAAATGCTTATCTCTTCCTGTATATCTGCATTATTGCTAGGCTACAGATGTTCCCAACTATCGCCACCTCTCATCTCATTTGTGTTATTTTTAGCTCTCCAGCCTCATGCCTTGCCAGGTCAGTGAAACAATGCAAATTCCCTTTCGGAGTTTTTGCTCCGCACTAGAATACCTGGCAGCCGTTCAGAAGCGATAGCCGAGGCCCCATAAATAGCCAGAGGTTTATAGGAGTTGGGTGTCTTGGAGCCAAACAATAGAAGGAAGGTCAGGGCCCACACAGCTTGCAACGCCACAAAGGGGCAGGCAGGCAGGCAGGGGGAGAAAGGATTCAAAGGGGCATGTGCGTTCATAGCCTTTGAATCTGGAGCTTTTCAAGTTTAACCCCTCCATTATGCATTGTTCTTCACGTATAATAAGCCACGCTTCCACCAAATGCTTTTGCAGATTGTGGAGTGGTGATGTAATCGAAGACTCGAGGCAGAAGGAAACACACACATACTTTGAGCACGTCTAAAAGTTCCCTACTTAAGCTGTTGGGTGCAGGGCAAAAGAGCACACGATCCCTGCTGATTCCACTGCCATGCCACTCCTCCTTCTGCATGAGGCTGCATTTTAAATTGCATTTTAACCTGTAATTTAAATTGGGTTTTTTCCCTATTATGTTTTTACTGTAATTTTACTGGTGTTAGCTGCCCTGAGCCCAGCTCTGGCCGGGGAGGGCAGGGTATATATAAACATTACTATTATTATTATTACTATTATTATTATTATTACAGCAGGCAGCCCCCCCGGCGCCACCTGATGTTGTGGGATGGCAACACTCACCCGCTCCCCATTTTATTGCAATTCATCCCCACATCTCCCCAGTTTTCAAGGCTGTTTTTCTTCTTACACCTGCCACCGAGACAGAGGAGAGTCTGGCCAACTTCTGGTCCTTATTATTCCCAAGCTTGGGGGGGCGGGTATTTCTGCCCTGTAGAATTCTGGACTCCTGCATTGCACGAGTCTGGAGAAAGTTTTTCCGCCTGCATGGACCGGTTGCGGCAAGAACAGAGCTTCGACTGGACCAGCACTCACCCCATCGTAGAACCTGATGGATGTCATGTGAGCCTTGGAAATGGTGATGCTTCCGTAGTGCGGGTGGCAGAACAGAAGGCCCTCTGAGAAGAAATAGAGCTTACCTGCAAAGGGAAGCAGGGGTGGGGAGGAGAAGAATACATGAGACGCTTCATGCATCGGCTTAAAATCCCTCTGTATAAGGAGCCAGGCAGATCTTTTTGCCAAGGCCACATGACACCGGTCTTGAAAGACCTACACTGGCTCCCAGTACGTTTCCGAGCACAATTCAAAATGTCGGTGCTGACCTTTAAAGCCCTAAATGGCCTTGGTCCAGCATATCTGAAGGAGCGTCTCCATCCCCATCGTTCAGCTGGGACACTGAGGCCCAGCACCGAGGGCCTTCTGGCGGTTCCCTCCCTGCGAGAAGCCAAGTTACAGGGAACCAGGCAGAGGGCCTTCTCGGTGGTGGCACCCTGTGGAACGCCCTGCTACCAGATGTCAAAGCGAACAACAACTACCAGACTTTTAGAAGACATCTGAAAGCAGCCCTGTTTAGGGAAGCTTTTAATGTTTAATAGACTATTGTATTTTAATATTTTTTTGGAAGCCGCCCAGAGTGGCTGGGGAAACCCAACCAAATGGGCGGGATATAAATAAATAAATAAATTATTATTATTATTATTATTATGAACTCGAGGATCATGCACGGTACTGCCCACTTTTAGGCTGAACTGAACATGAGGAAAAGAGGCAACGGTCCCAACGAGAGCAGGCCCGGATGCTGCCTCTGGACACATCCACACTACACTTGCTTTAAATAAGCAAACTACTTTTGTGTTTCAGATGCATTGCTCTATATATCTGTACACTGTCTTTTAAGGGCAGTGAAGTGTAGCAAAATTCCTTTAGGAAAACTCATTCCTATAAAGTGACGCCACAGAAGCTGAATCCGAGACAGAGATTGGGAAATGCAACTATGCAAAATGTGCCCTTTTTCTTCTGCATTTCTCAGTCACTCTCCCATTAGAGAGCAGAGTCGTAGTCACAAATTAAATTTTTCACCCTCTTCCCACTTTTCTTTTTTAAAAAATGTGAACGACGCATAAAAATTCACTCCGATGATTAAATCCACCAGATCCTGGAACTTACCAGAGTCAGTATTTACTTTTAAGGAAGTAATATTTTAGGAGCAAATGCTACCCTTTGGAGGCAAAAGCACATTTGCAGTTTCACTTTGTCGCTTAAACCAAATATGGCAAGCTAAAACCTTGAAGCCCACGCAGCGCTGGGTTATCCGAAAAGCCTTTTGGATAAAGAGGTCTAAAGGAGATTTCCTAAAGTGAACATCTTAGTGCAAATGCCTTGTCAGAGAGGCTCAGGTGGTACACCAGGTGTGTATTTTTGTGTGTGTGTGTGTGTGTGTGTGTGTGTGTAAATCCAAGTTAGAGCGCCAGAATGGTGTAAATAGATAGGCATCTGGGACTGACTCAAGCTGAAATGGGACTCAGGGAGGTCTTTACGGTTAAGGGACAGAGCGGCTCTGCTGATCCATGGGGCTGATTTGCACCCCCAAGGAAATGCTGCCACGAGCGGCAACGCTGGATGTGGAGCTTGAACCTCAGAGCAGTTTCATACTGAAACAGGTAGATGACAAGATACAACTAGCAGCACAACAAGGAGGTTTATTTGAGAGGATTCCATTTCATAATAAAACAATTGTTCTAACAGGAAAGAATAAAGACAAAGCACTAGCTGAGGATGGGGACTAGGACCTAAGAATTATTTCAGATGTGTTAATAACTGATGGCATTTTATTACCTCCTGCCACGTCAAAAGCTGCTCCTGAAGCTCTCATTTTTTAAAAAAGGCTTGCTGTTCAACAAGGAAGGGGTTGCTCCTGAAACCAGCACACATGCCCAGGCATAGGGCTAGACGTGAGGTCCTTTGAATCTTGACCGTTACATTTCACTTGAGATTCAAATTCACGGGCGTTGACAAAATGGCAGACTTTCCGAAACAGGGGGTGAATAAAAAAGCAGGGAAGTTGAGATACCCAAGGCGAGTGTGTGTGTGTGTGTGTGTGTGTGTGTGCACGCGCATGGGCCTCTCCTTTTGCTGCCTGTTCATTTGAACGTCCCATCAGGGCAGGTCACTTACCTTCCTCCGGTCTACACAGCGAATTGCTGGAAGCAATATAGGCTCCGTCGCCTCCCATCAGAAAGGTTCCCAGGAAAGATTCTTCTTCCTATAAAGATGGGGAGTTTTTTCAGGATCAAACAATGGCAACAGAGTCTCTGAACTGGACCAATTATATTTGAAAGAGACTCTCTCCCTATCGGCTGAACGTTGATCCACAACACCCCTTAGGAACACTGGAAGGTGCCTGGTACCAACTCGGACAATTTGTCCGTCCAGTTCATCATTGTCTGACTGCAGGAGGTTCTCCAGAGTCTCAGGCACAAAGGAGTTGTTTTCTCAGTTGCTATGTGATCTTTCAAATCGCTACGGAAAGTACATGCTCTATGAGCCATCCCTGAACCAATGGCAAAACCTCTTGTCTTTTCTGACTGTACCCGACATGAGGAATGGGCGACCAGTGGCCCTTGGTTTTCTCTTGGTCTCCCATCACTCTCAGCCACGTTTGATGGGCAGGATCTGCAGGGCCATAGATTCCCTATCCCTGCCCCAGTGGTTCTCAGAATGATTGCAAGGCCTCCCCTTAGGAGGTATGGGGCACCTGGAGGGAGGAGTGTCTAGTTTTAGACAGAGGTAACATCCTGAAGCCAGGGCTGTCTTCTGTCTCCATCAAGCAGGACTGCTTGTACATAATAGTGGACTGAATGTCCCCTCATCTAAACTGGATGCAGGGCAGAGGACTGCGCCCTCAATGGCCCTTTAGCCTCATTTCGTTCAAGGACAGGCTCAGAAAAGTTGCTTCTAGCCTTCTCATTGTGCATGCAAACCACATCTAAATAGCTAAATCTGCAAAACAAGTGGTGGGGAGGAAGAGGACAAGCACTGAGACAGAAACGGACAATATAACACAAAGCTTAATATTCTTGGGAACCTCCACCAGCATAGCGTTGACTCAGACACACTCACACGACCTCAAGCTTAATCGGCCGGCCAAGTTGCGTTACAAACCTTCAGGATTTGCTGGGCCTTCTCTGACAGTTTCACTTCATTATCTTCAACCTATAAACAAAAAACAATTGCTTCAGCTCAGCGCATTTCCTTTGCAAACTGGAAATCCTGTAATGTAGCTGCAGTGGATCTCTTGCAGCTTCTGCCGCCTGAACCGTTTCAAGGTGCGCAACTTAGAACGACAGAACTGTAGAGCTGGAAGGGACCACGAGGGTCATCTAGTCCAACCGCCTGCCATGCAGGAATCTTTCATCCAACGTGGGGCTCGAACCCATAACCTTGAGATCAACATCTGATTGCTCCATCGACTGAGCTATCCCTTTGGACTTCATGGGCTCAACTATGGCAATCATCCATGGCCCCAGTTTTATAGAGCAAGCATAAAATGGTCTTCAGCCGCAGTGCCATATGACAGTTTTACTCGGGTGTCGGGCTTAAGCTGAAAGACAGTGACTGGGCGAAGGTAGCCTTAATAATAAATTTTATTTATACCCCGCCCTCCCCGGCCAGAGCTCAGGGCGGCTAACACCAATAAAATCACAGTAAAAACATAATTGGGGGGAACGGGGGAGGGAACCAATTTAAAATACAGGTTAAAATGCAATTTAAAATGCAGTCCCATTTTAAAGTAGCCGATAAATCAAGACCATAAGGGGAGGGAAACATAAGAGTTTGGGTCAGACTGAGTCCAAACCAAAGGCCAGGCAGAACAGCTCCATCTTGCAGGCCCTGAGGAAAGATGTCAAGTCCCGCAGGGCCCTCGTCTCTTGTGACAGAGCGTTCCACCACGTTGGGGCCAGTGCTGAAAAGGCCCTGGCCCTAGTTGAGACCAATCTAACCTCCTTGAGGCACGGGACCTCCAAAGTGTTGATACCTTGTGATTCTCAAGGCTGAGTCTCTCCTGGGTCCTAGTCCAGGCATAGGCAAACTCAGCCCTCTAGATGTTTTGCGACTACAACTCCCATGATCCCTAGCTAACAGGACCAGTGGTCAGGGATGATGGGAATTGTAGTCCCAAAACATCTAGAGGGCTGAGTTCGCCTATGCCTGTCCTAGTCCATCTCTCTATGTGCCGCACCACAGAGCATCTCTTCATTTGTGTGATCCTCACGCTTTGTGCCAAAGTCTCCTCCTATCTTGGAATCCCCTCTACTTTTCATTTCCTACTGGACAAAAGCACTTTGGCTGAATTTGCACGCAGGAAAAGTTAACACTATTCGGTCCTCGGTCCTATTTAATCAGCTTTCCACCTCCCAGTATCATTGACTAAGATTGCCAAGTACAGAATCCATTTCAAGCACAATTTCACAGTTGCACTTGGAACAAGCTCAGGAGAGTAGTTTTCCTTGCTTTCGGCACATTCGTAAGAAAAAGTTCCACAATGATATCACTAAAAGAAAAAAAAAGGGGGGGGGGTTAAGGGAATGAAGTCATACCTACCAGCCAAGAAACAGATCTTGGGATAGCTGCAGTGAGAATGACGTAGCTGGTTTCTGTGCTAATAGTGCCATCTGCAGGAAAGCAAAGAAAAGCATAAGTAGCGTAGCTCCTGAGCGTCCGGAGATTTAACATCCTGCATGCCTGTGGCTCAGTGGGGCTGTTTCATTGGAGGGATTCATTTCCTAAGCCATGTACAGTCAAACCTCAGTTCTCAAACGGCTCCGCTTTTAAACATTTTGGCTCCCGGACGCCGAAAACCCGGAAGTAAATGCTCCGGTTTACAAATGTTTTTCGGAACCCGAACATCTGACGCAGTTTCCGCTTGAGTGCAGGAAGCTCTTGCAACCAATCGGAAGCCGCACCTCTGTTGTCGAATGTTTTGGAAGTCGAACGGCCTTCCAGAACAAATTACATTCAGCAACCGAGGTTTGACTGTAACAGGAAGGGGACAGTTTGTAGATGTTGCCTCCAGCGAACTCTGCAAATCAGAGAGGTTGCCAAGACGGAGATCTTAGGTCCACTGGGAGCATAGGATGTGATTGGATCAACAATCCATTCACCTCAGTACTGTATGCACCAGCCTTCACCAACATGACATTTTCCAGATGTTTTGTGATGCTGGCTGGGACCGATTCATGGTCCAAAACATCTGGAGAGAGCCAGGCTGGGAAAGGCTGGTGTACAATGACTGCAGAACGATTTCAAACAAGGAGTCTTCCCCAGTCATACCGGGAGATGCTGGGGACTTAACCTGGGTCTTTTTGCATGCAAGGCAGATGTCCAACCACTATGACTCTTCCCTCCTGGCTCATGTACCCGTAAGTGGAAGGTTCCTAAAGGTGAAATAATTTATCACGTGCTCTAACTCCGTGCCATGATAAGTTCAAGAAACTAGCTTGGTGTGGACAGGCTTGTGAAGGCAAATGGGGGCAGGGGGTGGGAATGCCTCCCCAGATAAATAATATGCAGACTTCACAGTGAAGCTGAGCCATTTGCTAGTGTGTGCTTGATAAGAATTTAGCATTTACTCATTGGGTTGGTTTGCATGAAATGCTAAGCCATCAGCCAATGAATGGAAGAACCTTGGGGGTCATGTGACGCCCATTCTGCTTAATCTGCCCTCCCATGTCCACTCTCTTCTGTCAAACTATAGGTTGCTGTAACACCCAAACAGGCAACCTATAGTTTGTGCTTGCCCTCTATACCAGCACGGTCAAACTATAGGTGGAACAGCAAGCCGTAGTTTATTGTGAAAGAGAGGCAATCCAAATACGCAAGAGGAAAATAATAGGGGGTAGGAGGAGTCTGCAAGCCCAAAGTTTGATCACACACTGTCCAAGCTGGCTTGGTGTTACGCGTGAACCAAAAGCCATTCCACATGCAACGTAATTTGACGTTGCATTTGAAAGAGCTCCCCCCCCCCGCAGGTTTTCTTGGGCGACAAAAATACCTTTTTCTTTCACAAGAATTTGTGACGCCAGGAATGATTCTGAGAAGATCACCGACCCAAGGCAACCCCTTCCGCCAAGCAAGTCAGGAATGTCATATACTGTCATGGACACCTGCAGCAAACCAAGGGAGCGGGTGGGGAGAAAAGGAGGAGCAAAAAAGAGCTTGGGTCAATACTCCCACTTTTATCCATCACAGTCCCCAGCTAAAATAGAGTTCACATTTTTGTGACTGAAGGAATTCTACGGAACAGCTGGGTGGGGAACTTTTTCAGCCTGGGGGCCAGATTCCCTTCCAAACACAACCTTCTGAGGGCCACATGTCAGTGGTGAGGCAAAAGGCATAAGTGGGAAAAGCAATGAATGTTAATTTTATCTTGGTACCGTAGGCTAGTCTGGAGGCAGTGAAGGCGACCAACTAGGATAGCTCCAAAAAATTAGACAAATTCATGGAGGTTAAGCGGCTACTAGCCACCTGTCAGAAGCAGTAACAGTTGCTGGAAAGCCCAGGAGGCGACACTGCTCTTGCACTCAGACCTTGGGCTTCCCATTGGCCACCGTGAGAACAGGACGTGGGACCAGATGAAACACTGGCCTGATCCTGCCACCTCTTCTTGTGTGACTATGTGGTTTCTGCAGACTCAACTATCTCTATGTCCTCCATGCAGGCAAGTATTAAGAGACACATTCCCACTACGCAAGAACTAGGGTGGAAGCAAGGCCAGTGAAGGATGTGGCTTGGGGGGAGTCCCAGGGGACAGAGAGAGAAGCCTGGAGGGCTGCCTTTGGCTCCCAGCCTTGAGGCTCCTTGGGGTACATAGCACCTCCTCTGCACCTCTGCCAGGTATAAGCCCCTGTGCACAATGTGGCTCAGGCAGGAGGCAGGAGGATCTCGTGAGCCTTCCTGAACTTGCCAATACTCTCAAGGCATTTTAGTAAAAGGACATGAACATCTAGGAAGCAGCAAACTTTAAATTCGACTCACTGTTTTCACTAAGTAGAGGCTGTCCTCATTATCCAGCGGAATAATTCTGGAAGGATAAACACACTGTTAGAAAACTTCCGTTGCAGCTTGAAACTGCCCTACCAGCAAAAATTGAGAAAACCAACAAGGCAATTTTTTGTTGCTGGCATCCGTCTGTCTTGAGAGGCAATGGAGTGTGCCTTCCGAGGTGAAGCAAAACCACTGCATTATCAGCACCAAATGACCAATCTGGAGCATGAGCCTGGGCAGTGTGGATGGAGGTCCGAAGCAGCTCAGACAACAAGACCCCTCTCTCTCTCGGCCTCCCTGATGTGGTCCAAAGGAAGGCAGAGCAATACGTTTGACGCCAGTTGGCTGGAGGAGTTGCCGGCAAATGAGGAACATTTTTAAAAATGCATTCAGAGAATGGATTCATAGGATCACCTGAGCCAGCCTCTGTCCATGTCTAAGTACTGCTGCCCCTTGGGAGCGATTTCATGATTGCAGGAGCTTAAAAAAGAGCCACCGTTGTAGACCTCTCTGGACATTACTAAGATGCAGCAGCAGAAGGAATTGTATCTGCCGAGTGTGTTCCCAGAGATGTCTGAGTAGCATCATATGCAGTCAGAACTGGCCCTAGAGCAGCGGTTCTCAACCTGTGGGTCCCCAGATATTGTTGGACTACAACTCCCATCATCCCTGAGCTCTGGCCTTGCTAGCTAGGGGTGATGGGAGTTGTAGTTCAACAACATCCGGGGACCCACAGGTTGAGAAAGGCTGCCCTAGAGACTCCAGCAGTAAATCATCAAGCACAGAGTTCAAAATCTTATCATGACCCAAGGAAGGCCCACCTGGCTCAATCCCTGCTCACCTTTTTGCTGTTTATGGAGCCCTTTGAGACAATTTAATATTCTGCTGCTCAACTCCCTATTAACAAACGTAATGTAAATCGTTTTGAGGTTTGTTTGCTTTTACAATCAAGCAGTATATATATTTTATGAAATAAAAATAAATAAAAGAAGCTGTTTTTTGCCGTTTCCCCCTATACATTTTTACAAACATTTTAATGCTTAGGATGAAATGCTGCAGGTAAATACATATTTGCCCAGTTCAGACCATGATTAAGCCAAGGAATGTAGGGACATTTTGTTCGAGCGCAGAGATGCTTTGCTTCTCTCTTCATACATGCTGTAAATCAATTAAGAAAGCCTCCAATTAACCCGTTTCCTGCTTCACCAGAACTGGGAAGCAATGGCTATCATCTACAGAACAAAACAGGATACTGAACCCGTTTGATTTTTGGTTTAGCATGATGGCTTGCTTCAAAGCAGGTGAAATAGGAAACCATGGCTAATTAGGAACTTCCTGAATTAACTGCAGCTTATGGGGGGAAAGCAAAGGAGCTGCAGACGTGTGCAAGAGACTCATCCAAGATATGACTGAATGAATGCAGCCATTCATGTTACACTGTGACCCACCCCAAGTCCTCCAGAAATTGTAGACGGCACATTTAAACTACTATAATATGACTATGATCTCAAGGTGTGAACATTCAGTCAAGACTGAAGCCACGAAGCAAGGATATTTCTATGCAAGCTTCCATTTTTCCATTGTTTTATTTCTAGATGACTAAGTGGTTTGAAGAATACCCATGCTATTCATCTGGCAACCACAGGTATCACGGCACCAAGCGCTTTATTTGTTCTGCTTTGCTTGGTTAGACTAAAGGCAAACTCTGTTCTCTATTAAGCAGTCGGTTCAAAAAGACAAGCAGCCTCCTGAAAGTGAAGCATAAAGGAACTGACCTTCCATGGTTGTTCACAGCTTGAATCTGAAAATTTATTCTGGTGCTGTAAAGGAGAAAAGCGGGGAAATCAAAAGAATATCAATTTTTTTTACAAAGGCTTATACTCAAATGAATGACATTGGTGCAGCTTGAAGGGCGAACCACATTTTACACACTGCCAGGCTTGTGAAACTGCCCTCCTAAGGGGCACCGCACGTCTCTGCTCCAGATTCCACCAAAACCTTTCCCCAAAAGTTCCAGCTACATATTTACTCCTGCGAAATGCATGCTTATAATTATAACAGGATTGTGTGGCATACTCTTCTTGTAAACACAGGCGTCTGTTGAATACAGCACCATATAAACTCAGAGCAGTTTAAATATTTTTTAAAGGCTACTTCTCGTCTTATAATAGGAACACATCCATATCTTACGAACACCCAGATTTAAAAGATACTCTGAGAACTGAGAAAAACAGTTTCGTTTAGACAAGCCTACCCGAGGCTCAGAGTGTTGATATGTGCTTTAATCTATTTCTAGTTCATTGCTGACCTTCTTCAGAGTGCTTCCAATGGTCGTTCTTAACTGTTTTTACTGAGAATTTTATCGTTTTGTTCTGTTTGTAAAAAAACACACACCTCAAGGTGGTTTGCAAGCGTGTACAAATCAAGTGTGCCAACCTTATGAAATAAATAAACAAGGCTGATTTTTGTGAATGCAAATATTTCACAAAGCTTATTTATTGTTGCTATTTAATAAGTTTATTTACCACCCTTCATCTGAGAATCACAGGGCAGTTTGCTACATGCCCCCCCCAACTCTTCGCCCACCCAAGGCCAGCAAAGAGCAGGATCACCAAAGCCACCTCTGAAGTTGTTTTTATTTTTATTTTTATTTATTTATTATTATTAATTATTATTATTATTATTATTATTAATCACCCTATACCCGGGGGTATGGGACGCGGGTGGCGCTGTGGGTTAAACCACAGAGCCTAGGGCCTGCCGATCAGAAGGTCGGCGGTTCAAATCCCCGTGACAGGGTGAGCTTCCGTTGCTCAGTCCCAACTCCTGCCAACCTAGCAGTTCGAAAGCACGTCAAAGTGCAAGTAGATAAATAGGTACCGCTCCAGCAGGAAGGTAAACGGCGTTTCTGTGCGCTGCTCTGGTTTGCCGGAAATGGCTTAGTCATGCTGGCCACATGACCTGGAAGCTGTACGCCGGCTCCCTCGGCCCGTAAAGCGCTGCAACCCCAGAGTCGTCCACGACTGGACCTAATGGTCAGGGGTCCCTTTACCACTACCTATACCCGGGGGTATAGCTTGGAGGTGGAGCAGGCAGCGCCAGCTGTTGCCTCAGACAAGACACCCTCTCAGTCGCGCAGTCTGCAGCCTCTCCATGCCTTTCAACAAGCAGACCTAGGGGCAGCATCTGCCCTGGTGCCCCCAGACAATGAGAAACGCCTTTTGCTTTTTTCAAAAAAAATTAATTAATTAGTCTCAAGGAAATTCCGCTTACCGCAATGGAGTTTTAAAGTAAGCCAGTTCAAAGGCATCGAGAATACTGAAGAACGTTTGCTCGGCTACTTCCTTTGCCTGCAAAAGACAAAGAGGGGAGGCGGAGAAAGTGACGTCAAACCATCTCTGATCAAGAAGTTGTGAGAAGCAGTGGGAAAGAGGAGCGTTCCTTGGGATCCAAGGCCCAGAGGACTTTCAAACAGGTCCACACTCCCACCTTACAATAAAATAAAACTGAGATGCCTGTTTTGGTATAATGCAGCACATGCATTAATAGCTAATCACCACAAATAATATAGATAATAAGGGGGAGGAGATAGGAAAAAAGTCACACGATGCAGCTATTTGAGATAAAGGAAAACAAAGGATAACAAGCCCCAAGGATGCCGCTGGGCTTTAGGGGGACTTGAGAAGCAGGCCCTGCCATACTACTTTTGATTTCCCCTCATCCACTCTGTGGTGACTGGGGTCATGAGTGTCTTTTTTCTTTCACTCACCAGTAAGAAAAAGGGTCTCATTCTCCCACCACTTCTTACCAGGTGGTGGGAAAGCAAGAATCCTGTCTGCAAAACTTATTCCAAGGTTGTTGAGGCGCTGCCTCCAGCATGCCCAACAACCTCTCTAAAAACCTCTGGAGGAAGTTAGTGGAAAGGGGGAAGGGTCGGTTTCTGGTATAGGAAGAAGCATCAGTACCTTGCTGGTATTGGATGTTCTTGAATAGGAGTCTATACCAGCCAGGACAGCCTCTACGGCGGCAGCATAGATTTGAGAGAGCAGCTTGCTAGAAAATAAAAATAAAAAAGGAAATGCAGTGCAAATTATGACACTCAATGGGTATTTCAACTGAGACACAGGCTCCTAACCTAACGCAAAGCTGAATACTTTAAATACAACAGGGACACATACGTAAGTTTCACGAAGGATTAAAATAACTGTTTACAGCAGTGATAAGAATTTAGAATCATGAAGTAGCTGAACGGAGTCGCACTGAAAGCTAGAGGCACCAGAATGTTAGTTGTGGAACAAACCCACTGGCTAGGAAAGTGAAAAAAGCCATCAAGGCTTCGTTGATGCACCACGAGCAACAGAAATTGGTGCACGTTCTAACTGTACAGTGGTACCTCGCAAGACGAATGCCTTGGAAGACGAAAAACTCGCAAGACGAAAGAGTTTTCCGTTTTTTGAGGTGCTTCGTAAGACGAATTTCCCTATGGGCTTGCTTCGCAAGACGAAACGTCTTGCGAGTTTGTTTCCTTTTGAAGCGGGAACTGGGCTGGCAGGGAGCGAGCGAGGGAGCGACCTACCTTTTCCAGAGGGATCCTCTTCTGGAGAGGGCACAGAGGAGGCAGGTGGGCTGGGATCCAGCGGATCTGGCTGGGTCTCTGCGCCGCCGCCGCCTCTGCCTCTCTCTCTCTCTCCCCCTCCCCACGTGGCTGCTCCATTTTGCCCTAACTGCACGAAGGCAGGAGGAGGAGGAGGAGGAGGAGGAGGCATCCACTGCGCTTGGGCCGCCGCGAAGGCGCCTTTGCGGGGGTGGGAAGAAGCCGGGAGCAGCTGCCGAGACTGTGGGGAGCCCGGCGGCGTGGCGCAAGGTAACGGGGGGGAGCAAGGGAGAGTCCGCGCCGGGCGCTTCGTGCGTCCGCCCTCGGTTCCTGGGCTCGAACTTCCTTTGGCACCTCGTGGAGAGAGAGGGAGAGGAGCGGGCTGGGGCTTTGATGTGGGACGCGGTTTGGCCGAGCGAAGACGCGGCAAGGCTTGGCGACAGAGGAAGGGGGGCTGTTTTCGTGGGGAGGTGGGAGGGGGTGTCTTTGCCTCTTCCCGGCAACAGATCCTCCAGGCTGGGGAAACTCCTCCTGCTGGGAAGCGACCCGCTTTGTGCTTTGCCTGCTATCCCATTATAATACAGTACCAGGGTGCATCCGTGCTTCGCAAGACGAAAAATCCGCAAGACGAAGAAACGCGCAGAACGGATTAATTTCGTCTTGCGAGGCACCACTGTATTAAACTGACGAGCCAATAACGTATGAAACAGGCAAGAGAGCAGCATAAATGGAAAAAACTAAAAACCAACTTACACTTGTTCGGCTTTCTTTTCCATCTCATTGTCATTGCCTGTTATGAGCCAAAGGGAAGTGTCATTTTTGATTTCTTAGATTTATGTGCTGCTTTTCATTCACATGAATTGCAAACAATAAATAACGATAACGCAATAGGACATCAAAAACGGAACATAAATCATATAGAATACTTAACACATCCAGAGCACACCAAATAGAGGAAGGATGACTCTTGGAATACCTACGTCCTTGAATTTTATCTGTTCTCTTCCATTCCTGTTTCAACCCATTTCTTCTTATTTTAATTTGGAAATGTGTGTGCGCGTTTGTATGGATTGCAACCCACTCCAAGTCCCAGGAATTACAAAGGCTAGCAGGGTGTGTGTGTACAGACAAGGACAGACATGCTGAGGCACGAACAGAAAAAGCAGCCGAAACTGAACTTACCAAGGTAAGGCGTGTGAGTGGCTCCAAAGAAGTAGGTCCTGGAGCAAGCCAGAGGTCCCTTTGGAGAGACACACTGCACAACCTGGTCGCCAGCAAACACAAAACGCACAGGTGGGTGACAAGAAATAAGGGTACTGCATACTTTAGCCTTCCCTAACCTGACGCAGTTTGGCATCTGAAGCAAAACTCCCACCAGCCCCAGACAGCTTGAACGATCAGAGTTGGAGCCCGACAACTTCTGCAGGGCATCAGGAAAGGAAAGGGGGTTATATGCTCTCTGCCCCAAGAATTGCTATGAACAGTGATTGAACTGTAAGTAACTGCTCCCTAAAGGGTGAGGATCCAAGCTCCAATGTGAGGCCCGTGGTTGCCATTTAGGGCCTGTTGCCACTTCAAAAGCATCTCAGGGACACACCAACCCCTCTTGCGATACTGTTCATGTCTTCAAAGGTCTCAAGGTGGTCATACTGCTTCATCACCGCACACCCCAAAACTTCCTGCTGCAATTCTGTTAACTTATCATACCGCAAATGTTCCACTTTTGTCATGCTCCAGTGCCAGAGCTGCCCTCCCGTTGGCAACGATGCCGTGAAACTGGAGAAGCATCACAGAACAATGAATGACACGGGAGGATGTGTGGTCAGCCCTGTATAAACCCTCCACTGATTCACTGTTGTGCCAATGGTAAGGTAACGGGACCCCTGACCATTAGGTCCAGTCGTGGCCGACTCTGGGGTTGCGGCGCTCATCTCGCTTTATTGGCTGAGGGAGCTGGCGTACAGCTTCCGGGTCATGTGGCCAGCATGACTAAGCCGCTTCTGGTGAACCAGAGCAGTGCACAGAAACGCTGTTTACCTTCCTGCAGGAGTGGTACCTATTTATCTACTTGAACTGGTGTGCTTTCAAACTTCTAGGTTGGCAGGAGCAGGGACCGGGCAACAGGAGCTCACCCCGTCATGGGGATTCGAACTGCCGACCTTCTGATTGGCAAGCCCTAGATTCAGTGGTTTAAATCGCAATGCCACCCGCGTCCCTTGTGCCAATGGTAAATTGCAGAATATATCTGCATGTAAAGAAAGAACCCACCAGACTGGAAGACCCCGTAGCTCTTGGGTTGGAGAACTGTTGTCAGATAGCATTATTGCAGGCATATTTTAACAGGTGCCCATCAAAACCTCACCGGGTGATGCTTACCATGTGCTTGGCAGTGCTTCCGCCAAGGCCCGTGTTGCGAAGCAGGTGCCCCTCAGACGGGAAATTGAAGTTGCCCGAGTTCAGGTTCTCTTTTGAGGAATGGGTGCCAAACAGGACAAATGGCTGCCTGCTGGGACTAATCACACACACACAAAAACAGCCATCACCACCAACTCACGCTTGGAAAATGACGAAATGCTTTACTTGAACCATTTGCTCCAGTTTCAGGAATCAGCTTTTCCTGGTGAAGAGTTTACCATTTTTATTTTTATTACGTGCAAAGTACACACAGCTCAAACAAGGGAGAGCGTGTAGCTTGTGGTAGAGCATTTCCTTTGCATGAAAGAAGCTGCCAGATTCAAACCCGGGGATCTCCAGTTAAAAGATTCAGGTAGCAAATGATATGGAAAACCTCAGCTTTTTCATATCACCTGCTATTTGGGGAAGGGCCATAGGATATCTGCCTTGCACTGGGTTTCTCCAGGCAGGGTTGGGAAAGACCCCTTGTCTGAAATTCTGGGGAATGGCTAACAGTTAGAGCAGATGATCCTGAGCTGGATGGGCCAATGATTTGACTTTTCCTGCACTGCAGGGGGTTGGACTAGATGACCCCTGGGGTCCCAACTCAACAATTCTATGATTCTTATGACTGGGGGAAAGGCAGCTTCTTGTGTTCCTTAAGAACTTAGAGAGCTGCTGGAAGTCACGTATGCATACCTAAGTTCCTATAGTAGAGGCTTATTTGCAGAAGCAATTGACTAGGTATGTTGGTTGTATCAGCGGTTATACTCTGGAATGTTTGCCAGCTAGAAAGATAAGCCACATAAATAAAGACTCCCCAACAAGCTAATGGTTACTCTGGCTTTGGCTATTGTCGAAACTAAGATGACTGTCAACAGCTTAATGGGAAAAAAACATAATCACAGTTATAAGGTAAAGGTAAAGGTACCCCTGCCCGTCCGGGCCAGTTGTGACCGACTCTAGGGTTGCGTGCTCATCTCGCTCAAGAGGCCAGGAGCCGGCGCCATCCGAAGACACTTCCAGGTCATGTGGCCAGCGTGACGAAGCTGCAGCTGGCGAGCCAGCACCAGCGCCGCACACGGAAATGCCATTTACCTTCCCAATATAAAGCGGTACCTATTTATCTACTTGCACTTAGGGGTGCTTTCGAACTGCTAGGTGGGCAGGAGCTGGGACCGAACGACGGGAGCTCACCCCGCCGCGGGGATTCAAACCGCCGACCTTACGATCAGCAAGTCCTAGGCACTGAGGTTTTACCCACAGCGCCACCCGCGTCCCAAAATCACAGTTATAGCAGAGTGCTTTTGGTTTTAGAGATGCAAACACTCTTTTACATGCTGTGCTTTTATGAAATGCATTGTGCTGTACTGCATTTGCTCAAGAACCTGTCAGTTAGAGTACCTGTTGTCCGTGATATGGCTGGAAATCATCCCATGGCTGAAGTAACTTCGGAATGGCTATGGAAGAAAATATATTGAATATTAGAAATAATTGACACATCCAAGCAACAACAGAAATGTGTAGCGGTGCATTACAAACTATTTCAGACTGTGCATAGGGCATATAATTTCTTGAAATTTATTTCTCCCCTTTCTTATTCAATGAACGCTCATGGCATTTACACCACCCAAAATATAATGACAATCTCATGCACATAATTAGTGGCAGAAACATTATGGCGATTGCTGGAGTAAAATTTAGGTAATTTACTGCCTGGTTCATAACTCGTCAGCCAACTGATTAATGTACAAGGGTTTAACACCTCTCTATACCTAAAAATGTACTTTCTTTTGGAACCTGGATGAAAGTTTGCTCATTGTGAGAATAAATTTATAGTCTCTCAATCAACTGCTGTGCTACTTTAGCCATGACCTTATGTACACCAGCTTGTTAATCCCCCCCCAAGAATTACTGTGTTCACAAGGCACCAGTGACGCCTTGGATGCATAAGAGCGTGGGTAGGCAACCTGAGGCCCGGGGGTCAGATGCGGCCCAATCACCTTCTAAATCCAGCCTGCAGACAGTCCAGGAATCAGCTTGTTTTTACACGAGTAGAATGTGTCCTTTTATTTAAAATGCATCTCTGGGTTATTTGTGGGGCCTGCCTGGTGTTTCTACATGAGTAGAATGTGTGTTTTTATCTAAAATGCATCTCTGGATTATTTGTGGGGCATAGGAATTCATTCCTTTCCCCCCCCCAAAAAATATAGTCCGGCCCCCCACAAGATCTGAGAGACAGTGGACTGGCCCCCTGCTGAAAGTTTGCTAACCCTTGCATAAGAGAGGCATATTGTTCTTGCCCATGTTATTTTAGCAAATGTGATTTTTTTAAACAACGCCCCCCCCCATTTCTTCACATAGTTTGGATTTTAGTGTATGTTTTTTTCAAATTAGAGATCAAAAACTTTAGATGCAATCAATGGAACTTGTAAGATTTAGAGGCAGGCCAACATAATAACTCCCATAAATGATTCCCTTCCCAGTGATGCACGATAGCTAAATCCCTTCCCTACCAAGACTTGTTAAATACTATGTGTGCAGTATAATTCAGGGGTGGACAGAAGGTTAGACCTATGGTCCACTGGTAGATCTCTGGGTGACTTGCTGTAATTCAGCAAGGATTTCTTTGTCTCAATTGTTGAAGAGTCGCAATGGCAAAAAGGCACCCCTCCTCCTCCCCAAAAATGGGTTTCCGAAAAAGAGAGTTTCCCCTTTCGCATAACGAGATACATACCTCTCCTGCCTGTGACTCTGACAGCTCCAGGATGGAAGGGATTTCGGTGTCAAAATTGGCAAAGAAATTGGTCCACTGATGTTCGAAAGTCATCAAATCCTGAGGAGAGAAACACATCAGCCGTTAAAGGAGATTACTTTGCATCTGTGACCGAGTCTGCGGCATACAAAAATCCAATTAAACAGAGCAGGGGGTAGTGTTTCTATACAAATAATTTAGAAACTTTCACCAATTTGGAACATAAGTTTCACTGCCTATGTCTTCTAACTGCTGTATGGAAAAGCACATGAATACGACCTTTGAAGAATTTGTAAGTAAACCTTTTATAACTTACCAAACGTATAGCTACTTTCTACAGTAAGGGAAGAGGAGAACTTTGGAAGGAACTGAAATGGTGATATTTTAAAGGTCTAACAGCCTATATTTCCACACTGCATGTTTTGTAATTTTAAATCTTGACTAGGGTTCTGTTAGCAAAGAGTACTTGCCCCAAACCTGGATCTTAGGCATCCTTATATTATACCTAGTATTTTCTCTTTAAGAGAAAACCAACATTCCTCACCTTCAAACTATACAGTTCTAGGATTCTATTATGTCATGTATGATCTAACTGAGATTCCTGCATTGCAGGGGGCTGGACTAGATGACCCTCAGGGTCCCTTACAACTCTATGATTCCCCTAAACCACCACATAGGAAAACAAAACAAAACAAAAAAGATAGCAAGTCAGATTAGGTTTTAAGGACCTCCTGAAAGAGGCTCTCACCTTCCTATTAAATAAAATAAAATAAAATAAAATATATGAGCAGATGGAACCTCAGAGGAAGAGCACTGTTCAGCAAGAACATGAAGGTTTTACGAAAATGAAAAGGCAGGGCAGGCTACAGGGTTGGGAAGGCCAATAACTGTAGCTTTTGTTTTTTAAAGAATTCAAGTACATTTGAGTTTGTGCAAAATCGTTATGGGCCTCAGCGTGAGAACTCTGTATCTTATGACTAACACACCTGTGACTTTTACAGAGTGACATTTTGGATGGCAATGGTATGTGTGTGCCTATAAAGATGCCCACACAGCTCTGTGCAAAGAGTACTTTTGTTCTTTAAAGAGGAGGAGGCAACTCAATCAATGGCCACTGTGTGTCAGCCAAGGTCCATTTTTAACCCAGTGTTGAAGCAACTTCATTGGACTGGTCATGTTGTGCAGATGCCTGATGAACGTCTTCCAAAGCAACTACTCTATTCCAAACTTAAAAATGGAAAGCGTAATGCTGGTGGTCAACGAAAGAGGTTTAAAGACTGTCTCAAGGCAAATCTTAAAAAATGTAGTATAAACACCGACAACTGGGAAACACTGGCCTGCGAGCGCTCCAGTTGGAGAACAGCCTTTACCAAAGGTGTCATGGGCTTTGAAGACACTCGAACTCAGGACGCGAGGGAGAAACGCGCCAGGAGGAAGGCACACTTGGCAAATCCACACCGTGATCAACTCCTGCCCGGAAACCAATGTCCCCATTGTGGAAGGACGTGTGGATCCAGAATTGGCCTCCACAGTCACTTACAGACTCATGAGTGATCGCCAAAGAAGAAGAAGAAGATTTTTAACCCTCTTTAAGAACAGCCACTCTTTCACAAGCAAAACTGCCCAGACTGTTAAGACACCAGAATGAGAAGGCCTCTGGGTTTGCAGTAGTCATTTTAAGAAAAGCGCAAGGATCATTGCATGTGTGGAACTGAAGGAGAAAAAAACAGCAATGCAGCTCCAATACGCACCCTGAATGCTCTGAGCTTATGCAAAGGTCATTGTGGCAAGTGGGAGAGAGGTAGAAAGGCTTAGTCACACAATCAGCCTTTTAAAGCAAGAAGACAGATTACTGGTGACGTCTCCCTCTGTGGTTTTGCACAGGATCTCATTCATTCCATAAAGTTCTGCACATAAGGCATTCCTGGTGGCTTCTGCCCATGCTGTCTGGGAGTAATGAGGCCAAAGCCACAGAGTACATACACAATAAGCCAATTCAGATATCGCAATAAAACGTGATTGATCCTAACGGGAATGAGATAACGGGAGGCCTTAGGCTCAATTGCTCCTCCTCTCCTCTTCCTCCCATGCGGTCATGAGGAGATGAGAAGCTTTCCCCCTCTGTATCTGAACATGACAAACTCGTTTGAAACAAGCCAATTTAAAACCATGTATTACTAAGATGGCTTGTTTCAACAAACCACAGTGTGGGGTTCCGAACAGTGTAGGAAGCTGAGATATGAAAGCGAGGAGCTAAATGGTACCTTAAACCGAGGTTATGGGCACAACAACGGAATGTACAGGCATGCTTTTTGAATAACAAGAATTCAAAGCTGAAAATGAATGAACAGCAGCTAAAATATTATGTTCGTTTTCCCACATGGTCTAGTCCTTCCCCTGCCTACCCCTCTAATATTCTTAAGAGGGTCTCTTCTCCAGTCTTCAGAGAGTAGCTGGAAGTGGGGAAGCAGAAAAAGGTCCTCCTTTCCTTCAACTCTGCAGTTTTAATCTGAAATCTTAGGCAGAGTACTGCGCTCAGAGCTTAGAAACTGCTGGCGCTAATGAAATTCCATGTTGCAAAATGCGCCTAGAACAATGGGAGTTTTGAACACTGGTTCAGAAATAACCCCAAACCGAGGCTAATAAATGATGTGAAGAAACAGAACGGGAGAAACACAAAGCTCCAAACTCACTGCAATCATTGGGGGGGGGGGAACTATGGTTTTTCATGACATTTGAACTGACCCAACGCCATTTTATGGGATGCAGAAATGACTCAGCATTTCTCAGAACCATGGACGTTTGGCATCTTGCCAAGATCATCCGCAAGCGGGGACACAGTTTCTCAAGAGACAGATTGCCTACTACCGCCGATCTTCCCCAGCCATGTGTGTAACAGGTGAGCGTCAGGTATGATGCAGTGTGTAGTCTTGAGTTCACACTGATACCCAACCGGCCTTGCTAGCACTTTGTGGAACTCTGTAGGGTGGGGTCAGTTCCCACAGCATGTCCCAGGGCACCCCAGGCTTCTCTGAAGGTCCACACAAAAGCCATTTCCTGTAGAAAGTCATTTTAGTTCTAAACATGTTAAAAGGGAAACCGAATAAACCACAACATGATGAACCATCAGAATACCAGGACCCCTCTCTCCATGCAATCATACATCTAAATACATGGGCTTATTCTCTGTCAAATTTGCCTTGGGGGTGGCAGTGAAGGGGAAGAAAAGTCTGGCACATTACCTCGTAAAGTAAACTCTCCAGAGAAACAGGATCAATCTTGCTGTAAGTTTTCCACAGGTCCACGCTGACATCCATCAGCTGCAAAGAGAAAGAGTTCTGAAAGGGGCATGCACATTCCGTGCTTTTAATAATAATAATAATAATAATTTATTATTTATACCCCACCCATCTGGCTGAGTTTCCCCAGCCACTCTAGGCAGCTCCCAATCGAGTGTTAAAAACAATACTGCATTAAATATTTAAAACTTCCCTAAACAGGGCTGCCTTCAGATGTCTTTTAAAGATAGGATAGCTGCTTATTTCCTTCACATCTGAAGGGAGGGTGTTCCACAGGGTGGGCGCCACTACCGAGAAGGCCCTCTGCCTGGTTCCCTGTAACCTCACTTCTCGCAGTGAGGGAACCGCCAGAAGGCCCTCGGCGCTGGACCTCAGTGTCCGGGCTGAACGATGGGGGTGGAGACGCTCCTTCAGGTATACAGGACCGAGGCCTTCTATTCTCAAACACTGCCTTCCTCAACAGCTGGGTTGGGAACGGGGAATTATAGTTCCAAACATCTGGAGGGCGCCAGGTTGGGGAAGGCAGCTCAAGCGTTACAGTTCTCCCCAAGGCCAAGCAGGCAGCAATGCTAGGCTGATTGAAAGGGGCAGTAAGAACACAGAGGAGTCACCAAAATGCTTAAGGAGAAGGCAATTGGTTTCCTTTCCGTTTGGAAAGAAGTTGCCCTGTACAACACTATCCCCATTCACAGAGACTCCATTCAGCTGGGAATGTTCACAATATGCCATTATGGCTGGTGAATAGTGCCATGAACGTGAAGCGCCGTTGTGCCATTCAGCACCCGGCAGTTTCTGTAAAATAACTATTACACGGATATGTTCCCTTTGGGGCCACGGCAGACAACACCCCCGACAGCTCACAACAGAGATGAAAGTGTAACTCTGCAATCTGAAAGAGTAATAATAAAAGCTAATTTCTTTTAATAGGGTTTTTCTCAGTTGCTTGGTTTGGTAAAAGGAAAGCGTAACACAGGGGTTTCCAAAATAGATGTTGAAAAAATTGTTCAGTGGACATTCCTGAGAACGGTGGCACACTCAAGACATAGCAACACAAGATTCCTATCCTGTGCACTTCTCTTTGGTTTACACAAAGCAAAATAATATAAACATTAAAACAGGAACAGGAAGATGCTGTGGAAGTGTGGAGCCCGAAACTAGGGACTCCATAATAAAATGAAGAGGTCTGGGGTGCTCTGGAATACAATGTTGATGAAATAACTCTTCCCCGGTCACAGTCTTTCCAGCGCCTCCAATGAACCACAGCAGGGAGAAAAGTCCTGGCTTAGGGGGACTCGTGATGGGCTTGTTGTTCAGCTAGGAAACCTCCCTCCAGCCTCTTACCTCATATTTCATTGTGAAGAAGCCATCGCCACCGATTCCTTCCAGGGCAAAGGCCTGCACGATCGGCCACTTTTCAACAATGAACATGTCAAATATCTGCAGATGTCCTGAAGAAACAAAGCAATTTTATTTGGGTGGGTGTGCAATTCCTCAGCTTTTGTTAAGCAACTGCGGCACTGTCCATGTATATTAATGCAATGGTTCTGCTTATCTAGAGAGGGTTCCCTTGCTGGTGCGGTTCTGTTGGTTATTATATAAAGATTTTAGGCTGCCTTATGCTCTAATGGAATCAACTTGATCCCCTCCCCCTCTTTCCTTTTTCCTTTCTCCTGTGATGGAATTCCTATTTGGGGACTTCCCTGGCTTTTTTCTGGCCCACGTAGGACCAGTCTGGATAGTTGGCCTTGGTGAAGATTTGACATTTTCATCCCCAAAAAGTTTTTGATTTGAGTTTCTACTGAAATGAGGCTGCATTTTAATGTTGTATTTTAATCTTGTTTTTAAGTTGTATTTTAATCAATTGTTTTTATACCTGGTGTTAGCTGCCCTGAGCCCGGTCTTGGCTGGGGAGGGTGGGGTAAAAATAAAATTTATTATTATATTATCAATATAAACGAAGACGTACTCCTAGAATCACAGAGCTGCCCCCGTTAACAGCCAGACCCACTGACCCACTGCACCACAGGGTTCCCATGCAACCGTGTTAAGAACTTTAGAGATGAAAATAAATAAATAAATGCAGCCTTTCAACAGGGTGAAGCATTTGTACATGGGGAAAACCCTAACGTTTTCCATTTTGCTGAATCAATATATTCAGAAGATCATGGGATTAGGATGTGAGTGTGTGCGGGAGCATGAAGGTGACACACAGGATGCTTCTTGGCCAAAAAGAAGATGTGGAAGTAAATGCAATAATGCACTAGGCCATGTTCTCCTTAAAGGGGGAAAATATAATTCCCCACCCTTGGAGAAGTGCCCTAGATCTCTGGCAGAGCAGCTGCTTTGCATGCAGAAGATCTCAATTCCAATTCCTGGTATCTCTATGAAAGTTTGCAAAGGACCCTCAGCCAAGACTATGAAGAGCTGCTGCTGGTCAGTGAAAACCAAAGGCCGGGAACCTCTGGCCGGGAACCTCTGGCCTAGTGGGACAAAAGCAATCACACACCCCAAGGCCTTTCTGCCCAGCCCTTGGTCAACATCCTTCTCTCCCACACCCTCCTCAAATGCCCGCCTGGGATGCAGCCTTCAACTGTGATCATGCATCTAACTTGCTTGGGTGGAGGATGAAGAGAGGGTGATGTTTGTGTATGGAACCCGCTGTTGTGTGTGGTCAAAATGGTGCCAATTGTAGAAGAGGAAGAGTCACGTCCATTGCAGGCAGCACTCTGGCCTGCTCATCACTCAAATATGGCTCCCAAAAGGTTGGCCAAGCACCCCACCCCTGGTGTAGACAATACCTTGCTATATTGACCACTATACTCTGACCCAGTAGAAAGCAGATTCCTACGAGATTAGAAAAATGTGGCAGGGAAAAAAAGATTTGGGCTTATTTATTCATTTTTGCTTACGTGCATACAGTGGTGCCCCGCAAGACGAATGCCTCGCAAGACGAACAACCCGCTAGACGAAAGGGTTTTTCGTTTTTCGATGCGCTTCGCAAGACGAATTTCCCTATGGGCTTGCTTCGCAAGATGAAAACGTCTTGCAAGTCTTGCGATTTTTTCGCTTTCCCCCCCTTTTTCTAAGCCGCTAATAGCCTTTTAGCCGCTAAGCCGCTAAGCCTTTAATAGCCGCTAAACCGCTAATAGCGCTAAGCCGCTAAGCCGCTAATAGGGTTGTTTTGCAAGACGAAAAAACCGCTAAACAAAGAGACTCGCGGAACGGATTATTTTCATCTTGCGAGGCACCACTGTATTTCATTTCCAATAAAGAACGCTTTTAAATCTAGAATGCTGCAGCAATTGTTTATTGTGGACTACCTTTCTGGTTTCTTTGCTGCTGACGCATGACTCCATGTTTCTTCCTTATGGCTGCCATATTGAAAATCACTTGGAAGTCTTCCCAGGTAAAACACAGATCCCCTCCTACATTGTGACACATCTGCACAGAACGCAGCTGCATTGCATTGTCAGGTCCTCAGCAAGGAGGCATTGCTAAGTTTGTGCATGTTCTGGACTGAGATGCCTTTGCCAGTTGAGACCAGCTCAGTTCCAGTCAGAGGCCAGCAGCCAAGTTTCCATTCCCCTTCTATTTAACCTGGAAAAGCAGGCATCATTTGCCTCCTGGGTTTCATCCCCGTCTGAAAGACCACTGCGTGCCAATGTAACTTCAGTAGTTTAAGTCTGCAGTCTAAGGCCAATTCAACAAGAAGATGCTTAATTCTGAAGTTGATGATTCCTAATAGTTAATTCTGAAGTTGATGATTCCCTTTTTCCTGTAACTTTTTTTTTTAACTGCACATTTCCTGTGAACTTCACAGGTATTTCTCAAAGTCCAATGCAGGACAAAGAGGAGACAACTGGTATGGCATACGAGTCATCGAGAGAGAAAATGACTGTACAAATCCCTACTGAAAAGAAAAAAGAGCAACATCCAGCACAACCACTGTATTCCAGGCATTTGCTCAAATGCTCCCTGCACCATTACAAAAAGCAGCTGTCTTCCCTCAAGGGTGCCAAAAAGCCTTTCGTTGAGACCAGTGGAATGCCTAGCTTTGAAAAACAGGAGTGAGGAATTGGAGCAGGCTCAGTGGCTCAGCCCCATAGCTAGGATGGTCACCAGGGGAAGCCCGTTGCCAGGGAAACCCACAGTTGATGCAACTATAAATACACTCCTCTCTGTTCATAGTTCTTTCTTTAATGGAACTACAAGCAAGACGCTTGTTGCAGCTTTCTTGCATCAGCATGTTTGCTGGTTATTTCCAGCAAAACAAAATCAAGACTGTGCTGTGGCTTTATATCCCAGCTTCACATAATTAACAGGAAGGTTTGTTTCCTGTTCTAAAAAGGGTGCCTATTCTTTCCCTACATAAAGGAGGCGTTACATGGAAGAACTCCTCATGTGGCACAGACAGAGAGCTTTGTTTGTTGAACCACACATACCATGTTTAATATAAATAATGGACCCCAGTGACTCATTTTTCCCTGTCCCTGACTTAAAAGTATTATAGGAGCACAGAACTGTGGAGTTGGCACGTCGTGTACTGCTGTTCAAGGTGCGCATGGCTTTTTCAAACCTACCTTGTGAGCTGAAGGGAATCCCGATTCGACTGCAGTCACGAACCATGTCTACAAAGCTGGAAATTTTGAATTCCTCCGCAGCCTCTTCGTCTTCATACTAAAAGAAACAGACAGGGAGAAAGAAAACCCAGCAAATCAATACTCAAACCACTGCCCAAAGATTTGGAAAATAATGCCCATGTTGCAATGCCTTTCTTATTCTGCCTGTAACGCTCTCAGCTCACAGCAGTCGCCATCTTTAGTCGATCCACACTATATTTTAAGCACAGCCATTTTGGGCTGAAAAGACCATGTTCACACTGATAACAAGCACAGAAGCCAGCAGGGAATGGCTCTGTATAAAGTGAAGCAAGAGCAATCACTGTGCAAGGAAAAGCTGACCCATGTTCCATTGTGAACATGGTGCCTGCAAGCTCACGGCAAATATTATTATTATTCATTGCATTTAAATCCCACCTTGTTCTCCAAGGAGCTCAGGGTGGCGTATATTGTTCTTCCTTCCCTCATTTAATCTCCACAACAACCCTGCGAGGTAGGTTAGGCTGAGAGGCAGCGACTGGCCCAAGGTTACCCAGTGAGCTTCAAGGCCAAGGGAGGATTTGAACCCTGATCTCCCAGGTCCTAGTCCTACACTCTAACCACTGTGCTGCACTGGCTCTCCCTGAAGTCGGCAGAGACCAACTCAAAGCCATGGCAGCCATATGCCAAAGGCACATCAGTTACGAGCTCCGTCCAGAGCACTAATTCTGTTGCAGTTAAATCTGAAAGAAGCTTCTTCTGTTATCACCTTCTCAAGACTGGAAAACAGACCAAGCTGTAGTCACGGCTCAAGAATCTTCTCTCAAGCACAACCATGTTTTTCTGTTTTCTTCCCTCCAACCCCCAAACCAAGGAGTTCAGGGCAACTTGAAAGCTCAGAAACTGCCTTGTGAACATTGCCTACTGCCATATAAAATGAATTATATGAGTCTGTTAATGGTGTTGTTTTAAAGAGAAAGGATAAAGGCAAAAAGAGCTTGTTTGCTATTTCCAGGGGAACACTGGGAGTCTCTTCGGTTAAATCATATGCCTATCATATGCTGGGTCTCTATTCTGCGGGTGCCAAAGCTCCATGAAAGAACTCGTTTTCATTGTGGTTAGTACATCATTATCCAGTCGGCCCACTTAAAAAACCATGTGGTGCAGCACCGGGCAGAGTGGGGGAGAAGAGGCACAGCAGAAACATTCGTATTGCAAAAAGCTGACTGGTTCAACCCAACATGAGTGCCTATTTTGCGGCATACAAGAAAACCCAATTACAAGAAGCAAAACACAGTAATTGCACCAGTAATTTCTAAAGTGCTTGCAAAACAAAGCCCAGCAACCAGAGAGGGGTCCTGCTCACTCTCAAGGCATTGCCAAATTTGGAAAGCCTGATTTAAGAGTCCTCAAAGCAAAGTAGCACCCTTAAAAAACTACGGTTCCCAGAATTCCATGGGAGAAGCCATGATGGTTCAAGTGAGATAAGAGAGTGTGTTGAATACATGGTACGGAAGTGACCTAAATCATTAACGTATGAAACTTCAGTGGGAAAGAGGAGCTCACAGATCGACTCTAGGCATCTCTCTCTGGAACAGGAGACAGAACCAGCCAACAGAATACAGCCCTCTGCAGAAAACTCTTGCGTTACATTACTACTACAACTATTACGTTACAATAAATAATGGGCTGAGTTTTACTCAGAGTACGCTCACTGCAATTAACGAACATGACCAAGTCACTGAGTCCACTGTTAGTAAAATTTCACTGAATGCCACCCAATTATTTTACAGAACATTAAAATGTATGCTTGGTAGAAGAAACACTGAGATGGCAGCTGAGTTTTAAAGTGTGTTGTTTAAATTGTTTTTCAGGTTTGTGATTTTTTAAAATGATTTTGTTTACTGTTTCTTACAGTAACAGCCACTCTGGGTGGCTTCCAACAAAATATTTAAAAAACATAATAAATCATCCAACATTAAAACCTTCCCTATGCAGGGATGTCTTCAGATGTCTTCTAAACTGTTATATAGTTATTCATCTGCTTGGTATCTGATGGGAGGGCGTTCCACAGGGCGGGTGCCACCGCTGAGAAGGCCTTCTGCCTGCTTCCCTGTAACCTCACTTCTCGCAGCGAGGGAACATCGGAGTTGGACCTCAATGTCGAGGCTGGACGACGGGGGTATACAGGTATTCAGGTATACAGGGCTGAGGCCATTCAGGGCTCAACACCAACGCTTTGAATTGTGCTCAGAAATGTACTGGGAACAGACACCACAGGGTGCGCTTGGCTCAGACGAGCAGAACGTACGACACGCTTATGCAGATCATGTTCTGTTCTCACTCTCTGAGCGGCAGAGCCAGATCGCAGGACAAAAGAACGAACAGCACTGTTGAGTTTTAAGGGAGGGGCTGGATAATCTAGACAGCGAGAGAGTATATATGCAGATAAAGGAGGGAGCCCATCCTGCCTCTCCTGAAGGCTGTGGGCGTTTAAATCCCAACAGGCCTGGAGAGGTGTTTGGTTTCATCAGGTGCAGCGCTAGAACATATTGAGCCTGGCTCCAAGAAATGGTTTTTGTTCCAGAACCACCAGGCTTCAAAGGCAAAAGCATTGTGAACTATGTAAAAGGTGCTTCACTTAATCCTTTTCACATGTACTGCTCTCAAGCCAGGTGTCAGAGCAGTACATGTGAAAAGGATCTAGGAGTCTTGGTTGACCACAAACTTGACATGAGCCAACAGTGTGACGCGGCAGCTAAAAAAGCCAATGCAATTCTGGGCTGCATCAATAGGAGTATAGCATCTAGATCAAGGGAAGTAATAGTGCCACTGTATTCTGCTCTGGTCAGATCTCACCTGGAGTACTGTGTCCAGTTCTGGGCACCACAGTTCAAGAAGGACACTGACAAACTGGAACGTGTCCAGAGGAGGGCAACTAAAATGGTCAAAGGCCTGGAAACGATGTCTTAGGAGGAACGGCTAAGGGAGCTGGGCATGTTTAGCCTGGAGAAGAGGAGGTTAAGGGTGATATGATAGCCATGTTCAAATATATAAAAGGATGTCACATAGAGGAGGGAGAAAGGTTGTTTTCTGCTGCTCCAGAGAAGCGGACACGGAGCAATGGATCCAAACTACAAGAAAGAAGATTCCACCTAAACATTAGGAAGAACTTCCTGACAGTAAGAGCTGTTTGACAGTGGAATTTGCTGCCAAGGAGTGTGGTGGAGTCTCCTTCTTGGAGGTCTTTAAGCAGAGGCTTGACAACCATATGTCAGGAGTGCTCTGATGGTGTTTCCTGCTTGGCAGGGGGTTGGACTCGATGGCCCTTGTGGTCTCTTCCAACTCTATGATTCTATGATTCTAATCTAATTGCAGCAAGCCTCCAGTTCCTTGCCAAGGAGGAGATCAACTGGTGCCACAACCCACCAGTTCCTGGGTGTGCAGAAGCTTCCTTATTCACTCCTGAGGCCATGCAGAGTGGGGAGCCCTGTGCGTGCACCCAAGGCATTTTGTGGTAGTTTCATTCTGGAAAGGTTCTTTTACAAATCCCAAATGACGAATGAGCGGGTCGGACTTCAGATCACACAGAGCCCTAGAAGCTGGGTGTGTCTGGCAGCTCAAAGGCTTACTGGTGTGTTGGCCAAAAGGCAAGTATTTAAGCCCCAGGTTGAGAGTGCTCACTTAACTGCTGCACCGGGGTTATTTTGACAGGAAAGAGATGTTTTTAGCCACGCTCCATGGAGTTTTGATGCAGCCAACAAGGCAAGAAAGGATTGTTCTGCTGACATGTATGGGATGCATTGGTCCTGTGCCTCAGCTGTTGACCAGCTTGAGAATTGCAGCATAAGCACCAGACAGGATCAAGGCTCAGACTCAATTATTTGGTCTCTTTCTTCCCTTTCTGTATTCTCACAAAATGATCCAAATGGCAAGAACTGTGGAATAAGCAACAAGCTATGCCTTTTCAAAGTCACCATCTTGACGTAATGGTGATATGAAGCAGAGATCACGGCTGCTATCCTGTGCACGCTTACTCGAGAGTAAGCCCCTCTGAACCCAGGGGCACCTCCACGTGAACTTGCACAATATCAAGCTGCAAGTCAGGCAAAGCTTCTGTTTTCATTTCTTAGCCATTTTTAATTTCAATTCCACGAAAGAGCAGGGAGTCGGGAGTCTGACCACTGCAACAGCGTCTCATTGGATCATATCAATTCCACCGAATTAGGAGACCTTCTACAACGCCAAAGGCCTCCGAGGGAAGCCGGAACTGCTGCAACTCAGGACGGCCTCAGACAAATGCTGTTCTTTCTATGTTTGCTACTCGGCCACTCACCTCGTTTTCAGTCAGGCAGTGGAAATGCAAGTTTCTCCAGAATGCTACATATGGCAAAAGGTAGTTGTAGTTGACAGGGTTGCAATAGAGATGGACGCTGTCTGGCTTTATTAGTAGGATCACATCTAAAAGGAGCAAGAAATCAACCTAATGTTATTTTCAAGTCACTAACCAGTTTGTCCTCCCGATGCAACGCTCACACAAGTCCTTACTTATTTAATACATTTTTACTCGCTCTTTAGCTAATGGGGCTCCCAGAGCAATTTATGAAAGATCATTAACAGACAATACAGTGTCTGCCCTCCATATGGTAACTGGAAATACGTGACACAAAAGGAAAAAGAGATGGGGAGGGTAAAGGAAAACAAACTCAGGGACTTTGGGTTTTTTGTTTTAAGTCCTTGTGATCCCTCCCTTCTAAATGACAAAATATGGAACAGGCAGAGGAGTTAGAGGACCACTTTGCCCTCAATATTTTCCCTTTATGATGTTCAAAAGGTATGTGCTGACATGTGTAAAAATCACACGTAGTATCCAGGCTGGCACAATCACCTACAAAGTAGGTGGAGGAGGCAGTTATGTAGGAAACAACCCAAGGGAGCTCTTTGCTCAAGGCCACCCAAAAAGTTCATGGCCGAGCAGACGCATTTCATTTTTTGCACTGGTGGCCCCAAGTCCGCCTGGAAGTTAGTGCTACCAGGCTTTTGGGGATGGTCTTTGGGGTTTTGAATGGATTCTGGACACGGATGGCACTGTGGGTTAAACCACAGAGTCTAGTGGTTGCCGATCAGAAGGTTGGCGGTTCGAATCCCTGCGACGGGGTGAGCTCCCGTTGCTTGGTCCCTGCTCCTGCCAACCTAGCAGTTTGAAAGCACGTCAAAGTGCAAGTAGATAAATAGGTACCGCTCTGGTGGGAAGGTAAACGGCGTTTCCGTGCGCTGCTCTGGTTCGCCAGAAGCGGCTTAGACATGCTGGCCACATGACCCAGAAGCTGTATGCCGGCTCCCTCGGCCAATAAAGCGAGATCAGCGCTGCAACCCCAGAGTTGGTCACGACTGGACCTAATGGTCAGGGGTCCCTTTACCTTTACCTTGGGCTTTTGAATGGATTCTGATGTCTTGACAAAAAAAAATTCTATTTTAAGGCCTGCCTGCGTTCAATTGTCTCCATTACATTTTAACCATTTTTAACGTATGTTGTCCAGAGAACTTCGGTTTAGGGGCTAGAGAGAAATGCCACGAATAAAAACAATTAACTAAATAAAATGGAATACCCGTGGGAGCAAAATGGAAGAGGGTGGGTTGTATCAACGTCCACAAAGACGTTTTAGGAAAGAACCAGGAGCAATAAACTGTCTAGCCTCTTCCTTGCATACAGTACACCAGGAGAGACTCAAAGGATATCAAAAGAAGTGAAAGAAGACCAGACTTATTCACCCCCTTGAGTGTTCATCTTAAAATAGCGCATAGCACCACTTTCCCTTACCGTCAAGGACCTCTTCAGGAAACCCCGATCTTTCAAATTCATTGTTGCTCTGGTTGTACAAGCCAAAGAGAAGGTAGTTTGCCAGTTCCCGGCAGCCCTCGTTGTATCGGCTGTCAATCCCTGCAGAAGGAAGCATAAGGAATGAACAGTAAGGTTGTCAGAGGGAGGATAGAACCAACAGTTCTGATTCCAAATCACAGAATAACCAACTAAAACTAGGGAATTGTTTGGAGTCCCTGCCTTCTTCCTAAGTCTCCTATGCTTTGGAAGCAGGCTGCAGCTTCCAACATACCTTGACTACTAGAACAAAGGAATATACGAGGGTGGTGGTGGTGGGAATCAATTTTTGAAATTGCAATAGGTGCTGAAGAGCAGCAGGGGGAATCTCTAGCCCATGGGCCTATACAGTGGTACCTCTGGATGCGAACGGGATCCGTTCCGGAGCCCCGTTCGCATCCTGAAGCGAACGCAACCCGCATCTGTGCGTGAGCGGGTCGCAATTCGCCGCTTCCATGCATGCGCATGACGTCATTTTAAGCGCATGCGCGAGCGACGAAACCCAGAAGTAACGCGTCCCGTTACTTCCGGGTTCCCATGGAGCGCAACTCGAAAATGCTTAGCCCGAGGTATGACTGTATAGGTCTGACACAGGTCCCAATTTGTGATATCAGGAGTGGGACATGAATGGATGCAGCAACCAAGGAACCATTGGGAGCCTCAACTGAGCTCCTAATGGTTGCTTTGCAAAATCAGGGCTCCTTGTCAGCTAACAGCCACTGATGGGGAAGTCCCACGTGGAGCTGCTGTCCAGGAGTGTTCCCTGTGAGGGACTCTTCTTCCAAACCGATTGCTCCAAACAAACCATCAATTTGGATTCAATGTGCTTCCTATGAATGGATTGGCTCCCCCCACCCCTCGGCAGAATCTAAACCAGGCTTCCTCAACCTCGGCCCTCCAGGTGTTTTGAGACTACAGTTCCCATCATCCCTGACCACTGGTCCTGCTAGCTAGGGATCATGGGAGTTGTAGGCCGAAAACATCTGGAGGGCTGAGGTTGAGGAAGCCTGATCTAAACTGCTTGTTCCATATGGACTTTGAAGGCACGCTCCCAGAGCCAATCAGCTGATTGCATAAGGCGAGGCAAGCCAACAGTAAGCAATCCCTGAAATCAAGAGGGCAAGCCAAGGACCTACAAGAGGCTAGGAAACCAAGGCTCCCAGAAAGCCTAGTCATGAAGAACAGCTCTTGTGATGGCATCAGGCCTCCAAATATCTATAATGCTTGCACCGGCCACAAAATGCTCGTAACAGATGACACTGGGCCAAAAAAGAGAATGAAGAGCAGTTGGAAGGGAACAGAGATGCGGTCAGGTGCAAGCTGCTTGAAAAACAATGAGCAGAAAAGCCTTGTGGCACAATGCTACAGAAGCAATTTAAGGAGGCGGACGGCACTTCATATTTATTTCCCCCACACTAAGCCGCAAATCCAGCCCAGAGCTGCCCCTTTCAGAAAGGGATTGGCAACGCCGGTTGACCTCAGGCCACTACACAGTTTGGAACAATTGAGCATCATTTTTCCCCCAAAATCCCTTTATGATACACTAAGCCGAAGAACGGCGAGTGCAGAGCTGGGAATTGGGACGGCAAGGTCAACCAGGGAGCACTGGAGGACAGTTTGGAAGGGGAGAGAGCTTCTGAGCAACAGATGGTGTCAGGAACAAATGAAGAGGAGGATAAAAGCATTTTTGAACGGTGCTGCCAAGGTCATGCCCCACCTTTCCTTGTGTGCGAATAATCTGTCCCCAAATCCAAAATATGTCAGCCTCTGCTTCAACATTTGCTATTGCCGTTTGAGGCACAGAACTGGTTCCCCTGTGTGTTTGGATCTCTCTGCCTTCTTTGACGGTGGATCTACTTCAAGTGAGGCTGCGTGCTTTTTCACCCCAGGTCCATCAGTGGCTACTGGCCAAAATACCCAGGAGAGCGACGTCCATTTTCCCAGTCTCTCTTCCTCTCCTTTCTCCTGCTCCCCAGCCCTTAATTGCTAGATACAAGCCACTGAGAACAAAGGATGGCTGCTTCCACTGTGCTCTGTTTCTGAAGTTCCTCCCAACGTTTGGCTGGCGACCGACAGGTATCAGTAACTGGAGATCTGTGGGCAGCCTGCCCTGGGCTTCCACTCTCACGTGGATTAAGGCGACACAAAACCATTACCTATCTGGGTCATGTTGGGAATTGCCATACACAAATCCAGATCTGAGCTTCCTGCTTTCCAAACCAGGACTCCAAAGACTAGTTTTTGGAGACGCCTGACCCACGAGAAACAGAATACAATACACTGGAAGCCAGAGAAGGCCAGGCTCAGTCCAGTCTTTATATCAAGGTTTTACATTATGGGATCCTCATAGTGCCCATCAATTGCAGGGGCTGATATCTGATATGCTTCCGCTCTGTTTCCCAACATACATCTCATGGATAAGTTGGTTAGAGTGTGGTGCTGATAACGCCAAGGTTGTAGGTTCAATCCCCATATGGGACAGCTGCATATTCCTGCATTGCAGGGGGTTGGACTGGATGATCCTTAGGGTCCCTTCCAACTCTACAATTCTATGATTCTATGGATATCACACTCCACACAGCTGTGTCCATTAAGTCGTCTCTCAGATCAAATGCTACTGCGGTACACAGGATGCAATATGTATCCCGGCACATCCTCCCGTTTCCCATTGCTAGTGTTATCTGCATAATCCTCATGCTTTAAATATATGCTTTAAACAGAGCCTAGGGCTTGCTGATCAGAAGGTCAGTAGTTCGAATCCCTGCGACGGGGTGAGCTCCCATTGTTCGGTCCCAGCTCCTGCCAACCTAGCAGTTCAAAAGCACATCAAAGTGCAAGTAGATAAATAGGTACCGCTCTGGCAGGAAGGTAAACAGCGTTTCCGTGTGCTGCTCTGGTTTGCCAGAAGCGGCTTAGTCATGCTGGCCACATGACCCGGAAGCTGTACGCCGGCTCCCTCGGCCTATAGAGTGAGATGAGCACGCAACCTCAGAGTCGGCCACGACTGGACCTAATGGTCAGGGGTCCCTTTACCTTTACCTTACCTACCCTATCACTGACTGAATTCCCCAGACAGTGGGGAGAAGAGCAGGATGCTACAGACTGTCCAAACCACGGTGCTGAGCAGCAGGGCACTGGGGGCACTTCCCTAATCGTTCCACATCTGCTTCTGAAAATACCATTTCTCCTTAATTGATATGCTGCTGATTGAAGCTTCCTATTAAGCTAATCTGGTGACCTAATTCTTCCAACGCAAGATTTATGATTGAAACATGAGCCCATGAGAATTATGGAATAAATCCCTGAGTCACGGCAGGAGAGAGCTGACAGCTTTCCAAGAAATAACCTCCAGCTTTGCAGAAGGCAAATGTTAAGAGTAATCATCGCAAGGGGCTGGCTGTGCTGAGGGGGCACTCGCAACATGCCACTTCAGGTTAATTTCTGATTTTTCTTTTAAATAATCAAATTTCATTTATATATTTATACTAAACACACACACACAATATAATAGAGCATGCAACAAATATTACACATATAAATATAAATATAAATATAAATATAAATATAGTATATAACAAAAAAGAAAAGCATCCTTTTTAATAATGGAATCTCACACACATTTCAACTGCCAATACATTTTGTTCTTTGCATTTTTCATTCATAGCTATCCTTCCTTGAACTCATGTTTTTATATGGTGGCCTTGCCAATAGGTCTACTAGCCAGTCTACCTACACATATCTACCCATATTGGTTTCTGAAGAAGTGTGCATGCACTTGTTGTTGTTTAGTCGTTTAGTCGTGTCCAACTCTTCGTGACCCCATGGACCAGAGCACACCAGGCACTCCTGTCTTCCACTGTCCAACCATCTCGTCCTCTGTCGTCCCCTTCTCCTTGTGCCCTCCATCTTTCCCAGCATCAGGGTCTTTTCCAGGGAGTCTTCTCTTCTCATGAGGTGGCCAAAGTCTTGGAGCCTCAGCTTCAGGATCTGTCCTTCCAGTGAGCACTCAGGGCTGATTTCCTTCAGAATGGATAGGTTTGATCTTCTTGCAGTCCATGGGACTCTCAAGAGTCTCCTCCAGCACCATAATTCAAAAGCATCCGTTCTTCTTCATGGTCCAGCTTTCACTTCCATACATCACTACTGGGAAAACCATAGCTTTAACTATACGGATCTTTGTTGGCAAGGTGATGTCCCTGCTTTTTAAGATGCACATGAAAGCTTATACCCCAGAACAAACTTAGTTGGTCTCCAAGGTGCTACTGGACAGTTTTTTAATTTTTTTATTTATTTCGTGCACATATCTCAGTTAGCAAATCTGTACACATACCTAAGTAAGCAAATCTGTGTCTCCCCCCCCAAAAAAGAGAGAGAGAGAGAGAGAGAGAGAGAGAGAGAGAAAGAAAGAAAGAAAGAAAGAAAGAAAGAAAGAGCCACCAGTTAGTGTAAGGCTTATTTGCCCGGTAAGCTAGAGCAAATTATTTTGATTATGACTAGGGGAAATACCTCCAGAACACGGTTACCCAGGTAACCTAAAATCAGCAACAGAACTTTGGGGGTCTCAAATTTCCGCAGTGCCCTGTGTGACACCAAAATTTGGTGCCCCCCCACCTTCCATTCTACATCATAGTTGCAGCGCTCCCAAGGCTCTGCACCCGGTGCGACTAAACCTGTCGTACTCCCTTAAATCCGCCTTTGCTACAATTCTGATACTGACCGCAATGCATTTAAAATGCATTTTCCAGCTTCGAGTTGAAACATTCGAGTTGAAACATTTCCCTAAGGCTGAGGACTGCAGCAGATCCTCCCCAATGAAACAAAAGAAAAGAATAGAAAAATGAAACCCAGCTTAAGAGGAGAGGAACAGAAGGGGGCAGAAATTCCCAGGCTGGGGTTGACATTCACCCTCTTTCAGGAGAAGCTAGCTGGAAATGCAACAGGGGTGCATTTGGGGGAATGGCTCACAAAGGGGTTTCAGATGGGACCAAGCACAGAAAAATTTGATATGTCGTGCCGTAAGCATTTAATTAGCCCATCTAGCCTGTGCTACCCGAGAAAGGATGAATGCTGTCCAGGATCTGATCACAGTTAATATCTGGCGGCCTCTTTCGTGGCTGGAACCAGCTGCAGCTCTCACAACAGCCTGGCTTCCTGTGTCACTGTTCTGTCTCGGCTTTCACACGGGGTTACGCTGGGATACAACTCAAAGGCTGCCAGTAAATCCAGACTTATAAGCAGGGGCCAGACAAAAGCCCAGGAAGACCATGGCAAGAAATCTAGGGCACTCAGGTGCCTCTCAGAGTTGAACAGGCACGGAAGTTAGAATCTTTATATACAAGTTAGGAGTATTTATATTCTGCTCATTCATCGTGCCCCAGGCGTGGGCTTGACACCTGACTGGTTTCCCTACCTCCCACCCATTTTTAATTTAGCCTAGGAAATCCACAAGCCGTAAAAAAATATTAAGACCTATCACAATACAGTGATACCTCTAGTTGTGGACTTACGGTAATCTGTTTCGGGGTGCCATTCACACCCTGAAAAGTCCGCAACTAGAGCGCCTTTTCTGCACATGTGCACAGCACGATTGAGCGCTTCTGAGCATGTGCATAGCACACAGATCGCTTCTGCGCATGCGCGGGCGGCGAACCCGGAAGTAAACACTTCTGGGTTTGCTGCGTTCGTAAGCTGAAAGTCCAGTAACAAGAGTGGAACGCAACACGAGGTACGACTGTAATGCAGCAATAATTATAACATTCCCACACATATACACGCCAAGCACCCCTTTTCTCCAATGTTGCCAGCACAGCTCTGCGTTAATTTTATCGTTGCAATTCATGCTGTACGTTCAGGAGGTTCTCCCCATCTTGATACTGCAGCAGCTCCACTTATTTTCAGGTCTTTGCCCCCAGAGATACAGCTGAGTGATTCCTAGCTAAGGCTCCCAAGTCCTGACACATCTCTATTAACTCCTGATCTAAGCAACATTTGCACCGTTCATAATATACAGATCTGCGGACGCAAGCCTTGCAAATTAATTCTGGTCGGCTGTGCAACCTCCTTTCATCATGGAAGTACCTAAAAGCTACTCTGTAGTGCCAGGGGGCAATTCTAGAGATAACTCATATGGGGAAGGGAAGGGGCACAAGAGGTCATTGCTGGGGAAGAATGGATTTTATTATTTACAGCAGTTTTAGGCTGCTCTTCCGCTGAAAAGGCTCCCAGGGCAGCTGACAAAGATTAGTAAGTCAGCCTCTGCCTTGACATGTATACTCTAAAAGACGTGACACAAATGCAAAACGGGCTTGGAGGGTGAAAGAAAAATGTGAATTTAATTGTTTAGAGCAGGGTTTGGAGCATTTTTACCCTACTCTTCAGACAAAAAAAGACTTCCAGAGGTCAAGAAAAATAGCACACTTTTAAGGCTTAGCTGCAAAGCGCTTGCATGACCAGCTGGAATGAAACAGTTCAAGGAAGAGGAGGAATCAAAAGCTGCTGGTTTTGCAGTTGAACTGACAGAGTGGCCCCACTTCCCTTCCTCTGCAGCCTGATGGAATGGCTACCGCCAGGTGACAATTGATGCAGGCAGCAACCTGATGGCAGCTGGTTTCTCAGTGCAGATGATGGAGTGCCCCTGCTTGCCTTCTTCTCCTGTGCTGCCCATTAGCACTTTGCAAAATAATAATAATAATAATAATAATAAGAATAATAATAATAATAGTTGTTCTTGTTTAGTCGTTTAGTCATGTCCGACTCTTCATGACCCTATGGACCACAGCACGCCAGGCACTCCTGTCTTCCACTGCCTCCCGCAGTTTGGTCAGACTCATGCTGGTAGCTTCAAGAACACTGTCCAAACATCTCGGCCTCTGCCGTCCCCTTCTTCTTGTGCCCCCCATCTTTCCCAACATCAGGGTCTTTTCCAGGGAGTCTTCTCTTCTCATGAGGTGGCCAAAGTACTGGAGCCTCAGCTTCAGGATCTATCCTTCCAGTGAGCACTCAGGGCTAATTTCCTTAAGAATGGATGCGTTTGATCTTCTTGCAGTCCATGGGACTCTCAAGAGTCTCCTCCAGCACCAGAATTCAAAAGCATCAATTCTTCAGCGATCAGCCTTCTTGATGATCCAGCTCTCATTTCCATACATCACTACTGGGAAAACCCTGGCTTTAACTATACAGACCTTTGTTGGCAAGGTGATGTCTCCTCTTTTTAAGATGCTGTCTAGGTTTGCCATCGCTTTTCTCCCAAGGAGCAGGTGTCTTTTAATTTTGTGACTGCTGTCACCATCTGCAGTGATCATGGAGCCCAAGAAAGTAAAATCTCTCACTGCCTCCATTTCTTCCCCTTCTATTTGCCAGGAGGTGATGGGCCCAGTGGCCATGAACTTCGTTTTTTTGATGTTGAGCTTCAGACCATATTTTGCGCTCTCCTCTTTCACCCTCATCATCATCATTATTATTATTATTTCAAGCCAAAATAATAGTAATAATAATAATAATAAATTTTATTTATACCCCGCCCTCCCCAGCCAAGGCCGGGCTCAGGGCGGCTAACAACCAATAATAAAAACAAGTTGATTGGAATACAACTTTAAAATCTAGGTTAAATACAACATTAAAATGCAGCCTCATCACAGGAGGAGAAAGGAAAAAAGAAGAGGGGGAGGGAATCAAATTGACTCCAAGCCAAAGGCCAGGCGGAACAGCAGTCCTCCTGGGTTGTCAGTTTTCTTCACAGCATTCAGTTATTTTTTACCAGAGTAATTATAGTTCAGTCTCCACAAAGCCTCTTGACACATTCCTGGTGTCCTGCAAATGGCTTTAACTTCAGAGAGTTATCAAAGTTTAGGTTAAGCTACCTAAAAGCAACTTTCTAGTTAGGGTCCAGGCGAGCGCCCTTTTGCATGGCTTAGATTTAACCAAAAAATCCAGGGCCAGCTAGAAGTGGCACATCATGCAAACTGCAAAGTTTTCCCCCAAGGCATTCCTAAATTGAGCCTTAGCCTGCTTAATTGTGTTTAGCCGTTTCCCTTACCACAGAGATTTCTCCCTGACTCATGGATGGATAATATACAGTGCCCAGAATGTTTAACTACTCAGGCAAAACCATGCCTCTTTTTTTCTTCCAAGCTGCACCTCATTTAATCTTCCTCTTTCCAACCCATCTGCTAGCCAGTCCTTGGTGCATGTTCACAGTTAAACGCAGCGCAAGTTCGCACATAAATTTTACAAACTTGAAACACAGAAGAAGACAGTGAAAAACAAGCCTTCTTCTAATAATACGTTTTGGAATGAGGACGGGGAGGGAGAAAGGAAGCAGGAAAGTGTCTCACATCCCAACTCACTTCACCGTCAGCCTTACTCACGACCGTCCAGGAAGCATGACAAGATTGCTTGAAAATTTTCCAGCGCTGCCTCCACGTTTAGAGACAAATCTCTCAGGCCAGTCACATTATTCAGCCTCCAGTACTCAAGAGAGATTCACTCTTTTTTGTAGTACAGTCATACCTCGGGTTACAGCCGCTTCAGGTTGCGTTTTTTCGGGTTACAGATCGTCGAAACCCAGAAGTACCCGAACGGGTTACTTCCGGGTTTCGGCGGTCGCGCATGCGCAGAAGTCGAATGGCAACCCGTGCATGTGCATACGCAGGTTGCGAACGCTGTGGGTTGCAAATGTGCATACCGCATGGATCACGCTCACAACCCAAGCGTCCACTGTACAGTGGTACCTCGGGTTAAGTACTTAATTCGTTCCAGAGGTCCGTTCTTAACCTGAAACTGTTCTTAACCTGAAGCACCACTTTAGCTAATGGGGCTAATAGGGCACGATTTCTGTTCTCATCCTGAAGCAAAGTTCTTAACCTGAAGCACTGTTTCTGGGTTAGTGGAGTCTGTAACCTGAAGCGTATGTCACCTGAAGCGTATGTCACCTGAGGTACCACTGTATCTGTCTTTCAAGAACGAAGGCTGCTCCAAGTATGCAGACTGCAAAGCTTGTCTCACTCAAATCTGTGGCTTGTTCAACATTCAAGCATTCTGCCCCCACACTTCATCCTGTGACCTGTCTTCCATGTCCCAACACCACTTCCCTGGCTCTGAGCCTTCCTCTTCTGAGGTTTCCCTAGCAGGCATGGCCAAACTTGGCCCTTCAGATGTTTTTTGGGACTACAATTCCCATCATCCCTGACCACTGGTCCTGTTAGCTAGGGATGATGGGAGTTGTAGTCCCAAAACATTTGGAGGGTCAAATTTGGCCATGCCTGCAGGGGGTTCTCTGGCAGAAGCCGCCCACCATTCTTCATCATCTAGCAAGTCCCTGACACCTGATTTATTTTATCTGGGGCTCCGCTCTCCTTGAAGCAGCAAACACACTTCTTTCCATTTCCGCACACTGGTCTTTTGGGAAGAGCCAGTTTCAAGTCCAGGGATAAAAGGCCAGGCATCTCCCTACCTTACCTTTTCAATTAGAGATGACAAGGATTGAACCCAGAGCCTTCCAATGCCCAGCATGTTCTCCATCATGGAGCCACAGCCCATCCTCAATGTTTGCCTTGTCTCTATGTGCTTCTTAGGAGACCACTAAATCCTTAAAAGCACATGGGTCCTTGGCATGAGCCAGAGATTTAAAACTGTGTGACCTCTTCGTTCCATTCATTTCTAAGGGGCTCTGCGTTCAACTCATCAACACATTTCAGCTGCTACGGGCAAGTAACATTCCTCAAATGCTTGAGCCCTCTTTGAATATTTCTAGGATCCTGAAACACAACTTCTGGCTTTAGCTTGCACATTTCAATAATGCTGTCGGTGCACTTGAATAAGTAGGGAGAACTTACCCAAAATGCACAGTATTCCATCTGGCTGGGATTTGCTGCTCTGCGTCAGGATGTTCTGAATTTGTCGAAGGCGGCTACAACTGTGAAGAAAAACGGGAGACGGTTAGAGGCGATGCTATAAAAGGACTTCAATCTGTACAGGGTATGGGGGTAGGCCAAGGCTTTGAAAACGGTATAAGTGCAATATATTCTGAACAAAAGGCTAAATTAATTGTAAATAATGTGGTGACGGAAGAATTTAAGATAGAAAAAGGGACACGACAAGGTTGCCCAATCTCCCCATTGCTTTTTATATCGGTCCTGGAGGTTTTGTTGAATATGATTAGAAGGGACCAGTTGGTTAAAGGTATACATGTCGGAGCCAAACAGTACAAATTGAGAGCATTTGCAGATGACTTAGTATTGACGTTACAGGAGCCAGAATCTAGTACCAAAAGGGTTTTAGAACTGATTCAAGAATTTGGTCAAGTTGCAGGATTTAAATTGAATAAGTTAAAAACCAAGGTTTTAGAGAAAAGTTTAACACCAATGGAGAGAGAGAGGTTTCAGAATGAGACAGGTTTAACTGTGGTTAAGAAAGTTAAATACCTGGGGATTAACATGACAGCAAAAAATGGGAATTTATTTAAAGACAACTATGAAAAATGCTGGGCTGAAGTGAAAAAGATTTAGAAATTTGGTCAAATTTGAAGCTTTCACTGCTGGGTCGTATTGCTGCGGTAAAAATGAATGTATTGCCTAGAATGTTGTTTTTGTTTCAAACATTGCAAATTGTGGACAAAATGGACTGTTTCAAGAGGTGGCAGAGAGATATTTCTAGATTTGTCTGGCAGGGCAAGAAGCCCAGAATAAAATTTAAAATATTAACAGATGCAAAGGAAAGAGGTGGATTTGCCCTGCCAGACTTTAAACTTTACTATGAATCAGCAGCCTTTTGCTGGTTGAAAGAATGGCTGCTTCTTGAAAACACTGACATTTTGGATCTAGAAGGTTTTAACAATGTATTTGGATGGCATGCATATCTGTGGTATGATAAGGTCAAAGCACATAAAGCATTTAAAAACCATATTGTCAGGAAAGCATTGTTTAATGTTTGGATAAGATACAAGGACTTATTGGAAAATAAAACCCCAAGGTGGCTGTCACCGATGGAAGCGAAAGCTCTGAAAAAAAGTTCAATATGGAGGCCAAATGGCCGAAATATTGGGAAAATTTGGAACAAGATGGAGATAGACTGAAATTACAAAGTTTTGAGAAATTAAAAAACAAAGTGCGAGACTGGCTTCATTATTATCAGATAATGGAGGCATATAATTTGGACAAGAAAATTGGCTTCCAGGTGGAAAAATCAAAATTGGAAACAGAACTGTTAGAACCCAAAACTAAGAATTTGTCAAGAATGTATAACTTGCTGTTGAAATGGAATACTCAGGATGAAACGGTGAAATCTGCTATGATTAAATGGGCACAAGATGTTGGACATAACATAATGATGGCTGACTGGGAACAGTTATGGACCACAGGTATGAAGTTTACGGCATGTAATGCCTTAACAGAGAATATTATGAAAATGATATACAGGTGGTACATGACCCCAGTCAAGCTTGAAAAAATCTATCATTTGCCCGATAATAAATGTTGGAAATGTAAAGAAACCGAAGGTACATTCTTTCACCTTTGGTGGACGTGCCCAAGGATTAAGGCTTTCTGGGAGATGATTTATAATGAAATGAAAAGGGTATTTAAATATACCTTTCTGAAGAAACCAGAGGCCTTTCTCCTGGGCATGGTTGGCCAAATGGTGTCAAAGAAGGACAGAACTTTCTTTATGTATGCCACAACAGCAGCAAGAATACTTATTGCAAAGTATTGGAAGACACAAGACCTACCCACTCTGGAAGAATGGCAGATGAAGGTGATGGACTACATGGAATTGGCGGAAATGACTGGCAGAATCCGAGACCAGGGAGAAGAGTCGGTGGAAGAAGATTGGAAGAAATTTAAAGACTATTTACAGAAATATTGCAAAATTAATGAATGTTAGAATGATGTTGGAATGAAGCTAGGTGGTTTAAGCAGTAATGCTATAAAGGTGTATGTAAATAAGGATTGATAACAGATGAAAATTTAAAGTTATAGTATATTAAGTTAAAGGATCATGAGAAAACAAAGAGGGAAAGAAATTGCTGACTTAACTAATTGAACTGGAATACAAAAAAGGGAGGTATGAGGAGGTCAGGGAAACAAGGATATGAATGTAAGCTATGGAAAGATTGATCCATTTTTCTTTTTTTTCTTTTTAAGTGTCTTTTATTCTTTTATTCTGTATTTTGTATTTTTCTTGTATTTTTACTTTTTGTTTTTGTGTAATTCTTTTTTTCTCTGAAATTTTAATAAATATCATTTTTTTTTTAAAAAAAGGACTTCAATCTGTTGGGAGCCAAGGCTTGCTGAAAGAGATCTGTCTTCTGGCAAACCAGTACTGTACCAGGAGTTCTGAAACTGTCACTATTCATATACACTTAGTAGAAGCAGGCCTTTGCTCTTTCCACATCATTTTGCAAAATGCTCTCTCTGTCTCCAGCTATCAGCCCACTCACTTTTCCTCTGTGATTTCTGCATCATCACTTTAAAGCATTTCTACCAGTTGGGTGAACTTATCTTCCACCTTTTGTGCCTGCTGAAAACAAAAGTATTTTTCACTCAGTTCAGGGCACTTGGCAAAGTAGGCGATAGATATCACGTGGGCAGCACGACTGCTACCAAAACACCATGTTGCCACCAGGAGGTCACCGACACATTTGTGCGCTGGAACTCAAGCTGAGCGTCCACTGCAAGCCAGGGTGTGCCTTGTGCTGAACTGTGAGGTCCGGAGGATTGGCTTTCTCTTTGAGTACTCCCAGAAGGAGTTTCATTCCTAATCTGACTTGCAACACATTCCCTTTGATCATAAACACCAAGTAACCCTGTCAACAGACCAGTGCATGATTTTACTCTCAAGCCACACCAGGCTGGCCAAACAGGCAAGCCTTGACATGCAAAGAGTTGACCTTTGTTCTGAATGCAAAGAGCTAACGAACATAATGCAAGAGCAGCCCATAAAACTAGCAACAGAGAGTTATGGCTATCATCCACCTCTCACATTCATCAGACAAAGTTCAGAACTGCATGGGCATGTCCAACTGGACTCCCCCCCTCCCCTTGCAAATAGGGGGCCCTCCATGCTTGCCCCATTATTGATTTTTGAAAGACAATTTGTGATGTGAGAGACCAGAGTTATGGGAAAGTGTCAAAAGTAATTATTACTTCAACCATTTATATATTGCTGAATTGCGATCATCTCTACAGACAACCACAGTTAGCTGTGAGGTCCCCGGATGACAACCGTTATCTAACATTTGCAAAGCCTGATCATTTTATCAGCATGTATACAATTTGCTATTATTCAATTATCTACAAGGCGGGGAAAATGATGCTGTAATTCTGAGCAAACAGCGTTATATACAGGCTTAGAGGAAGGGGTTTTCCTGTGAACTTCCCTAACTGAAAAGTTCACAGTCAGTCAGCTGGATGAGCTGCTGGCCTGGTTAAGGAGTCACTGACATGTTTCTTCCTGTTTATGCAGAAACAGCATTCTGCACACAAAAGAATTTGCTTGCAAAGTTGACAAGCCAAACAGCACAGTTGCAGCAAGGAGATCAGGCACAGGCAAAATTGGCCCTCCAGATGTTTTGGGACTACAACTCCCATCATCCCTAGCTAACAGGACCAGTGGTCAGGGATGATGGGAATTGTAGTCTCAAAACATCTGGAGGGCAGAGTTTGCCTATGCCTGCACTAGATCAGTGTTCCCCAACCTTGGGCCTCCAGCTGTTTTTGGACTACAATTCCCATCATCCTTGACCACTGGTCTTGCTAGCGAGGGATGATGGGAGTTGTAGTCCAAAAACAGCTGGAGGCCCAAGGTTGGGGAACACTGCACTAGATCATGGGATGAAGGTGCATGCTCAATGTCTGATGGTGCAGGAGAAGATAGACTGCACATTATTATTATTTTAAGAAAATGGGGTGGAGAGAAACAATAAGCAGGTGTGTAAGATTATGGATGGTGTGGGGGAAATGAATAGAAAGAAGTTTTTCTCCCTCTCATTTAGTACCGGAAGCTGGGATCATCCCATGAAGCTAAATGCTGGAAGAGTCAGGACGAACAGAAGTACTTCACATAGCAAAGTTAGAATTCGCCACCACAAGCTGCGGTGGTTCCTTACTCCCCTTTTAAAGCTATATCGGGGGCCAAGTCATGGAGGATAAGGCTATTAGTTTATTGATGGCTTCACACTTCCCGCAACATCAGAAGCTGCATGGCTGAGAATACTAGTTGCTGGGGTACAATGGGAGAGGGCTACTGCCTTCATGTTCTGCTTGAGGCCCTCCCCTTGGGGGGTTGTCTGGTCAGCTATTGTGACAACAGGACGCCGGACTAGGAAGGCCTTTGGTCTGATCCAGCATGTCTCTTATGCTCACTTGTTCCATGCTTTAAGTAAATGAGGAAAGTATTGCACAGATCTCTTAGCACTGGAGGTTAGTGGGGGAAAAACATTTCACCATCATTTCCTAGTTCTGTATTGTACAGTGGTACCTCTGGTTATGTACTTAATTCGTTCCGAAGGTCCGTTCTTAACCTGAAACTGTTCTTAACCTGAAGCACCACTTTAGCTAATGGGGTCTCCAGCTGCTGCCACGCCGCCGGAGCATGATTTCTGTTCTCATCCTGAAGCAAAGTTCTTAACCCGAGGTAATATTTCTGGGTTAGTGGAGTCTGTAACCTGAAGCGTATGTAACCTGAAGCGTCCAGAGTGCGTTCCTCCTCCAGGTCCGGAGGCAGCTGCGGGACCGGCTTGCAGGGAATTTATATTTTTCAAAATATAGTCCGGCCCCCCACAAGGTCTGAAGGACAGTGGACCAGCCCCCTGCTGAAAAAGGTTGCTGATCCCTGACTTAAGCTACTTTCAGTATGTCTACTCTGAGTATGACTAACACCAAATACTGCCCTAACAAATTTATTGTGGCTGAAGTTTCTATGGAATAGAGTCCATTTCATCAGATGCACTCAATGTTGTTTTCGCTTGGCAGAGATATATAACGAAAGGGTGGAGCGAGATGTTTTTGGAGATATCAACAGAGCCAGCCGGCAAGAAGCGTGTCTCACTTTCATCTCAAGTCTTTGTGCGGATAAAGTCAGCCAACAGGCTGTGCTACATTTGATACGGATGGCCACAGCGCTATCTAGACTGCCTGGGAAAAATAACACCACACCTATGGGTATACGAGGTCAAGTGAACTAGCAACAGTTGTGGACTTATTTGCAAGGGTGTTTTACTAGGGCATACTAGGGGTGCAAAAGAATCTGGGGTGCTTCTTCCCCCAAAAAGCCATTCTGTAGCAAAGGGAAAGGCAGAAGATAGGGCAAGATCTACTACTGGATCACTGGGTGATTTGTAGTAGATCAGGGATTGAACCTGGAACCTTCTGCATACAAAGAAGATCCTCAGGCACTGAGCCATTCCCCGGGGTAATCAGGAAATGATTTATTTTTTTAAGTTTTTGCACCCAAATCCAGTTAGTACATCTTGGGGTGTCTAGTAGACACTGCAAGCCAAAAGTCTCCCTTCCCCTGCTGCAGCAGATATTGCAGTGAAAGACTCCTATAGTAAGGGGCTTCCACATAGCAGCTTCTATCTCTAAGATCAGATGCCAAGCTGGAGGAAAAGCAATCCTAGAAAAGAAGAGGGAGAAGTATGGTGGTGGAACTGCCTAGGTCAATGGTGGGGTTGCAGCCTAGGAGACCATCAAAGAAGGAAAACCAAAGAGACATGAAAAGGGATATGTTTCACAAAGAGAATGAACATCCAAGATGCTCACAGAGTCAATTCAGCTCAGCATTGGAGCGAACCAACATATGGGTCGAGTGGAAGAGGTATGAGTTGACCATGAACTGAGCATGGACCCTTATCTTGCTATAGCTCCCATAAAGTCACTGGGTGGAGAGGTGGTCTGGGAAAAGAGAACACACATTTGAACTTCAGCAGAGATCTGAACATGCTTCTCCCACCTCCAGGCCCAAACTCAATGCTATATCCACCACTCCACTCCCAGCAGCAAAGAGAGCATGCAAAGAATGGGAGGGTATTTATTATAACTGAGCAGGACTGGTTTACTGAGGCCTGGAAGATCTCATTAAGGAAAGGACGCCAGCCATGTAGACCAGGGTGGGCTTGCTAGAGAGACCCCTGTATGCAGGAGGGAAGGAGACACGCCACTGTAACATTCTTCTGGGCTCCAAATGTCTTCACGGTTACTGTCATTTGAAGAGGGAATTTATAAATTTAAATAAGCTCTCATGCTTTATGGGAGCTGCGCATTCAGCGGTTTAACGGAATTTTATTTAAGGAACATGGAAAATGTTTCCCTTTCCCTTTTGACAGGCAGCCAGGGCTTTTGGTTGTTTGCGTGCCAAACTCTAGCTCCAGCCCGCTCATTTTGAAGTGCTTGAAAGAGACACAAGAAATATCATCTTGTGACATTTCTCCAGTTGTAGCATAGGAAGACAGGCACAGAGAAACACAGCCAGTCTTTGTGCAAACACTGTTATATTTGCTCATTTAGCAACCCAGGAAGTACATTTTCTGCAGTGAGGCAACTGCTTCTCTCTTAGCACCATTTGATTTGCAAAGTACCGTTAAGTTAAACAAGGAATGGGGGGTGGAATTGGAATGGAATGCCATTGCGATCTGGGAGGAGAATGTGAACAGATGACATTCTAAGGGGCGGGCAAATGTTGTAGGCTGCTCACTACTTACATCTGTTTCTCCGGAACAAATCCCCAAGGTAGCTCTGAAACAGCAGCTCCTTTCCCAAGGTCATTCGCTCTGCTAAGCTAATAGAGCTTCATTAGAAGCCATTTGCTTGCTTGCTTTTTTTAAAAAAAAAAAAAAAAAGCTTAAATAATCAGAACTCAGAAGAAGAAAAAAAATCAGAAGCCAAGTCTTGCATTCTTTCCAATTACTGAACAGGAATTATTTGGAGACGGGGCTTTTCTCACACGAACAACTGTAAAACACAGGCCTGCAGACGATTCCCCCCCTTAGGCATCTCCCCCCTACGCACACACTTGTGACTAATTTAATTTGCCACCCCACAAGAAAGAGGAATTTAACCTTCACACAGGCAGCCATGTAAACATATTGCAAAGAGAAAGGCTGCTATTCTTTGTGCCTGTCTGGGAGGGCTTAAGAGGCATGCGCGCACACACTTTTAAGAATTTGATCTCATCCTCGCTTTGTGGATTTGCTATGAAAGGAGAGGGGAGGCTGGGAACAAAAGAAAAGATGCTGGGAAATATTTTCGCACGTTCCAAGACTCCAAAGGGGTATCTCACCAAAACGCCTTGGCTTTTATTTTAGTCTATTTTAAAGGATGCATTGCCCTGTCTTTACAGTGGTACAGGACCTCATCCAGCTCTCTACAAGCATATTTAAATGTCATTGTGTTTAATATTCCAGTTCATAATATTGTTGCCCAACATACTCAACGTTCATCCAAATGACAGAGGAGAAGCAGTGGTTCCAAAGAACTCCTGCTTTCATTGTATCCTGTCCTTACAATCTCTCCCCTAAAGCATATTTCCCCTAAAGAAAACATCATTAGATCCCTTAGATCTATCCAATTACCGCCCGGTTTCGAATCTTCCATTCCTGGGTAAGGTGATTGAGAGAGCGGTTGCTGAACAGCTTGGTAGGTTTCTGGATGAAACATCGGCTCTGGATCCATTCCAGTCTGGCTTCCGCGCTGGTCATGGGACCGAGACGGCTCTGGTCGCCCTAACAGATGATCTCCGCAGGCAGCTGGATCGAGGCGGGTCGGGGCTGCTGATTCTTCTAGACCTGTCAGCAGCCTTCGACATGGTTGATCACGAACTCCTGGACCACCGCCTTGCCGACGTGGGGATCCAGGGCACAGTCCTTCAATGGCTGCGCTCGTTTCTCTCCGGTCGGGGACAGAGGGTGGCGATTGGTGGGTAATTGTCATCCCGCCACTCCTTGGTGTGTGGAGTGCCTCAGGGTGCGATACTCTCCCCGATGCTTTTTAACATCTTTATGCGCCCCCTCGCCCAGCTTGTCCGGAGTTTTGGGCTGGGTTGCCATCAGTATGCCGATGACACCCAACTCTATCTGTTGATGGATGGCCATCCTGACTCGGCCCCAGACACACTGACCAGATGTTTGGAAGCTGTGGCTGGATGGTTACGTGAAGCCGGTTGAAGTTAAATCCTTCGAAGACAGAGGTCCTCTGGCTGGGACGGGACGATATGGGATTGGGGGGGCAACTCCCATCTCTTGCGGGGGTGCAATTGGTGCCAGCACCGTCCGTTAAGAGTTTGGGTGTAATCTTCGATACCTCCCTCTCTATGGAGGCGCAGATTACAGCTATAACAAAGGCGGCATTTTTTCATCTCCGCCAAGCTAAGCAGTTGGCCCCTTATCTCTCTCGCCCTGACCTAGCCACTGTGATCCACGCGACGGTCACCTCCAGACTGGATTATTGTAACTCGCTCTACGTGGGGCTGCCCTTGAGACTGACCCAGAAACTCCAGCGGGTGCAGAATGCCGCGGCGAGACTCCTTATGGGGTCTTCGCTGCGAGATCACATTCATCCGGTACTATACCAGCTGCACTGGCTCCCGGTGGAGTACAGGATCAGGTTTAAGGTGCTGGTTTTAACCTTTAAAGCCCTATACGGCCTAGGACCCTCGTACCTACGGGACCGCCTCTCCTGGTATGCCCCACAGAGGAACCTACGGTCTGCAAATAAAAACATCCTGAAGGTCCCAGGCCTCAGAGAAGTTAGGCTGGCCTCAACTAGAGCCAGGGCTTTCTCGGCTGCGGCTCCAATCTGGTGGAACGCTCTGTCACAAGAGACTAGGGCCCTGCGGGACCTGACATCTTTCCGCAGGGCCTGCAAGACAGAGTTGTTCCACCAGGCCTTTGGTCAGGGCCCAGCCTGACTCCACCTCCGGCAACCTGCACAGAACTTTGCTTAACGGTTGCCATTAATTTGATTTTAATTAATTTTATAATGAAATGTTAGAATGTTGGATTATTTGATTGTTTGATTATTTGTTTGTTGTTAGCCGCCCTGAGCCTGGCTTTGGCTGGGGAGGGCGGGATATAAATAAAATTTATTATTATTATTATTATTATTATATCCTCTCTACATCCTTTCCCCCAAAGTAACCACTTCAAACATGCACCCTCCCAAACTGCCCCATCCTAAAGTCCCATCACCACCACAACCCACCTCCTTATTAGAGCCTCCACCAATCTGACGTGTCCCAAACATTCTGAACCCACCACCACAGCTTTCTCCACCTCCCTCCATCAGCCTATCCTGCATGAAGGATAGGGAAACAATCCAAGAGACTACCTGTTCCCAAGTCTTATTTTCAGTCCCACACCAACACCAGCCATTTTCCATCACACTCTTTGACTCCCTTGAAGACTTCCGTCTTGAAACTGTACTGGACCCAAGGCATGCAGCCAAGACTCTTCTCTCCTCAACCCATGATTCTATGACTCTTGCCTGATAGACTGATAACCGACAACTCGAAAAGGTGCCAGGAGAGCTCAAATGCATCCACAGGGCACTGCTTACTGGCCCAGACACTGCAACACACACACACAACTCATCCTACTAGCTGCCTTCAGTAACTGGTATCTCAATGCACACTTATCTCCAACCTCTGTTATCAACCTAACTACTCACCCACATAGGGGTTGGGCCCTGGGCAAACTCTTAGCTCTCTGAATACACTTTGTCAGGGGGTGGGGTGCGGGTAGAATAACTAGGAATTTGATCTACTACCCTAAACTTGCCTGGAACCCAAATCAACAGGATCTGCTCCCAAGGGTATGCTCAGGTGAGACTTTAATTTTTTTGAATTATTTGGTCCCTGAAAAAGGGTGCCACAAAACCAATGTGAGCCCTGACGGAGAGGGCCAAATGCAAACTGGTAAGGCAGCTCCCCAGTCTTGCATCCACACCCTTCCTGCCTCTGGGTGCCCCCTGTGCTTCCTACCCCACACCAATTTCCTGTATTCTGTAAACATCTGCAACAAAGCCCTTACCCTTCCTGGACCCACCACCCAATGACCCACTCCCTACACATCTTACCCTCTAGCCTCCTTACAACTCTTACTCACCCCCCTGCATATTCTGTGCTGAGGTGACCCCATGTTGGCCATACTATCCTCCACCTGGACCCAACAGCCCCTCTCCTTCATTGACCCTCTGCATATTTCTGCAGCAAGGCAGACCCTCCAACAGAACCCACCTCAGCTCCACCCAAAGCTCATGTCCACCCCCCCACCAGGCCCCTCACCATCTTCCTGTAGCCCTTCCCCACTGCCTGCCCTGCATCCCTCAAGCAGCACCTACTGCCAGCGCCCCCTAACCCTTCCCAACCTCAGCTCTTGCCTGCACAACTCCCCTATTCCCAGCCTCCCAGATACCCCTTGCCCTTATTGACACCCCTAGATATACTGCATCCCGATTCTGTACCAAAGCACCCCTTCCCCAGGCATCCCTCACCCCACACCTGCACCAAAGCAACCCCCCTGAATATCTGCATCATGGCATTCCCCACCCCTTACACCCCGCAGGACCCTAACCCTTTGACAGTTGCTCAGGCAGATAAGATTTTTTTTTTTTTGCAAGGCCACCTCCTTTGTTGCTTAAGGCCACATGTTCTGGCTTTGTTTCATGGGATTTTTGATTTTGTGCGGGTGGCAACCTGCCCTGGGACCTTATGGTGGTGAAGACAATATATACATATACGTGTATATATGTGTGTATGTATATGTGTGCGCATATATATATATATATGCATGTATGAAATAATGCATGTTCACCCCACCCCCACTTTTGCATAACCTTTTCCTCCACTCCCTCTAGACCCCACCCAGGGCAGCCCCACCCCACCCCCTGCTCCCCTCCCCTCCCCCCGCGTCCCCCTCCTCGTCTCCCCCCACCCACCCCTCACTCCCACCCCTTCCCCCCTGCCCCCCCACCTCTCTCCCTTCTCCCTCCTCCCCCCTCCTCTCCTTTCTCCAGGGCAGCCCCCCTGTCACCTCCCCCCTCCCTCGCCCCCCACCCCTCCTCACCTGACGCTGGGCTGGGCCCCTCCTCGGGCCTTGGGGCGCCCCCTTCGGGCCGGGGGCAGCAGCAGGGGGTTCCGTGCCGAGGGGAGCAGCGCCATTGTCCTGTCAGCCCAGCAGCACCCGCCGCCTCCGCTTCGCCTTCCCTGCAGCACCGAGCGGCGGAGGGGGGGGGGAGGAGCGGGGGACGCACCAACTGCGCCTCAGCTGGAGGGGGAAAGAGGCGAGCCGTTGCCCTTCCGCCCCGCCCACGGCGCCCCCCGCCCGCCGGCTCTTCTCGCTGCGCCCCCCCTCCTCGCTCGCTCGCAATGGTACGTCCCGACAGGGCCAGCTGTTCCATGGGAGGAGGAGGGAGGAGAAGGAGCCGGGGAACGGCCCCGCCCCGCGGCAACCGTTGCCGGGCAACGTGCCGCCTCGCCCCGCCCCCTAGCAACGCGCACTCTCCTTAACGCGGACGCGGAAGAAGGGCCTCCCCTTAGCAACGGCCCTCGTCGTCAGGATGTCGCCTTAGCAACGGGGGCTGCGAGGCTGGCGCTAGGCCTCCCTCAGCGGAAAGGGGGCGCCCAGCCCTGCCTCGCTTTCCTTATTGTTATTATTATTATTATTAGCTATTAAATTTGTATACCTATACCTGCAGGGCGAGCCCCAGATGAGGAGGAAGCCCCATCAACCACTTACACGCTTCATCCATTGATTTTATTATTCACTTTTTTGTCTTTTCTCCAAAAAGGCTTAACAAAGAAACAAAAATGTGCATACATACATTAAAACCTGGCGGGGTGTGTGTTTGGCAGAATACATGAAAACATTCTGCCAGCTTTGAAGGAGAGGCACCTGAAGATACGTTGTAAAGATAATTGTTCCACAAACGGAGCCACCACTGAAAAGACCCTGTTTTCATGTTGCCGCTCTCCTAGCACTGGATTTAATGCAGTCGAGACAGATCCCACGCACAGGGCACCAAGCCCAAGGGGCATAAATCTGAGAAAACCTTTCCAACCTTTATATAAATGATATATAATGAATTAAAAAAGGTATTTAAGTATACCTTCCCTAAGAAACCAGAGGCCTTTCTCCTGGGCATAGTCGGCCAAATGGTGTTAAAAAAGGATAGAACTTTCTTTATGTATGCAACAACAGCAGCAAGAATACTTATCACAAAATATTGGAAGACACAAGAACTTCCCACGCTGGAGGAATGGCAGATGAAACTTATGGACTATATGGAACTGGCGGAAATGACTGGCAGAATCCGTGACCAGGGAGAAGAGTCGATGGAGGAAGACTGGAAGAAATTCAAAGACTATCTTCAGAAACATTGCAAAATTAAAGAATGTTAGAGTGATGTTGGACTGAAAATAAGCGGTTTCCAGCTGTACAGGTTAAAGTTAATGATAGATTAAGATTAAGATTAGGATTAAAGATGTTTAAAGAAATGGAAATCTGACAAGAGGGAAAATTTTAATGTTATATTATACTAAGATTAAAGATCAGGTTTAAAGAAATCGAAGATATATATTACAATATTATATTAAAGTTAAAGATTGGGATTAAAAAAGTTGAAAAGAAATTGCTGGACAAACAATTTGGATTGGAATACAAAAGAGGGAGGTATGAGGAAGTCCAGAAAATAAGCAAACTAAAAAAACGGAAATGGAAAAGAGATATTGTTTTTAATTGTTATGTTTTTTGTTTTTTATTGTTGAATTGTGTTTTTGTGTGTGTGTTCTTGTTATTTTTTTTTCCTTTTGTCGAGATATGTATTGTGTATGTTTTTCCTTTCTTTCTTTGTTGTTCAAAACTTAAATAAAAATTATTTGCAAATAAATAAATAAATAAATAATTAAATCTGAGAAAACCTATAACTGAGAAGATCCATTTGGAGACGCCAAATGTAGGCCTCGCGTGGGACGCCATATTACAAAAGATTATAAAAGTCTGCCTTTGACCCTCTGGTACTTTTGTGGAGGGGGCACACGAAGAAGGGCCTCAGATCGTGATCATGGGGTCTAGGGTGGTTCATATGGGGAGAGGCAGTCCTTAATGCACTGGGGTTCTGACTTACTTCTGAGTAGTTGTACTGAGGACTGTGCCACTATGTACCCATATAAAAGTGTACACCCCTCATGGCACTCCCTTGAATATGTCATATTTTTATTACATCCCTACCATCATTATCTTACATACATACAGAGAGAGGGAGGCTTAATCCACAATAAATTTGTGTTAGTTTGCAGAGTACCATGGGACTCTTTGTGGTTTTAACTCAGGACAAAATGCATCACCCATAATACGTCCAGAGGATGACAATCTGAAGTAGGCCATCTTTAGGGTTTCAGGTTTTCCATTTTTAATAATTTCTGCTAAATTGATAACACAGAGTGTGAAAGCATGAGATCATCTCTCTTTAGCTATGACTTTGCTAATACAATATTGCTGCTAGCTAACCTGTCGCCAATGCATTAAATAACCTGGCAATAGAGAGCTCTGTGTATAACATGTAATTCCTAAGAAATTAAATTATTGGAGGCATAAGCTCCTGTAAGCATGCATCAGATCCACAGGAGGTTATTAAGATCATCCTAATCTGAACCATTGCAGAGTTAAATTTAGAACGTCCTGTTATCATGGGCTGGATCTAAACACCATCACCACCAGGTTAGACTTTTCTTTACAGTTCCTTTCAGTTTAGGCAAGTGTTATTCTAGCAATAAGCTGTGTGTGTTGGCTGACCTGCACAGGAGAGTGTTATGTTTTATTAAGAAGGCAGTTCTACACACACACACACACACACACACACACACACACACAAAACACACACAAAAAGAGGTTTATTTATGCTCCCTGTTCCAAAAGAAATTTACTTTGGAGAGGCCATTCCATCAAGTCAGGGAAGAATAAATGCTGCTGCAATGTGCAAGATTTGCCATACCATGACACTTCCATGTCCCTTGATGCTGACTAAGCTGACGAGGTTGGCTGAGCCATTACCTTTACCAAAGACCCCGCTTCGTAACCTCGGGCCCAGCATCTGACCTACTAACCGCAGAAAGACCCATGCTTCCTTTTCTGTCCGATTATTCAACGGAGCTGAATCTGTGAGCTTGCAGATCTTGTCATTATACCAGCCGAGGGACAAAGGCGTTTTGCCCTGGCATCACCCCAGCAATCGCAGAGTGAGTGTTCGGTTCACAAAGAGGCCTCTGTGTCACCCAGTAAATGTCTTCAGGCTGCAATCCTGCCCAAATCTACTCGGCAGCGTCCTAATGAATTCAAGGGGGCTTACTCCTAGGTAAGTGGCGATCTCAACAGCTTTCGTTGGTGCATCAACTACAGTACGTCCTTTCCTGGATGAGGATAGCTTGGCTACTGTGAGTTATCTATGAGTAACCTTAATTTTAGACCACTGTATTGTGTCCTAAGTGAGGCATCCCTTACAGCTGGTCCAGACACTACAGAAGAACACTGGGTTATAAGCAGGGCATACCCTCAAACATTTCTCCAGTGAAAATAGGGATGTCCTATTCCATCATCATCATCACTTCATGATTTATACCGCACCCATCTGACATGGTTGCCCCAGCCACTCTGGGCAGCTTCCAACACATATAAAAACATAATAAAACATTAAACATTTTTTTAAAAAAACCTTCCCTATACAGGGCTGTTTCCAGATGTATTCTGAAGGTTGTGTAGTTACTTATCTCCTTGGTTTGGGGGTCATATAACTCCATACCCTCCAACATTTCTCTGATGAAAATAGGGACATTCTAAGGAAAAGTGGGACATTCTATAATAATAATAATAATAATAATAATAATAATAATAATAATAATAAAAAATAATTTTTTATTTATACCCCGCCCTTCCCGGTTCAAAAACCAGGCTCAGGGCAGCTAACAACAAATTTAAAACACTTTAAAACACTTAATTATAAAAGCAGCATAAAATACAGTAGAAAAACATGAATAACAATAAAATTCGAAAATCAAAAATCAATTAGATAAACCCTAGGGCTAGCTGGCTGAACTGGTCCTACTTGGGCCAGCGAGGAGGTCAGGGGAGAATTAGCTGTGGGGTCTCAGAGTGGGTAATCTCCATAAAAGGGGAGGGAGAGGGAAGGGAGGGGAAATAAAAGATCTAGGATCGATTCAGAAACTGGAATGGCTTCTGTAAATCTGGGACTGTCCCTAGAAAGTAGAGTCACTTGGAGGGTCTGGCAGTACCCCATAACAGGAAAAAGGCTTCTGGTTAGTTTTGGTGTGTCCAGCTGATATTAATCATACCCTCCAGGTGTCCAATTTTCCAGGGGCAGTCCTGTAATTATGAAAGCTATCCCAGCTTCTGATTTGATCCCGGAATGCCCCTATTTTCCTTGCAGTTACAGCAACACCAGCGAGAGAGAATCCCATTGCCTCTCCTTGGCCTCTCCATGGCTGCGGCTTGAAACCTCTTCCTTTGGCCAGCTCAAAGTGGTTGCTGGACAGTGGATGAGGAGGAGAAGAGGCTGTAGCAGGCAAACACGTACATAAATATATAAACCACATGTCTGAAGCAGCACAGGAAAACAGCCCGGAAACCATTTTGACTCCCAAACTGACCAAATGATTTCTCTGCTAGGTCAAGGAAAATGGAAAAGCCTCCCCATTGTCTTTTCCTTCACAAATCCTGTCTTAAGGGTATGTCTGTGTAGGAATAGGGTGAGCCTGTGACCTGGCTCAGGAACTAAGTATTTGTCATTACCAAAGACTGGCCAGGCTCCCCAGGGTATCCAATCAAGTAAGCATTAACAGGTAACCTGCCAGACAGGAGATAAACAACGCACTCAGATTGCTGTTGTAGACCGCCCCTTCTGTGATGTAGGTATGATGTATCTGGGGGTGGTCTTGGACTCCAGTGCGGGCAATTTAAACTGTCTATATAAGGGCGGACACACCTTTCTTCGGGGTCCTCCTCCTTCTTCTGCGTGTGAAGGGGGCACCCTGTTGCAACAGTTCAATAAAGATCAGGCTTACTAGCTGCTTTGCTTCTCAATATTCTATCCTCTGTTATTTTCTCCGACCAATGGAGAACCTGCAAAGGACTCTCCAAGGGCTCTTGTGTCCCCCATAAGGGAATAAGGGCAGATTTTCGTTTATTACACCAGTAAAAATATTGGGAGGGGGCAACCCTAGAATCGCAGAATTTTGAGCAGGTATTCCATTAAGAGCTGGTTTTTTCCCAAAGAGAAGGGGAGCAAGACAAGAAAGGAGCTAGATGCTGATTACCGGTTCTTCCCGCTGCTTCCTGACCTAGTTCTCCTCCGACATGCAGCCGCAGAATCTAGGTTAAGTACACATCCTTGGGGAACGCCTGACCTCAAGCAGCAAAGGAAGCAAAGGACCTTGAGCACTTGGGAGCTGAGCAATTTGGTTTTCCCCCACTGGAAAAAAACAAAACAAAAAGGAAATTGATTCTTTGTTTAGTAAAAATCTCAGTTGCGCCTGCAAATAAAACGGCGGGGACAAACATGGCTGTTGTTGACACAGTGGCTTGTAATCTAAATTCATCTACGCCAACCTTATTTGGAGGCTTCCCAGCAGATGGTATCTTTTCGGTGTGTATGCTTACAGCCCTGAAATATTTTATCGTGTCAGCCACAGGGCCTGTAAAAACACTGGCACTCCGAACTGCTGCTTAATTAGGATTCCTTTTTTTTTAAGCCCAACACATAAGGTTGCCAACTGATAGCAAAAATCTCAACCTGCACTGCTCTTGTGCTTTTAAGCAGCCGCTTGAAGTGTATGGGTGTAGGAGCAGATGCTGAGATTTTTTCTTCTTCAAGAAATTGGAGCTGTCCTCTCATCCACCGATCCCTTAGTCAACACTGGAACAACAAGGCTCAGGAGAAGGGGTCTGTGTTAAGTTGTGGGTGAACATATCAGACGACACAGCGATTCTTCAGACAGCTCTTGTTTATTCACAGGCCAGAACAGAACTGAACTGAAGGGTTCAGCCAACCTGCTTATACAGAGCTCCACTACAAAGCAACAGTAACAACTTTCTGTAACTATCCAATCACTGAACGTCACTTTCAATTCCTTATTTGCATATGCGGACCTGAGTGAAAACTATCTACAGTATCCCCTGCTGGCCCAGGGTGAGAACTTCAGTACATAACAGTCTGATTCCCCCTTCCTGATTAAAATTGCCCCCAAACTTGCCCCTGAAGACCTTTGAGAAGTAAACGTTTTAGCTCTTCAAATGAAATGAAATTGGGATTAGCAGCTGCTTTTGCTCTCCAGTTTTGTTTGGTTTTATTCTGCTGTTGATGCACTGTTATGTTTTTATTTGTCATTATATTGTTTTTCTTTTATTGTTTGATTCAACTGTTAGGTAGGCAGGTGGGTGGGAAGATAGACAGGACAGAGGAGACTTTGAGGAGATATCCCAGCCAATTTCAGAAAATTGTAAAATGCTGCACTTGGAGGGGACCCAGCGAGGGCATCCAAACCTACAAATCTCTTCTCCCAATCCTATAATAACAAGCTTACCCTCCGCCAAAGACCTTAACCTGTAGTTTGTATATAGGTAGACCAATAAAATGTTAGCCATGAGCAGAGGTCAGAAAACTAGGGCTGTCCTTTGTATATACAGAGCACTGTGAAATAAAAAAATTAAGGTCTAATATAAATAATAAATGTTCATAAATGTACTAAGCAAACACGTACATAAATATATAAACCACATGTCTGAAACCCCACAGAAAAAGTCCTGAAATCATTTTGTCCCTCCCAAATTGACCTCAAATATTTCTCTGCAAAGTCGAAGGAAATGGAAAAGCCTCCCCATTGTCTTTTCATTCACAAATCCTGTCTTAGGGGTATGTCTGTGTATGAATAGGGTGAGCCTGTGACCTGGCTCAGGAACTAAGTATTTGCCATTACAAAAGACTGGCCAGGCTCCCCAGGGTATCCAATCAAGTAAGCATTAACAGGTAACCTGGAGGTAAACAATGCACTCAGATTTCTGTTGTAGACCGCCCTTTCTGTGATGTAGGTATGATGTATCTGGGGGTGGTCTTGGACTCCAGGGCGGGCAATTTAAAATGTCTATATAAGGGCGGGCACACCTTTGTTTGGGGTCCTCTTCCTTTTCTGCATGTGAGGGGAGCACTCTGTTGCAACAGTTCAATAAAGATCAGGCTTACGAGCTGCTTTGCTTCTCAATATTCTCTGGTTGGCCTCTGTTATTTTCTCCGACCTATGGAGAACCTGCAAAGGACTCTCTAAGGGCTCTTGTGTCCCCCCATAAGGGAATAAGGGCAGATTTTCGTTTATTACAACTGGAATCTACGTGGCTGGACTAACAAACGCACACAGCTCTTGTCCGTATGTGTTTGGACATATATCAAAGAGGAAGCAATTGCAGCCAATTTTCATCATTAGTCCCCAAAAAATAAAAATAAAAAAATCCTGGGGAGAAAAATGACTCAACCTCAGTGGGGAAGAAAGCAAGCAAAGAAAGAAATGTTCTTGTCTTGCCAAGTCTCACCCGAGAACTGATCGCTTGTTTATTCCTGAGATTGGGGCGAGAGCTGGACACTCTCAGAGCTCCAGGCAGCAGCTGCTTTAGCCATCTGAATGTTTTCTGCAAACAGCTTTTGCAGTGATTCCTGGAAGCCCTGAGCTGGGTGGGAGGGGAGTGTGTCTGCGGCTGTTGCCATCTGGAAGGGAGAGGATGAAAAGACAGTGTGGTGTAGTGGTTAGAGCGCTGCGCCAGGAGCTGGGAGAGCAGGGTTCAAATCCCGCCACAGCTCACCGAGTCACTAGGGGCCGATCGATCTTGCACAGAAACTTGCCTCATTATTTGACATCGTTCTGACACACACCGGGGATTAAGCCCCATTGTTTTGGGGAAATATAAGGCTTGCTTCAAGCATGGCAACATTTCTCCATGCAGGAAGATTTTGGAAAATGCCGTGCAAGACCACACCTAGTGACCCACCTAACTGCAAATCCCTCTGATCCGTCGATTGCCTTGGCAGCCATGGCCAATGAAATGCACATCTTGAAAATATAAAAAAAATAAGATCTCCACGGTGAGCTCTTTTGCAATGAACTTTGCATGGGGTTGTAGCTCATTTGAGAGAGAGAATGAAATCTCCCAGACTCCAAATTTAAGGAACTGTTTGTTTCAGAGCTCACTCTCACACAAACACACAAGTTATAGTTAAATACCAGCCCTTTATCCCTTCTCCATTTTTAAGCAGCTAATTTTGTCTTTGTTATCAATGACAAGATAATTCCTTCAGCTGGGCTATTCAGCGAATCCCAGATAACAGTCGCTTCTTTTTTCTAATCAGGCTACCGTCAGACATTTGGAGACAATCTTTCCTTGGAGAGTCCCAGATGGGATGAATGTTATTTGTTCCAAGGTGGAGGATGGTCCTTGTTATTTAAATAACGCATTCAGCATGCATTGTTTTGCAAGAGACAACACTTTAAAAAAAAAAAAATTTAATAAATGGGCCCAGAAATCTTGGTTTTCCTGTGCAAAGCAGAGCAGTTAGAAATAGAACAGCAGACAAAAGGATATCTTTCCTTCCAGCAGAGGTTTAGCCGGGAAATGAGCAAAGATAACGTATTAAATATAGCTGTGTTGTTCAGCAGAAATAAGAAATATTGTGCCTAGGGGGAGAAATAATATATCATTTGTCACTCGCAGGGGATCCGCTGGGGGAATTCATGGGAAAGGTCTAGGAGAGAGGAGAATTATAAACAGGCCTTTTCAGACCAGCTGGACAAGGCAGGAAATGGGGAAAATGATACATAGATCTTGGAAACATGGAAGGATCAGATGTAAAAGAAAGGGGGTTGCAAATGCTTAGTTATTTGTGAATTCTGATAACCGGTGTGATTCGGGCAGAGCTATGGGCAAAAACACTTATATCTCTCTGAATTTTGCAGCCCAAGGCTCTATGGTGATAGGTGACAGTATGCAGTTGTTAGAGTGGGAGTCCAGGGTTCAAATCCCCACTGGTGACCATGAAGCTCAGTGGGCGTCCTTGGGCCTGGCACAGGTGGCGCTGTGGTCTAAACCACTGAGCTTCTTGGGCTGGCCAATCAGAAGGTCGGCGGTTCAAATCCCTGCGACGGGGTGAGCTCCCGTTGCTCTGTCCCAGCTCCTGCCAACCTAGCAGTTCAAAAGCACTCCAGCACAAGTAGATAAATAGGTACCACTCTGGCGGGAAGGTAAATGGTGTTTCCGTGCGCTCTGGTTTACACCACGGTGTTCCAATGCGCCAGAAGCGGTTTAGTCCTGCTGGCCACATGACCCAGAAAGCTGTCTGTGGACAAACGCCGGCTCCCTCGGCCTGAAAGCGAGATTTGTGCCACAACCCCAAAGTCGCCTTTGACTGGACTTAACAGTCCCGGGGTCCTTTTCCTTTACCTACCTTGGGCCAATCCCTGCCTCCCAGCCTAACCTACCTCACAGGGTTGTTGTGGGGACTGAATGAGGTAGAGGGATGAACAATGCATGCCACCTTGAGCTCCTTGGAAGGAAACTAGCTTTGCGCTGGCGACCTCGTGTTTCTGCCTCATGCAAAATCCTTTTCTTTGCCCTCTAATCCTTCCTGGAGTATGTTGGTTGTGCATTTGACTACAGTGGTACCTCAGTTTAAGAATAGCCCTGTTTACAAACGACAGTCATTCCTCGGGTTACAGATGCTTCGGGTTGTGCGTTTTTGGGTTGCGCACCGCGCCGAACCCGGAAGTACCGGAACAAGTTACTTTCGGGTTTCGGCGCATGCACAGAAGGGCTAAATTGCACTTTGCGCATGTGCAGGAGTGCCAAATCACAACCTGTGTGTGTGCAGATGCAGCGCTGCGGGTTGCGAACGTGCCTCCTGCCCGGATCACGTTCGCAACCCAAGTGTCCACTGTACTCGGTTTACAAACTCCGCAAAACCGGAAGTAGCGTCCCGGTTTGCAAACTTTACCTCGGTCTAAGAACAGAAGCTGAAGGGTGGAAGGGCACCGGCAGTGGGAGGCCTCATTAGGGAAAGCACGCCTCGGTTTAAGAACGGACTTCCGGAACAGATTAAGTTCGTAAACCGAGGTACCACTGTACATCTTGCTTGCTGCTACGAAGTGTGATTGTGGGCACCCATGCGCTTCCTATCCTTTTGTACACTGCGCTGAGATTTTGGGTGCCCAGGGGCCTATAAACATTGCATTATTATTATTATTATTATAATTTTAAAACAAAGCCTAATCATAATGAATAATCAATTGTGCAGGAGGCGCCTCAACCAAGTGCAGAAGCTGAGCTTAATCAGATGCCAGTTACTCTGCCGGCACAAGGAGGCAGTAAATGCCCAGGAACAAGGCAGAGCTGCGGGAGAGGACAACACACACAACTTTCCCCCACTGCCGAGAATGTCCCCGGCCAAAAAAGAAGAAACTGTCTGCCCTGTCTGAGAAGCCTCTTTCGGGTCCAGGCGGGAGGTGAAGGGAAGGCCAGCCAGCTGCCTTTTCTGGCTCCGTGCTCTTTGGCCAAGGAGAAAAATGTGCCAAAATGTGAGCAATTCTTGGAGAACTCTTAGAAGTCCGGAGCTGGACAGGGAGGGGGTGGGAAGAGAGTCATCTTAGTGGTCAAGCAGGAGTGGGGGGGGCGAGGGAGGGAGGGAGAGAGAGGGGCCTTGCGTGCCTCCTTCTCCCTTTCCACAAGTAGCAGGAGAGAGTAAAAATAAAAATAAAAAATTATTATTATTCTGAATTAAGTTTAAGATGTAACTTAATTAATTAATTGATGACTGTTTTTATGCATATTGTGTTTTTTTAATGATGTTAGCCGCTCTGAGCCCAGCCTCGGCCGGGGAGGGCGGGATACAAAAAATAAATTATTATTATTACTATTACTATTATTATTATTATTATTAAAAATACGGTTTAATGAGAAACTACTTAATTTGCCCTGCTTGAGCTAATGCACCAACCAAAACACAGCAATCATTCAAAATTTGCCATCTCCGAATTTTGCAATGCAGTTCTCAAGCCCATTATGTACAAATAATTACAATTCTTTCATAAATAATTTCATTATTTATACCCCACCCATCCGGCTCGGCCTCCCCATTCACTCTGGCCGTTTTACTACATATATAAAAACATAGCGAAACATCAGACATTAAAAACTTCCCTAAACAGGGCTGCCTTCAGATGTCTTCTAAAAGTTATGCAGTTCTTTATCTCCTTCACATCTGAAGGGAGGGTGTTCCACAGGGAGGGCGCCACTACCGAGAAGGCCCTGAAAAGTTAATGTTTTAGGAGAAAGTGAAAAATAGCATACAAAATGTGCTAAGTTGGGAGAGGTTGCTTACAAAAATGTGTGCATGGGTCAAAACTGCACACAAATATGTGTATATTATGAGAAATTTGCAATGAGATGCTGATGAAGTGTGGAGGATGAAATGTAGGGTGGAAATGTGGAGATTCAAGTCCCGCAGGGGCCTAGTCTCTTGTGACAGAGCGTTCCACCAGATCGGGGCCATAGCCCTGACTCTGGTTGAGGCCAGCCTAACCTCCCTGTGGCCCGGGACTTCCAAGATGTTTTTGTTTGAAGACAGTAAGGTCCTCCGTGGGACATACCAGGAGAGGCGGTTCCGTAGGTACGAGGGTCCTAGGCCGTATAGGGCTTTAAAGGTTAAAACCAGCACCTTAAACCTGATCCTGTACTCCACCGGGAGCCAGTGCAGCTGGTATAGCACCGGGTGAATGTGATCCCGTGGCGAGGACCCCGCAAGGAGTCTCGCCGCGGCATTCTGCACCCGCTGGAGTTTCTGGGTCAGTCTCAAAGGCAGCCTGTGCTGGTCCCAGGGGGTTACCGTGCAGCGTGGTCCGAGTCTAGTCCGAGGTCGAGTATGTGGTATAGAGGCTGTCCGTCAAGGCTGAAACAGGGTCCAAGGCAAGGAGTCAGGTGTGGTCAGGAACTCTGGCAAAAGAGCAGGACAGGGAGCCAGCAGGAACAGGTTACCAACAATGTTTCTCCTGCAACCTGGGACTGGGCTGGCTGGCTTTTACCTGCCCCGAGGCATAGGGCAGCCCCGGTCCACAGGTGACTCGCCTCTCCTGGCCTGGAGGCGAGCACTCCTCCTGCGGGAACTTAGTTCTCTCCGCCTCTCTGCCCTGAGCCTCTGCAGCTCAGGAGAGGCTGGAGGGTTACTGGACCCAGAGGCAACTTCACCTTCCTCTGACGGGGCTGAGAGTGGAGCACCTGCAGGCAATGGGTCCTCCTGCTGAGATAAGATGGCGCCCGGCACACTTCCCCTGTGCTGATGGACGCTTGTGCTGATAGGAAAAACTTGAACTCTTAGCAGAGTTTGTAGCAGAGTTCCGCAACGGTAGAAAGTGTTGCCTTTTGTGTGGATAATAAATCAGACTGAATGCAGGCTTCTTGCTAATCTCTAACAGCCTTTAATGAGAAGAAAAACAACATAAATCAGCCCGGCGAGATAGTGGACATTCTTTCGTCTCTCAGCCAAAAACGAAAGGAAACTCATACACAAAGAAAGATTCCCGTATGTGAACCAAACCACGCCTCAGAATGTGAGACGTCACACAGAACTGTTTAACCCTGTAAGTTCTGATTCTCCTCACACCCCCTCTCGTCTCGCATCCTGAGGGAAAACTGTGAGTATAACTCACCCCAAACACAACCCTTCACAGAACTCCCCATGTCGCTGGAAGGTCAAGGGTTTGGTAAACCCATCAGCTAGGTTCTCCTGGCTCGAACAATACTTGAGCCGTATCCAACCTGCTTGGACACTCTGACATACATTCTGGAAACGTATGTCCAAATGCTTGGTTCTGGACTTGAACTGTCCAGATTCTGCCAACCTAAGACAAGGTTGATTGTCTCCCCAAACAGTTATGGGCAAGTAACAATCCCCACAGATCTCTTGGATCAAGCACCGGTAGAAGTCCAACTCCCTGCACAAATCCGACAATGCACTGAACTCAGCCTCAGTGGAAGAAAGTGCAATAAGACTTTGCTTCCAGGACTTCCACCCAACCAGGGATTCCCCGAACTTTACCACCAGCCCAGACTTCCTGTCCCCAAGAGATGCCCAATCGCTGTCACTCCAGCACGTAAGCCGTGCGTCACCTTCAGCTGACAACATGAGGCAAAACTCTTTAGTATGCTGCAAATACCTCAACACTCTCTTGATGCCTTGCCAGGCATTCACACTGGGCTTTGTAGCCTCGCTTCTGAGCAGATTCACAGCAAACGCTGTCTGGTCTGCTCCACTGAGAGAGATACAACAGACTCCCTAGCGCTGACTGAAACACCTCAGGGTTTTGGAACTCAGAACGCTCCCCAAGCTGACTGTCCTTCACGAAGTTGGTCTCCATGGGCGTTCTGACCCCTGCACAGTCAGACATCCGGAACTTCTCAAGCAACTGCTCAATCTTGCTTTTCTGACTGAGCAAGAAACTCCCGTTCTCAGACCTGTCTATCCTAACGCCTAGATAAACCTGAACGAGACCAAGGTTTCTGAGCTTAAACTTCTTACCAAGCTCTTTGGCAAAACCTTGCACCTGTCTACTTGTCTGTGCCACGTACAGAATATCATCTACGAACACCAGAATTGCCTCCCGTGTCTCTTCTGACCCCTTCAGGTACAGGCAACTGTCTGCAAGACTCTTCCGGAAACCCAAACTTTCCAGAGCTTCATTCAGGCACATGTTCCAATTTCTGGCTGACTGTTTCAAACCATAAATTGACTTGTGCAGCTTCCACACAACACCTGGCTCATTGCCCTCAAACCCTGGAGGAGGTAACATGTACAGATCCTCCTTCAGATCCGAGTTCAAATAAGCTACATCCACAACAAAGTGGTGCACTTGGTGTCCTCTTTGAGACTGCTAAAAGCACGCACATAGTCTCACTCCGGGAAGTAGGAGCATACACTTCGGTGTAATGCAGCCCCCTTCTCTGCGTGAACCCTCTGGCTACAAGCCTCGCCTTGTATTGTGGTTCTCCAGACGCTGTGGGCTTAATCCTGTAAACCCAACGACAGCTCACGGCCTGCTTGCCCTCTGGCAGCTTCATGGTGGAGAACACACCTAAGGACCTCATTGAGTTCAACTCCTTTCCCATTGCCTCTTGCCACTTCCTGGCTTCTGCTTCAGGCAACTGTTGAACCTCCTCAAAACTCTCTGGTTCACACTGCGTTAAACCAACCCACACACTGGTGACCTCAAACCTCTCAGGTGGTACCCCCTTTGTAGCACGTGTGGAACATCTGAGCACTGTCTCAGGTGCTCCCTCTGACCCACTGGGGCCAGCTAGTGTGTCCTTGTTATCAGAAGACTCCCCCTCTGACTTACTGCGTCTTCTGGCCTTCTGCACTTGACTAACGGGAGACGAAGGCTCACTTTTGGGCTCTCTTTTAACAACCTGTGGAGATGCCCCTCCCTGTTCTTGACCCTGGTCAGAGACCTGGTCCTCATCAACAGGTTCAACTTCTAACTCTCCCTCCTCAGCAGAATCAGACAGACACTCTGAGAGAACGTCAGGATTCGCATGGATCCTTGACCAACCACTCTGCTCACAGAACTCAGCACTCCTGCTGACTAGTATCCTGGACTGATCGCCTTCTGGATAGGCAAACCTCCACCCTTTTGTCCCAGGCTCGTACCCACAAAAGATCATTTTCTGGGACCTCGGGTCACCTTTCTTGCGTTGAGCCTTTGGCACAAGCACCCAAGCTTCGCAACCAAACACACGGAAAAAATGCACCTTGGGCTTCTTCCGGTGCAGCAGAAAATAGGGTGTGTCTCCTACAACAGAGCTATAGGACCTGTTCAAAGTGAAGCTGGCAGCTTTCCAAGCTTCGGCCCAAAAGCTCTGAGGCAAACCAGAGTCAAACAGTAGAGCGTCAGCTGCCTCAGCTAGCGTTCTGTTCCTGCGCTCCGCTACGCCATTCTCCTGAGGAGAAAAAGCAACCGTCAACCTGTGACTTATCCCCTTCTGGTGGAAGAAACTCTGCAGAGCAGACCCGGTGAACTCTCCGCCTCAGTCGCTCTGAAAGCTCTGCACCTTGGTGGAAAACTGTAGTTCCACCGCCGCAACCCAGTCTTTGATCAGTTGCGCCGTCTCGCTTTTCTGTTTCAGCAAGAAGATCCAGCCGTTCCTCGAAAAATCATCTGTCAGCGTGAGCGCATACCTGGCTCCGCCCAGACTCGGCACTGGCATGGGTCCACAAAGGTCTGTATGCACTAGCTCAAAAGGCCTTGTGGTTACCCTCTCCGATCTGGGATAACTGCACCTTTTTATCTTTGCTCTTTTGCATGCCCTACAATCCAAGAATTTTTCACATGCTTTCATCTTGCAACCCTCAGTGCATTCTGGCAACTTCTGGATATATTTCCAACAGCTATGCGACATTCTCCTGTGCCACAAGTGAGCATAAGAATCATGTGTGGGAACGTTAGCACACTGCGCCTGTGCTGTCTCAGCGTTCCCCTTACCCTCCAGAGGTGTCTCCAGAACAAAGAGGTTGTTTTGACATGCAACATTGACCAGTTGTTTCCCACCCCTGGAAATAGAA